CTCACAGTCACACCTACGGACAATTTAGAATCACCAATTAACCTCAACATGTTTTTGGACTGTGTGGGAGGAAGCCAGAGAACCCGGAGAGAATTATTATTATTATTGTTGTTGTTGTTGTTGTTGTTGTTGTTGTTGTTGTTGTTGTTGTTGTTGTTACTAATGTTGTGTTGTTGTTGCTGGTGCAGCAATTTCCCTGAGGTTTCTACCAAAGGGATCAATAAAGTTCTATTCTATTCTATTCTATTCTACTGGCCCTGTATTTACTTGGTATCGGATCGATACCAAATTTTGCAGTACCGCCCACCCCTAATTGATACGGAGATTAGGGTAAAAATTGAACTATTTACTAACAGTTTTGTTGTTTTTTTTTTTTTTTTTTAGCTTGCAGCAAATAATTAATGAAAAAGAAAGAAACTACCACAGGGTCCATGTTGAAAACAATACAACCATCAATTTGCAATGAAGAATGAGACCATTCCAGTGGCTTGGCATCTTATTCTGGCTACTCAAATATCTGTATTTGGGGATATTTTAAATAATAAAATGTGAAATAATAGAAATGTTTTCTGCAGCTGTTATCCAACTCTGCCCCAAACAGTGGTTAGATTTGACTGAAATCTGTTGAAACAAAGCCAAGTGTGTATGTTCTGAACCTGTGCTATCTGGTGCAGATTTGTCCTGCAGCTTTATCAACGCTGACTCCTGTGTTTGTTTTTCAGGATGCGGAGAGCGAATAGAAAGCACCATGGAGGCGTTCACAAAGTGAGTACCAAACTAAAGATGCTCTCAGAACAGCTGTGGAAGAAGATTGCATTCAGCTATCACAAGAAAACTGATTTTTCTTTTTTCTTTTTTTTTTTTTTAGAGCAAACACGTCAATTTTAAGCACATAGATAAATGATCAGAGAATAGCTTTCCCAAACTAAATTAATATAGGACATAAATTCTAATAAATATCTCAAAACCCCAAAAGAGTGCAAAACACTTGATAATCAGACCTTGTGAGTCAAACTAGTAGCAACAAATCCAGATGTTATTTTAGAGTCTGACTTAAGTTTTATGTCGTATACACACAGAGCGAATAAGGCGCCGTTCATTTAATTTCGATGCAGAAAAACTGATTCATACTTTCATCATAAGTGGACCAGACTGCTGGATGGCAGACAATAACAAAGAACAAGGATCCCTCCAGTCTTGGCAACGCTGCAATGGCTTGCTGTCTCGTATAGAATTGATTTTAAAGTGCATACAAAGCTCTCGCTGGCTTAGGACCAGCCCACATCACCGGTACCCTGCTGCCGAGATCCTCTACGGCTTTCTGGCTGCACAAAACAGCACCAGAATGAAAATACAAAACAAAATTTTATCAGTTATTACACCAAGTGGTGGAATATCTTACTCAAAGAGAGGCAGACTCATGTGATGTGATTTTATCTTTACCTGCCTGTTTTTTGTGCTCTGTTCTCATTGTTTTCATTTATTTTTTAATATTATAGGTAAGGAGTTTGTAGAGTTTTCAGAGAGTGTTCAGTTTTCAATAAATTTATCCTCACTTAATGATCAGGTGGATATTGAGCCTAACTATGATCATAGAAAGGTTAGTTTAAGGACCTACTTTGTTTGAATGTTCAGCATCTCATTGCATGACTCAGGATAAAAAATGTCCATTCTGTTAATTATCAGAGCAGCCTTCAATCACTTAATCATGCTTCAAGAAAGAACAGGCAATCGTACAGCCATTTCATAAATCTTTTCACAAGCTCTCTCACTTTACAGGTTAAAAAAAAAAAACAACAAAAAACAAAAGCATGCTTTCTCTTTCCTTACATCTTTTCTATCTCCACCTCTGCCTTCAGTGCGGTGGAGCAGGGAACCCAGATGCTGGAGCTGGACTGTCACCTGACGAACGACGGACATGTTGTCGTGTCGCATGACGAGAACTTGCGAAGGCAGACCGGCCAGGATGTCACCATCTCCTCACTCAATCTGAAGGTAGGATCCTGCAGGACTGTTGTAAAGAGGAAGGTCGAGGATGAGGTTTTGTTACACAATACAAAGATGAAAGGATGATCTTGGCCTCGATCAGTTACACACACAGTATTTACATATTAAAGAATACTCATGGAAAGTACAGGGGAGAATTGAAACCTCCATTTTAAATGCAACATGCACAACAGCTGCATGAAAAGCCAAACATTCACTTTAAAATATTCTATTACTTTGTCTGTACGACTACTAGAACTATTTATTATGTAGCTGAATTTGTATAGTTTGCTAAATAACTTTCTGAGTCAAGAGAAAATCACTTGTGCTGATTATATCGTATTTCAATCATAGGTTTAATTATTCAGAATTTTATTTATGATTTCCACAGTTTATATGTGTTTTGCTCATCAGTGTCACTATGAGAATAACTGTCATAATGGTTGTGATTCTAATGTGGTTGAATTGTTGTGTGGCCTTAAAGAATTAGAATTTGAACTAAATGCTCCAGCAGGACAAATTTAAGCTGTAATTTCCCAAAACTAAACACAAAAACAAAGTCTTCTTCCTTCTCCTCTGTTCTCGTTACCAGCTCATACTGACCTTGGCCTGACCTTTATTTTAGTCCAGATGCGGTTGTTTTTGTGACTAGTTAGTTGACTTCTAACAGCCAAGTTTCTGCACTGAAAAGAAGTGTTTACAATGATCTCCAAAGGGGTTGGGCTGTTTGCATTCATCAAGTTTTTCCTAAGAAACAGAACTAGTTTCTGCCTGTTTGCTTAAGCATTGGATTATATTTAAGCAAATGTTTGCATCCAGCTTTGATCATTATCTCTTCAAAGATGCATGCAAATTAATGTCCTGTTTTTCACAGTTAACTTTTTATCTGTTCATTTGCTTCTTCCAGGATTTGCCTTTGTATAAGGAGCGACTGGAGGTGACATTTTATGCAGGCGAGTTCTTCCTCTCATTTTTTTATTTTTTTAAATTCTCAATCATTAACAATAAGCCTTTGAATGTGGAAACAGGTCAGTGTGTGTGTTTATGCGTGTGTGCTTTTCACCCCTTCAGGCCGGTTCAGCAGCGGTGCAGACAGGAGGTTCGCTCTGCTGGAGGACGTGTTCAGGAAGTTCCCTGAGATGCCTGTCAGCATCGAGATCAAAGAGAACAATCACCAGCTGATAGAAACGGTACAGGAAGCAAACAAAAATCCCCAACTCTTGTCAGACAAAAATCCATAAAATATGAGTCAACAATGCTGATTTTCACATATTTTAGTCAGAATTACTGGATATTATCAAACCCTGTGTGCAAAAAAAAATTATGATACATCCTTGAAACTGGTATTAAGGTGCATAAATTGTGAATAATTTCCTTGCTTGAGAGTTAAAGTGCTTTTTCCTGTGATGCCCCTGTGAAGTCCAGCAGTACTTACATTCAAACTTAGCTTCACTCACCATCGTATCACATCAGCTCCTCAGCACTTTTCTGTTTTGTTGCTCGGCTCGCTGTTTCTCTGCAGGTATCCGACCTGGTTAAACGCTACAACAGGGAGGAGATCACCGTGTGGGCCTCTGTGAAATCCTCGGTCATGGAGGAATGCCGCAGAACAGTACGTGAACCAGCTGGGGGAGACAAAGCTTCCTGTACAGTATCATGCACCACCATGCTACTCATTCAGAAATGTTAACACATATTTCCTCCTTCTGATGCTGCAGTTGCTTGATCTGAATATTTGAGATTTCCTTGCATGACTTTTAGAAATCTGATGGGACCACAGGCTTTCTTTTTCTCCTCTTTTTGAGCATCTCATTCACAAAAACTGTCTCTGCTTGCTCGTAGAATGACTCCATGCCATACAGCTTCACCATGAGCCGAGGCCTGGTGCTCCTGCTTCTCTATTACAGTGGCCTGCTGCCATTTGTGCCACTGGGAGAGAGTTTGCTGCAGTTCTACCTGCCGCGCATCATCAACAGGTGTGACTGCAGGAGTGTGTGTCTTTACATGTTGAGACAAATGTGTGTCTTTGCACGTCTTGTGACACAATGAGGTATTTCTGGTTAAAGCCTGAGACAGACCAAAATATAGTGTAGATATTTTTTTTATTTTTTTTTCCTTCATTCCTGCATTTACCGTGAGATAATTGTGTTAAAGTGCACATTTCTGTTCTTTCTTTCTTTACCTTTGTGTGCTGAAGGATGTATATTCCTGAGAACGCGATCCTGAGAAACAAAGCTGTTGTGTACTTGTTGGACAAGTGAGTGATGTTTGGAAAACTTTCTTGCGCCTCATTTGTTTAGGGTTTTAAAATCTACGAAGCACTATGGAAGAGATATTCCCAGAATAGGGGAAAAAAATGTATTAGATGGAATAATGTTTTACAAGTCGAAAGAGAAAAGTCAGAATCCAGCCTAAATTTGAGGTAGTCAATGCAGATTTATCACATTTTTGGATACAGTAAAGCAGTTTATACACCAAAAAGCTCAAATTCAACACCAACAGGCATAACATATACTTGATTATTATTATTTTTTTCATTAACTTTTTATGCTTTAATTACAGAATAACTATGAGGAAGAGTCTTTTTAAACACCTCGCAGCCCGTGGAATTCAGGTAGGTAATTATCATTACAAGTGTTTACACTGTTGTTCAAAGAAGGTGCACTGGCCTTGATGCTATAAGTGCACAGTATTTCTTACAGATTGCATCAGAAAAGATTGACGCAGACAGGTGATGATGCAGCGTTGCATCAGCAGTACAAGCAAAATTCTGCAAGAGCTGCAGTCAGTTTATATCAGGATGGCACCTGGTTAACGTCTTAAATGATAAACTGAAGCTTCTGATTACATTTCTGCTATAAATATCATGTTTAACAAAATATAAAGGCTGCTCATTGTAGTGTCGCTTTCATATATTAGTTAACATTGTCCCACCACTATATTAATAAATATAACATTTTTTTTTCTATTTGTTTTACTGGACATTAAAGTAATGTGCCATCGCAAAAAACTGTAAGAAATGTGACATTTCTACATGACGCACTTCCTGTGACCACCAGTGCAAACCCAAAAGGAAAAGTTGACGAGGCTCATTACAGAAATGAATAGAAAACAAGAATTGTGAAATCTAAAAAGATTAGGTGATGATTAGAAATGTAGTCATAAAAAATTATTCAAATATTGTTTTGTGCAAAACATACATTCCCTCTCTAGGGATTTAAGCTATTAAAAAAAACTCATGTATTAAAATTACATGAAAAATTTTCCATTAAAATCCCTTTAAAAGACTTAAAAATGACTTCCATGTACCTCTTCGTGATTCGTTCCTGTAGCGTGTGCAGCTCTATGAAGTCCCTCCTCACCTATGACACTGTTCAGACGCTATAAAACTGCTCGGTGCGACCGAATGCCAGGTCGTAAAACTAGAGCGATTCAGCCATACATGTTTAAACTGGAAACCGAATCTGGAGAAGAAGAAGAATGACACAGAAATCCCCACCCTGCAAACTGCCAGGATTAGATTCTTTTATTTAACCTGGAAGCCTGAATCCATGTTTTGAGCAACTGGTGAAAAAGCTCAGCCATGATGTTGGTTATTTCGCTCATGATGTGTAAAGAAACACCCTATGGACACGTTAGCATGGGGAGAAACTTGACAGGGTTTTTACTTTTGCAAATGTGAAGAGAGTCCTTCAGATGTTTACCTGTCCAGGTTTGAACTGTGTGGGCAAGAGACAGAAACAGTACAGGGCCCTGCTTGTTGAAACCCTGCTCTGCTGAGCCAGCCACTATTGGACAGAACCTCCACTGGATCAGGTTTAGGTCCAAGTCTCGAAGATGATCAGTGGAAGGAAAAAGCTCAAATCAGTGACAAAACAGAGACACTCTGATGTTTTTTTGCCCCTGCTGCTGCTCAGTCAGTCACGACATCATCAACCTCGTTCAATCCCAAACCATCATGATTTAACACTGAAAACACTTCAGCTATGACAAACAGAGAAGCTCACACAACCGCTGCGAGTGTCCCAAATGCATCACCTCCATCATGATGTGAGTAATCTGTGCTGTGGTGAGATCAGCCCCATTGTCAGGCCATGAGTGGCCACTGAGCAGTTGGAGCATGTAAAACAGTTGAAGTTATATGCCGAGCGTGGCCTTGTCAGCTGCCGAGTGCCTCACCGCATCTGAACACTGACGAATAGATGATATAAATAGAGGTGTTTTCCTAGAACAGCTCCACATTCCAGGAAAACGTAGCCAAGTGTCGGTATTGGAAGGTGGGAATGACACGGTACCGTCAAGTGTGTTTCCTATGATTGAGCAATATGTAATGTATTGCAAAAATATCATCAGATTGACGATGGAAACATCAGCCTGAAAGAGAAAACTGCTTTTTCTCCAATACGAAAGAATCCATAATACAACAATGTGTAAAACAAATCCGCTGTAGAGTCACTATGACAAGGAACCTTTCATTGCTTTTCAACATTGAATTATGGTTAATTTAATTTGGCTGTTGGACTAAAATTGACTGAAAAAAGAGACTCTTTAGTGTCAAAGATTTCTCCAAAGCCAAAGTTAAACAAAATGGTGAAAAGAAAACAATGTTCTGGACCGCCCGAGTCAGAGCCCAGGCCTCAATCCATTTGAAAATTTGTGCCTGAATTTGAAAAGGGTTGTTCACTCACAATCTCTGTGCACTTTGACAGTTGACAGCAAAGACGAATGAGGTAAAATTTCAGTGTCTACACATGCGAGGATGATTAAATCATAGGGCCAAAGGTGCATCTAATAAATACTAACTTTAACAGGGTTAAAAAAAATTCTGCAATCGCTTACTTTACCTATGTTTTTAATCAACATTATTTTGTAGACATCCGTTTTCACTTTTACATGAAAGAGTCTTATTTGAAATTTCAAAGAAGGCTAATTATGTCGACCATGTTTCAATATTAAAAAACAGTAAAAGCAGAAAACTTTCAAGGGGGATGAATACTTCATATAGGAACTATATATGTTAAAGTGCAGTATTACATATATTTTAATGATGCAGAATGTCAAGATAACTTACATTATTGCAAGATATTAATATGACGCCATACTGTGTCAATTATTTGTCTACACTTTAACTTGAACAGCTGCTCTTTGATGCTTCAGGGTTTAAGTTTTCTTAATTTCCACACCACAGGGGAATAACTAGATTACCTTTCTTTTTATTTTTATATTTTTTAACTTTGACTTATCTGTCTGTAATTGCAGGTGCATTTATTTGTTTGCAACATAGATGAAGACATAAAGGCGGCGTTGGACGTGGGAGCCACCGGGGTGATGAGTGACTATCCATCTCTTTTGTCAAGCTACCTCAGCAGAAACAGAAGGCAGGATTGATCATGAGACACGTGACAGCGACAAATAAAAAACAAAGAAACAACTGCTAAAGAGACAGAAATACAAGAATCATGAGATCCATTTCCTCCACCGTGACAAGACTAGTATTGGCGGGGACAAAGGTATAAGTTCAGCCCCTTTACTGTTGATAGAATTGCTTGTTTACGGTGCTGTTAGGGTATTTCTACAGCCTCCACCCACAATCTATCAAACACGGGTCAGTATTTAAAGAAACAGTCAGTGATCTCTGTCAGCAGCGAGTCGTGAGAGTCAATATTTAACCAGTCTTATCATGTCCACCCATGATAAGAGAGCAAACGTGACTTTGTTTTGACTGTCTCTGGTGGTATTTTCTTGGTTTGAGTAAGTGCTGAACTTAAGGAATAAATCATATGTGACAAACCACTTGGAGTTTTGCTTTCATGTTGTTTTACGGCATCAGAATGAAAATAAAAATGAAGAAAACGTGCATTAATTGACACTATAAAGAGATCTATATATGCACAGAATGTTATCCAGGCATTGCAGTGCAGCTGTTTTTAATCCATTTCTTTTCACTGAAGACCTAAGGTTTGCATGCGCAGTAAATCTCACCTGTGGCCTGGTTTTCCCAGGCAGCCGCGGTCAAAGTCTGCCTGTGATAATAATCGCCTCGTCTGTTGGTGAAACAATGGCTGTATTTTTCTGCCCAGGTTGGCTGCAGTTAATGGAATACAGTATAAGTGGATGTGTGTTAACTGAGGTCTTTAGAACAGTAGGCGCAAAGAGCAAAAGTTTGAATAAGTGACCCAGTAAAGAAAACAAGAGGATGTCATTAGAATTATTTCTAGGAATCTGGGGGGGTTTACATTCCTACAGAGCACGAGCTGTGAGTGATTACCTTAAAATGGAGTTCGCAGGCAAAAGAAAAACTTACAGTATGAACAGAAAGCTCTTTAATAGAGGTGAAACAATTAGTAGATTAATAAATTAGCTCCAAATAAAATAGATTGGCAACAATTTTGATCATCAAGTGATTGTTTTGAGCCAAACATCAGTGGTGTCAGCTTATCACACATGAATATTTGGTGTTAGTGTTAATCAACTATCACTGCATCGTTGGGTTTTAGATTTTTCAATATTATATAGAGCTGCAACGATGAATCAGTGGCTTCTCAACTAATAAATTCACTATAAAACCATAATTTGTACAACTGGAATTTCTAGTTACGTGGGTTAGCCGTCTATGTATACTGGCTCAGACTTCAGCGTGGTAATCTGCAACTATTTTGATCATTCAAGTAAAAAAGTCAAAATTCTTTGATTCCAGTTTCTTACATTTTAACATTTTCTGGTTTCTTTACGAAACAAGGTATTGGAGGACCACATCTGATCGACATTGTTCACCACTTTCTGACATTTTTTACGACAAAACGGCGAATCAAATGACTGAGAAAGTCAACAATGAAAATAATGTTTAGTTGCAGCCCTAGTGGTTAATACAGATCAAGCCTGTGGAGGACAAGTTGCTTTCCTTTGTCGGTCTGATTAACCTTTGCCCCTTCAGTAATGGAAATTCAGGACAAAAGACACAAACAGGTTTTGCAGTAGCTTGTAACACATCTGATAGCAGCAATACAACAGTGTAAAACTTTATGCTGACATAATGTGACCCATGTGTAGCAGGATATTAGGTGGTTACGTGATCAGGTGATGCCCAGAGTGAATATCACAATCGATCTATTGCTTTAGGCTGTTGAAGAAATTTTACCCATAGTCCTCATGTGAAGTTTGCTGTAGGGGGTGTTTATTAGTATTTCGGTATACGGTGGGCTCACCAACACAGAGCATGAGTCTGTGATGGTGGACCGACCCCTAAGATCTGCCGAGTCACACATTTTATAGGGTACGTCAGAGAGTGGGGGGTGCCTGTATGTAAATACAGAAACGAATGGTGGTTAGTTAACATACAGTTGCTAATCAACTGGCAGGAGGTAAGGGGACAATGAACAACAGGGGGTGGAATCGGGGGTCTGTGAAAAGAGAATGACTTTCTTAATCATCATCAAAATAAAAGAAAATTACTTTCTTCATCAAGGCACATGAGCTAATCCGTCGCTGGCTTATGAATGAAAATCTAAATTTAAACCTTAAAAATGATAAGGTGTGACTTTAAATTAGAAAAATCCCAATAGTTGCAGCACTACTATTTTTTGACCTTTAAACTGAGAAGAGACAAATCAATTAAAATAGCCACTTGAGTCTATAAAATGTGAACTGAAGAGAGAATCTTTTGCAGGTTTTCTTTAGGGACTGGTTTAAATCATGCAACAGACAACCTGAAGTCAGACATGCAAAGCAATAAAGGAACCACAACAACCACCTCCCAGTCCTTCCTGTGCAGTGATATTAAAGATTTACTGGATCTTGTCGCATAACAAGTAATTCTTGTTCTTGTTCTGTCACTCACTGTTTGCACTTTTATCCCAAACCCACAGCTGAAGTGATAACCCACTAACAGCATTTATGAAACTGGACCAGCAGCAATCAACTGATATGCCATAAAAGGCTCCTGTGAAGTCGCATCTGATTGGTTGACCCACATTCTAGACGTCACCGGGCGCCTCTGATTGGTCGGCCGCCGTTTGTTTTGCACTCCTCAGACTTCCTCCTCTGCGTGTTTTCATAAACAAACCACATTTTTCTCCCGCCGGGGCCGCCGCTCTCTCTCTCTGTCAGCCTGCCAGCATTGTCGAATTCCAGCTCCCGTTTTGAAACCGAGGCCGTGGAGGAACTTCGAGCACTGGTTTGAGATTCAAAAGAGAAACGCGGGTAAACGGGCTCCGCTGCAACAAACCGGAGGGCTGCGTGTGTTGTCGTTTTTTTTTTTTTTCTTCTTCTTCTTTTTGTTCTGTTCGGACCGTCAGCGCGTGGTGGTCCGTTACACCGAACCGAGCTGCGGCGTCTTATCGGCTTTTGTCGAGTGTTTTTCGACTGTCAGGTCACGTCGATCCGCCGTGTGGGACCGTGAGGAGCTTCGGTAATATCAGGTGAGCGGACAAACACCGGAAAATATCCTGCAATGCGCATCTGCGCTGCTGTTGTGTGTGTTTACTGTGCGGAGCTAGCATGCTCAGCTAACACAAGCTAGCACAGAGCCAGTGGCCGATTTGTGTTGTGGCTGCAGATGCATCAGGCCGTTTTTGGACTCGTGTGTTATTAAATAGCGACCGACAGACGGTCACCAGTGTCGGATGATGCACAAACTGCGCAGCACTCGTTGCCAGGGCTTGAATTTGGGTTAACTGATTGCATCTGTGCAGGCTATTCTGAACCAGGAAGCAACTGTGCCCAAACCTGTATGCCAGCATTAGTCTCCACTAATAATATGTGCCTTGTTTGATATTCTGCATAGTGGCTGCAAGAAGTTACATAATTATGACATTTTGTTCACAAAGGGTGCATTTCATTTTTATTCATTGACGTTTAACTAGCCCCGTTTCTGCTAGGAAAATAAAATGTACATGAAATGTTAACATGAGAAACGTGAACATGGCAGGTTGTGACAAATATAGTTCAAAGTGATGCGTCCAGAGTTAATTAGTAAACAAGAGTTTTGGTTTTCTAGCGCAAACTTAAGGGTTAGTAGGTCACACCTCATCATTTTGACTCAGGAGGGTTAATTTTTGTTTTTTTTATTTGCTTTTCATTTTATCATTAACCAGAAACTTATTGGTCCATGTGGCTAAAACACTACATTTATTGTGAATCCTGGCATTTACTCTGGACATCGTCTGATCAGGCAACCACCTATTTTCCTGCAACAGTTGGGTCAGGATAGAGCTTTACAATGTTGTGTTGCTGTTATCAGGTGTGTTCAAAGCTGCTGGAAAACCTGTTTGTGTCTTTTGTCCTGGGTTTGCTAACTGATAAAGTAATAGATAAAGAGACTATTAAAGGAACGCCTTCCACACGACTGATCTGTTGTTATGGTTAACCAAAGGGACTGCAACGAATCACTGTTTTAATTGTTGTTATATCAGTTGATTAAATTCTTGATTAATTGATTAGGTATTTTGACTCTAAAATGTCAAAAGTTGGTTTAAAAAACAAAAAAATACATTGTTCATGTTTAAGTGTTTCCCAAAGCCCAAGGTGTCAAATGTATTGTTTTGTCCACAACCCAAAAAGATTCATTTTACTGTCACAGAGGAATAAAGGAAGAACACAAATATTCAATTTTAAGAAGCTGGAATTAGAGGATGTAGATTTATTTATTTTTCTTAAAAACATTACTCAAACTGATTAATCACTGGCCAGAATAGTTGCAGATTATTGCAATCACTGACAACTAATTGATGAATCGCTGAAGCTCTATTAACCAGCCAGTATAACCACATTAGTGACCCGTATGCAACAATAAAATACCCTCCTGTCTCTTTCTACCATCATCTCGTCAGTCATGGTGAAGCTGACAAAGGCCAAGACGTTCCAGGCCTACCTGGACTCCTGCCACCGTCGGTACAGCTGTGTGCACTGCCGCGCCCATCTGGCCAACCATGACGATCTTATCTCCAAGGTCAGTATGCCACCCACCTCTCTTGTTCATGTTTAGGTGTCTCTTCATGTTAGAAAGTGGGCAAAACTTAAATACATGCACTTTTAAAAATATTATCACTATCTTGGGTTTCCTTCCCTGATCTCCCTTTTCCTTCTTGTCTTCTAGTCTTTCCAAGGCAGCCAGGGCCGAGCCTACCTCTTCAACTCTGTGTAAGTATTTTGCTTTGAAGTACTACCACATGTTTCACACTGAAAGTAGAAAAGGGTCATAATCTTATTTTAAGTTCAGATCTTATCTCTATCTCAGCGGAGATAAGCAAAAAGTGAATTCAGTTACCACTGATTTATATTCATCACAGCTGTAAAAACTTATTTCTCCAACTATTCCTATTGTTGGGATATCTAGGATCTTTATTTTCCCAGGATTGTGTTTCTGAAATAGTCTAGCTGTCTGTGAAAGCCAATTCCCTGTATTACATATGTTTACACAGAGCATATTGTGAACAGATAATTTGATTTGCTCTCGAGTGAACCCTGAAGTTGGGTGAGTTCACTTTCGTCACGGCCATCCTGTGTTAGTGGGTCAGGAATGCACACTGAGATGTGAGCCAATTAAATAACTTTAATCCAGCTTCAGCGAATGCTCAGTTTAAACCTTAATGTGTTCAGTGAAGCTCTGCTTTAAATTCTTGGAAAGGTGTCCTCCCCTCAACTGTTTTTGTCTCCTTTAAATGAAGTTATGGCAGCAGTGCAGGAGAGGAGATCCTTCGCTGTTTAGGGCAAAGCTAAGCAGAGTAGTTTAATCATTATTGTGAAGCCTTCAGTGACTCAGAGAGCAGCTGTTGTCTGACGAAGCTGCATTTGTTTCAGGGTGAACGTCGGCTGTGGACCTGCGGAGGAGAGGCTGCTGCTTACAGGACTTCACGCGGTGGCCGACATCTACTGTGAAAACTGTCACACCACGCTGGGCTGGAAATATGTAAGTCTGTCCCCGACAAACAGATGCTGGCTGATTGTTCGTGAAATCGGTTTTATGCATGAAAGTTTCCATTTGTTCATTCGCTGCAATGGAGAAGATGATTACGGTGACCAGAAGTTGTGTGGTAGAGATGGTTTCACTAGATGTGTCTTACCTAAAAGCAGAAGTCTTTCTTTGTTATTTCAACTTCATTTACATTTACTTCCCTCTTAATAATCTCCATCAGCATCAAAAAAGACCCAAGATGACCAGTCACAATTCTAGTAGTCAATGCTGACGTTACATTTCTTAGTGATCGCGCTCCAAACCTACACTCTACCTGCCAAATATAGCTTTACACACTTCACTTTAATTTTATGTAAAATGTCAAGAGATGTGAAACACACATTGCCACATATGCATTAACTATGTTAAATTGCTTTAGGGGAAAAATACAGGATATTATTTAGCTAACAACCACATTGTTTAAAAAAAAAAAAAAAAGTTAACTTGTCACCCCAAGAGTTCAGATTTTGTTGTAGGTCATTGAAGGTAAAGAAAAACGGAGGAAATGACACATTCATTGTCAGCATAGTTTTGTGAAATACAGTTAAGCTCGAATGTGTGCAACCAAAGTTGTCATCCAAGAAGTACAATAAGGTTTCACACACCCAAATCTGTCAGAATATTCATATTATTTAGCTTTGAATGTCGAAATTTAGTACAGTGACAAATGCACTGATGTTGCAGCTGCTTCAGTGTGTCAGTTAAATAATTGAGTCATTTGTGGGTGAAACTCAAGGATTACAATGAATATTCAGATTGATTTGAAAGCGTGAATCCTTTTTCCTTTTGACCGTTTGTTGAAGCTACACTTTCATCTCGTTTGAACAACCCTTTTGCAACTTTCTCCTGCAGGAACAGGCCTTCGAACTGAGTCAGAAGTACAAGGAGGGGAAGTACATCATCGAGCTGTCCCACATGATAAAGGACAACGGTTGGGACTGAGAGGGAAATCTTCATCTTTCTTCATGACTTTTTCAAAAGTTGCATCCCCTCAACTTAAAAGGGTTCCAGTGTAGCTTCTTCATCCCGCGTTCGAGCCGTCGCTGTGCCACACTTTATCACTTCATAAAGCTTTGCCAAGAATAGCATGTGATGCCTTATCTTTATGTGTTCTTCATGTTTTTCCAGCGAGCACAACAACACATTTGCTGATATTGCTATCCCAATTGCTAGTTGTGCCGGGACATGGACTGAATGAGTGCAGGGTTTGTGTGTGGAAACCTGGGAGATGTAGTTGCACAGGCACCAGTGCGTGTTGGATTTTTCAAGTGTATTAGTGATCAAACCGTTTTCAGTGACCACCAAACAGCCTCACTCTGTGACGGCGAGGCTAGTGCAAGTCAAATTATTTGATCTTCTTACACATCGGATGCAGGTATGTGGGTTTTCCCTTTGACTTTAAGGTGCACATTTAGATTTATCTGGCCCAAACTAAGTATTTAGGCTTGTTTAACCCACTGATCATGTGATGCGAGGGTATGGAAATGCTAAGAGCATCGGGAGGGCTTGTTTTTTGTTTTTTTTGTTGTTGTTTTTTTAAATCTGTGAAATTCATGTTTTTATGATAAGATCAGTAATACTTGTTTATATTTTGCCAAAGGCAATCAGGCTGTGGAATTAGTAATGTTAAATCCCACCTGCAAGAATTCTTAAATCTGGAGTATGAATGTCTTCTGCTTGCAGGTATACCTTTTAGGATGTGAGTGTGTGTGTGTGCAGTGTTTGCTGAGATGTCTTAAGCTGGACAGTGTTGAGAAGCATTAGTCTGGAGTTAGTTCACGTCTGGAATTTCCACTGCACAGTTGGGATATCTTCACTTCTCCTTAATGCTGATGAGATCTATCCTTTATATGTGTATTACCTAACACCGAGCTGTCCTCACAGATACATTCGCTAGTTCGTGTTAGAGCCAAGTGTGATTAGGATAATGTAGCATATTTATGGTGACTTTTAATGTCTGCTTCTTTCATTAAAGTGTTTTTATTTTAACCTGATCTTTCATTAAAATAGTGTGCCAGTAACATTTGTGGTTAAGTTTTCTTTTGTCATTTCATGTTGTATGAAATCTTGCTTCTGGTTCCTGAAACACATTCTTTTCTTCATTTAGCTCAGTGACGAATACATAAAGTAGACGTTGAGGAAGTTTCTCTTTTAAGTACAGAGACAACATGAAAGTCTGGGGCTGTGTTCACAAAACAGCTAAAACAGCTGTCAGAATTAGAGAAAACTACTCGGAAATATTCAGGATGTCAAGTTTCAGAGAAGGTTTCTCCTCAGTGTTTTTTGAAAAGGTTAACAATAGAAGGATTTTGTTGGCTCAGTGACAAGTCAAAACAATTCAACAACACCGGAGATGAAGGTTTGCACTCGTCTGTATGGACGCTGGAAAAATACAATCTGCACTGCTCATATCTCAGCGGTCTCATGCAAACCAAAAATAGCCCTTAAACTTCATTAGGAGCATCTAGTGCCATTTAGGAGGACTCCTAGTGGTAAGATAAGATCTTTTTAAAGAATACAAGCCCTGATCTGATCCCCATGTGAAGAAGCGATAAACCTTAGCATGCATTCCAGACTTGCGACATAATGTTGACTTCCTTTTTAGCCAGTATTTATTGATGCATGTGACATAACAGTGCTGGAACAAAGTAAAGGTTACAGTTTCAGTTATGCAGGTTAGTAGAGTTCTTGTTTTCATGAAGGATGAAATCAAGCTCTGACTGTTCTGCAGCTCAGCCAGCAGATGGTGCTGTGGGTTCTGCTAGGTTGTAGGTATATTTCCATGTTTCAATCCAGTTCTTTGGAAAGATTTACGGTGCCTTTGATTCATATTTATCGTGTAATAATATAACCAGTTCCAGATTCATTCTTCAGCATGAGTCCAGACATAGAGTCAAAGTCATAAAGAAGTGTCTTCAGCAACAATAAGAGCAATTAGTCCGGTAACAGATGGTGGGGGCCCCACAGAGCCCTGATCTCTGGGATTACATGAAGAGACAGAAGACACTGAGGCAGCATAAATCCACAGAGGAACAGCAGAAAGGTCATCAGGATGCTTGGAGCAAGTAACCTGCCAAATGGGTGGAAAAACTGTGTGCAAATGTTGGAGAAGCAAAGGGTGGTAACATCAATGTTGGTTTGATTTAAGTTTTTTCTGTTTACTACACTCTGTATACAGTTATTTCAAGTATTAAATGCTGTGTATTGTAATTTTAGAGAATATCACACCGTTGCTCCTATTAGGTTACCACAGTCCATTCAAAAAAGATGAAGGGATTCAAATGTAAATTTAATTTGCAAAATTTAAATTAGGCACTTCAATCCTAAAGGCATTTTAGATAATATAAAATAAAATGTCATATAAACAATATTTGCAATTATAAGACAAAACCAGTTTGTCCACAAATTACTGTGAATGGATCATAGTTGTGTTTTACAGTAGTATTGTACTGCTTACCAGCAGAAGTCAAAATGAAACATGGTGGAAGTTGTTATAAACTCAAATTAAACACTGTCAGAAGATCAGATTAGTTGTGGGCTCATGGATGATCTGATGATGTACATTTTTAAAAAATAAATAAATAAAATCTACAGTAGTGAAGTAATAAACTGAACAGGCTTTATTTTACTCAAATGATGGTCATTTAAGGTTTGTTGCAGCAGGAATCCTATGTGTATGTCTGGTGGACATGATTTATAACAGCCAGGGTTTATATTCTGTAACTTCCCCTGGTGGTATGTAATCAAGTACATTTACTCAAATACCGTGGCTAATAACAAATTTAAGGTACTTTTTTCATGCCACTTTGTGTTCCTCTATCTCAGAGAGAGATATTTTTTCTGCTAGCTTTAGTTACTTTACATTTTACATTACAATTAAAATACCCTAAATGTTTATAAAAGTACAGCTGAAATGGTTTGTCAATTAATCAATTTGTAAATTTACAGAAAACTGACACACATGAGAGCATTTGTGATAGCATTTCTCTCTTTTTTAAACAAAGGTTTTACACACAATCAATTAATGGAGAAAATAAACAGAATTTTAACTCACAATGATGGAAAAATAAATATTAGTTGCAGTTATATACAAAATAGTTCAAAATTAGCTCCACTTCAGCCAGTTACAGTCCAACATTTACATTAATATGTGAGTAATATTAAAGTAATGACATAATATATAATAGTAATAACATTACAAGAGACATTTTTCTGCACTGAATACTTTTACTTTTAATACTTTAAGTAAATTCTTGTGATTACATGCTTTTACTAAAGTAATATTTTAAATGCAGGGCTTTTATTTGCATTTGTTTTGCATTATATTTTAATAGTGTGGTGTTCGTGCTTTAATTTACCCAAAAGATTTAAACACTTACCACCACTGGTAACCATCTTTCTGACTACCATCTATTTAAACTGCCCTACATAGAAGACCACAGACTATGGCGTTTTTTATGCATTTTAAATTACATTTTTTACCTTTTGTAAAACTTACTATGCTTCCTAAGAAGTCATTATCATTGTAAAAAGAAATATGTGGGAATATAAAACTGTGAATCCCTGAAACATTAAAGAAATAGTGATCATACTTTAAGCACCAGCAGGTCACATGAATGAGCTCTGACCAGAACTAATAGCTTTTTTCTTTTTCTTCTTTTTTTTCACATGGGCTGGAGGGGCTGCTGACGGTCATGTGTATGCGATACATTATCAGCGGTTCTGCTTCCACTTTTCATTCCTGGAAACGCTGTTGTCTGAGTATATTTCCACGTGACAACTCTTGAGGTCTTAATTATACCTTTTTCTTCTTTAATCCTGAATAACACAGCTGCATACATAAGGACGGCTATGTAGTGTGAAACATGGCATCAAGGAGCAAAATGCCATCCTAGTTTGTGATTTGGACAAATCCACCAAACTAACCAGAAAATGAGTGTAATTCATGTTGTGTTCAGAGCTGCTGGAGTCATGAAATATGTCAAACCAAATCAAAAGTTTGGGTTCAAGACTGCAAAAACTTCAATCCATGCACAGAAATTATTTTAAGCATATAAAGCAGGAGGCGCAGCAGTAATTCTTCACTGATTATAAATGTTTGTCCTGTGCAACAGTAAATTCAGTTTATTAATGAATTTGATGATTTGGTACAAAGTTTATTGAAGTCTGTCAATGTAAAGTAGCAGAAATATTCTTGAGGACAAGTGATGCAAATAATTTGGAGGTTTAATCTAATCAAATTAATTTTTTGATTAGTTTTTTTTTTCTCAGATCATCAAATTTACAAGAGGATATATCTTAAGAACTGGATTGTCAAGGAGTTAAAATATTAAAGGGGGTTTTGTTGGATATGCTGTGGAGAAAATATACATGTTAGGAAGTTAAATTGTGTTTTTAAACATATGGAGTGGCAAAAATAAAATCTATGAACAAAATCTGCCCAAAATAAGAAAAAAGTACGTTCTGCAGTAAATTATGAGGTGAACTGTCCCTTTAGCTCAGATCAGTAACACCCATTTTCATTAGTGTCACCTTGACAAAGGCAGCTCCGGGATGCGACTCCAGCTCCTCCAGCAAAGACAGTGTTAGATTATTTGACTCCTGGAGAGAATCTAATCCTGTTTTAGGTTAATGTGTGCCTGACAGGTTTTTTTTGTATGCTTATAACAACATACAACAGTCACACACTGTGCTGCGCCTGCGGCTGGATGAATGCTGGAGGGGATGCACACCCCGTGTGACTGTTTTCTCACCCTGTCTACATCGCACTGTTTAATTGCTGTTGTCGTATTGTTAAATTATAGAGAACAAACGCTGTTTGTGGTTGATTTTTACTACCTATTTGATGCCTAATAATTAATACGCCAGCGTGTAGTGACGACTAGCGTTTCAACTGCAGTCAGTGCACTTGCAGCAGAACATACCACAACAGACGCACCGCACAAACCATTTATATCATATGTCGTAGTGACACAACCGCCTGTAACACATAATTATTTTAATATTTACCTAAAGTGGCGATAACTTTAAACGGTATATTAGGATTAACTAAATAGGAAGAATGGGATATTAGACACCCTGTTTTTTTTTTTCGAGCACCCCCCGTGTCCGCACAAATGGATCCGTCCGAGATGGTTGGTCATGTGACTTTTTCCGTTTCGCCATTTTCCTCCTCTACACCGGTGCTCCTGCTGGCAGCTAAGTTGTCGCCCCCTCCCAGTGTTTTAACCTGCCCCGAGGTGACGGTGGGACAGAGGAGACCCCGAAGAGAAGACTGTCTGCTCCGTTAGCTGTATCGCCCCCCGAGAAAAGAGCGAGAATGACCGAGGAGAGCCCCGAGTACTCGCCTTTCTTCGCCGTGATGGGTGCCTCTGCGGCCATGGTCTTCAGCGGTAACTACACCAGCTTCTCCATCTCACATCTCACCCTTTCACCGTCAACCGCTAGCTTAGCCAGGCGATCGTGTCTGTGTCAATGACGGCGAACACAGCGGGCCAGTTGTCGCGGTCGAGAAAATGTGTCGGTGGTCGCTGGGTCGGTCACGGCTCACAAACACCTGCCAGGGATGCGAGAGGGAGAGGCGGGGGACGACATCAAGCCGCTGACCGCCAGCTCCTCGTTTAGCTAGCTGACATCCTCGGTGTGATCCAGGTTATATCAGATCAGCCTGTAACGATGTGCTCTGGAAGCTGCTGCTGCTGCTGCTGGTTGGTGACGCAGACCATCACAGCTGCTCCGGTCAGGCCATTTATAATCTGTCATGATGACGGGGAAGGCCAGGTCTTAGTGAATTAAAGGAGAAAAAAAAACACGATTCCTGCAGGGTGTGGGTACAGCACAGGTTTCTCATTGGTTTTAATCAGCTGCTCAGGAGAGGGAGCATTGAGGCCTAAACATCAGTGTGATGAATTAAAGGGGGAATCCATCCATTCATCCATCCATTCATTCATTCATTCATTCATATCCAACACCGCCTGTCACAGAGGAAATAGGCTCCACTAAAGAATTCACATCTTAGTGGGAGAAATTTTGAAAAAGTTGTCAGTGAAGTGATGTTATTTTCTGCAGAATCAGAAATGTCACTGTTTCAATCACCATGAAATCACTGATGATGAGTGACAAACTTGACTTTTTGGTTAGTTTTAAAATGATAAATCTACAAATACACTAATCCAGCTTTTTGACATCCGATACAAACGACAGCATCTTGTCTTAGGATGTCTGCTAAAACTTTCTACCCAGTTATGTATCATTTCTCTCTTTTTTCCCCCCACTAAATGTATCTAGGAATTGTTCAAGTATCAGAAAGTATGTTGTTCCTGAATGAATGAATTGTAGGTCCAAAATTTTAAACATTTTTAATGTGGATTAGTGACATTCTGGCCGACATCTAATTGGATCAGTGCATCCATTATTAAAGTTTAAAGACTTACTGACACTTGTGTATTGAGGTGTGTGTGTAAGAGGTGTCTGATCTGAAAGTTGTGGTTATATTTTCACAAACTATTTAATTGTAATTCCTGTTCCTTATACCTTACAAATGTATTGATTGCACCTCACATTAAATTTACATTATTTCATGTACCACAGGAATACAGCAACACCTCGATACAGCAGTATGTTTTCGGCTTTACTGCTGTGAATCTGATAATGTGTGCTGTTTGATTCTTTATTATAGTTCTGATCCAGGATTTCTCAAAGGAAACAGGTGCATGAAGTGAAACACCTAGTGTAACTTTTAAGAAAAGGAAAATAAGTCTTTAAAAAAAAAAAAAAGCACTTAAGCTCAATCGAGCATTTAACAGTTGACATCTGTGAAACGTCCATCACTATTTATTATCAAATTGATGTAAATACAACAGCTTTGGGATCACACGCACTGCAGGTTCAGTCTATGAAATCTTGAAAAAAGGAAGTTTTTAAATCTTTAACTTTATGCCCATACAAACTGCAAAAAATATCCTTCCTTCCCAGATTATAAAGACAAGTGGTGCTTTGTGTGAAGCAGATAATTTGTTGGATGAGATGCTGGGTTGTACAATTCCTTTTAAAAATTGGTTTTAGTCTCAGTACATAGCCCCTGAATGTGACGGCACGGCCAGCCAAGTGAGAAGTGTTAAAAGCTGTGTTATTGTGCGACTTGTTTGTTCGTTCACTCCCGCTAGTCGTCACTGCAAACAGATAGCATCCTGTGTTCAGAGCCACTCACTGATTGTGTCCAGCGAAATCAAATACAGTGAATCTGTAATTGGCCGCTGATGATTTACGCTCTCCAGGTGACAAAGAGTAGCTGCATAAATGTCTGCAATGTGAGTTGATTTGTTATAGAAGTGCAGATGTGAGACAAATAATGTGATGCTGTGCTCAGTGACACATTCTTTTCCTTCTTTTGATCAGATTAGTTTGATAGCAAAACGAATGCATTACCAACACACAACAGGGACTACAAGGTGTGCATGAAAATCAAAACCTATTCTGTTTTTCTGTTGAGGAAGGTATTCATTTTGGGATTCGTCATGTTTGCTTTTTTTTTTTTTTTAGCTACCATGAAATCCAAGACAACGCTGTCGCTATCAACAGTCTAATCAACACTCCTCTGATAGTGTCAGCATCCACTAAACATTACAATGTTCAAATGATAGTTGTCAATCTTCTAATCTTTGTCTAGACGATTAAAACATTTTGATTAAATACATACAATAATACACCTCTGACCAGGTGGCTTTTAGAAAGTCCTCTCTGACACAGACAAAAATTCACAGCAAACAGAAGTAAGAGCAGGTAAAATGAACACAAAAGGAAACTTATAATCAAAATCAGAAAAAAATACAAATTAAAGGTTGGGATGGTCACAGAGCTGCTGTGTTACGGTAGACGACTGTAGATTGTAGACATAACCAATAAACTGTAACTGCAACATTTTTGGCTGGAGACATGCAGCGATAATAACCATGTAAGCAGACCAGGCATCAGTAAAACATGAGGTGACAGCAGAGCGGAGAGGAAAACTGCAGGAGAAGCTCCCATCCGTGTCATTAGTCATGAAAATAGTCATATATCAAAGTATTGAAGTGGGCGGTGTTATCTTTGCTTCACAGTGCAACCATTTGTCACAGTTTCTATTTTATTTTTCTAAGGTGGTTTCTGTGGTAAACTTGAAAATAGGTGTGATTTGCAAATATGTCTCTTTCTTTTTAAAGTATTAATGTCAAGTATTTATTGCTGCACAAGAGATAAGAGGCAGTGGAGCATATTGCAGTGTTTCTTGTTGTGTTTTCGTGTTGTGCAGGGTTGTATTCAACTATCTTCAATGAACGTGCTGAATTATGTTCCATTAAGCTCCATCTTAATCCATATGTTGTCTGGTTTGAGTTAATATTGATCCTTTGTGAAGAATTAATTCACACTGAACCGAACAGCTGAATTAACAGGAGCTCTCATCTCTCACTCTCAGCATTAGGAGCAGCGTATGGGACGGCAAAGAGCGGCACAGGCATCGCTGCCATGTCCGTGATGCGGCCAGAGCTCATCATGAAGTCCATCATCCCTGTGGTCATGGCTGGTATCATCGCCATCTACGGGCTGGTGGTGGCTGTGCTGATAGCAAACAACATCTCTGAGAGAGTCAGCCTTTACAAGTAAGATGAACTTCTGATGCGCCCACAGGTTCAGTTTTTAACATGTTATTTCTGCTCATGTTAGTTGTGTAACATGAGAGACATGGTTCATATCTTTGTGTCATATCTATGCACTTAGTTTACATCTTGCATGTGCACATAACTCCCCAGTGACCTTAACTTAGAAACAAAACACACGAAACAAAGTTAGAATCTCATAAGTCCCGACAACCAGTCAAATAATATAATCAATCGATTTTTGACAACTGAAAATTCCACTTCGACTTTGAGTCCAGTAACTTCTGTTCTGTGAGCTCCGTTTTAATCTCTGCCAACTCTTGAGAAAAACATCTGGGTCTTCGGTTGACTGAATGTTTGACTTCCTTCTTCATGGTACATTTGCTGTGTCCGGCTCTTCGGTGCCTCAGACAGTCGACTCATCACAACTTGTTTCCTGAAAATGACTGACCACAGTTCTAAGAGGCTGCTGAGACTCAGCCGTACAGGCTTATGTGGGATGAATGACCAAAATAAATTTACATGACTGAGTTGCGTTCGGACATCAAGCGGTCGCCGTCTCCTGCTCCACTGTGTCCAGTGAAAATAAAGAAGTGCGGCATGTTGTCAGGCAGCCGCTCATGAACACGTATTTGAATGCTGTCTCGAGTGGTCCTTTCACATTATTCATATAGCGACCTTGATGAACAGATTTTTATGAGAAAACTAGTTGTTGTTGTTTTTCCCTTTGGCATTTTTGTATGCGTGTGAGATAAAGCTTGAGTTAATGTATGCATTTTGACCACTGGTCCGTCACATCCCACTGGTTTCTTTACCAGAATGAAACATGGAATCTGCCCCATTTGTATTGTTAAAGAGAAGAGGGAGACTTGAACTAACATCTGAAAACACACCATGTTAGCTACTCCAGCCTGATAAAATGTATGTAGATCATAGTGAAATGATGTTGATGATGGACAGGGTCGACTCGTCTCCTCAAATAACATCTGATGTGAAGAATGTATGCATAAACTGTGTCCGCGGTAAGAAGCATATACAGGAAGACACAATACTGAGATTTTCATATTTTTTAAAAAAAAAAAAGGTGGTTTTGCATATTTAGCAAATAATAATAATCATACATAATTAACACTGGTACACATATTTCTAGCACATGAAACATGTTGTTTATGTTACTCAAGTTCCAGAGGAAGTCATTAAGCAGGAGACAGCAGGCAGGAAGAGTCTAAACAGTAAGAGGCCACCTGATGATCAGATCTGATGTTCAGCTTCTCCATTTCCAATTAGCACTATCTTTTTTTTTTTTTTTTTTTTTTTTAATAAACCCATTCACAATCAAATTAAGTTGATTTTAAAATGCACTGCTTTGGCTTTGATGCATGCACCAGAGTATTAGTATGTCAGCACTGAACAGATGACGTTGAAAAGTCTGCAAGTATGTAAAACATAAATAAACATGTCTCGGAGTTTGTGCATTTCAGGTTTTTGACGCCAAGATGTTTGTTTTTACTGCATATGTGTTGTTTCTTTCTGTTGGATATCAGTCTACTTAGTTACTAATAATCACTAATGGTATCAACCCTGAAACCATAGCTCACTGGTCATCTCCCAATAAACAGACACTGTATCAAATTTGTTCTTGTTGTTTCTGCTCTATATGATGAGAATATGAGAGATGAGGAACCTTCAGTGAAGTTTTGACTGACATTAAGGAGATTAGATGAACTTTTTTTGAGGGAGCTTTCTCTTTAAATGATACACCACCTGAAACATTTTTAGTTTCAAAGATTCCCAGTGTATTGTTTCCAAAATAACGCTAAATAAACTACCTCTATGAGGCAGATTGTGATGCCTGCACTGGTATGGACACAAGTAATAAATCCTGATTTCGTGCACGACTTCTCAAAGTAAGAAGAGGTGATTATTAACTGACTCTTTTTGCTTTTGTCTACAGGAGTTTCCTGCATCTCGGTGCCGGTCTGAGTGTGGGCCTGAGCGGTCTGGCGGCCGGGTTCGCCATCGGCATCGTTGGGGACGCCGGCGTGAGAGGCACCGCTCAGCAGCCCCGGCTTTTCGTGGGCATGATCCTGATCCTGATCTTCGCCGAGGTGCTGGGTCTTTACGGCCTTATCGTGGCCCTCATCCTATCTACAAAATAAGTGTCTCCATCAAACACCATCTCATTCATTCCACATCAAAGCAGCGAGAACAAATAGGAGATTTTCACCTACTTCCATTACACCCCGTGGGTCTGACAGGATGGGATGGCGACAGAAACAAGTTGGCGGTCGACTTCGACAGCTCAGTCCTCAGTAGATGTGATCTATCCATATTGTTTAAAGCCATCCAGTTGTGTCAGGTCCTGTGCGTACAGAACGGGCATGAAGATGTACTGTTTGTTGTGGGATGATGTGTGGACAGTCTGCCTGATTTATTGTCTGATCTTAAACTGTACAGTGATCCAGAGTCCCTCCACCCCCAGTAAATGTAGTAACCAGTCTGTGCTGTGAGTGTGAGTATCAACGTTTACCCCTCTGCCCATTCCCCTCCTTTGACTTCTGTTTTTCGTTGGTGGTTTTTATTGTCATTCTCTGTTTTGAGACTGCTGAAAAATTGTGCACACTAGTATTTTATTTTTTCATGTTCTTTTCGGGGACCATTTTTGAATCACATTTTTTTTTCACTATTTATGGAAAGCTATGAAGATTTTGAAACTGTCTAAATGGAATACTGTTTATTGAATACCCTATATACATAAAATATATAAATTATCTGTGTATAGTTAGATTAATTGCACTGTGGGTAATTGTTCTAAGTGCTTGGAATTCCTCTGGATGTAGTGTGATTATTAATGGAGGACGTCCACATGTTCACATGGAGTTGACAGTGTGTGTGCGCGTGCGTGTGAATGGTCTGAGTGTAAAATGCGTGTGAAAGTGGATTTATGTTTAATATGACATTCTCAAACACTAGTATCGTTTACCTGTAGTGCTGCTGTCTTGATTTTTTTTGTTCAAGGTGAGAGCTCACTGTTCAGCCATGCCTGTCAGATTTCCAAATAAAACTCAACCTCCTCCAGAACGGCGCCGTCACATGTATTTCTTTATGTCATCATGATGCATTCAGAACTTCCTTTTGTAATTGAACTGCAACACGACACTAGCCAGTGTATGGAATTTTTATTTTGATTAATGCTGCACAAAAATACTTCAGATTGTTTCCTAACTTACTACATTTTAACCTTAGGAGATGCAGAGAGCTACGTGATCATTGTTTTGACCCTTTACCATAATTATAGTATATACGGTATAGTTTCATTCCTGAAATCAAGAACTTAAACTAGAACATTTAAATTCCTTAGTTTTACCTCTATTTTTATTTAAAGTGCAGTTTTTTTTTCCTGCAAAGAGGCATTTTTAGACATTCCCAAAAGATATTTTTACTGGCATGAAAGAAAAATCACAAGCATACATAGAATTAAGAACTTTTTTTTAATTTGTGTTTTTCTTAAATGAGTTTTGTTAATTAGGGTTTCATTTACACAAGCGTAAGTGACATTTCTGTTTACCAAATGTTCAAAAGAAAGAGAAAATTGCAGAGTCATTGTCTCCCAAAAGCCTGTTTTTAACCAAGAAAAACACTTTAATCTACAATGTGTAAAAAGTGAAATAAAAACACCTAATTAACAGTTTAGTGACAAAGATGCTTACAGTATGTTTTCATTCTACAGTGCATGCATTTGGCACTTGGAGCAGCTTCTGCCTCTTGTTGCCTTTGTCTTTATTGCTCACTGATTATAGTAATCCCACTTACACACGTGGACAAAATTGTTGGTACCCCTCAGTTAATGAAAGAAAAACCCACAACGGTCACAGAATTAACTTGAATTTGACAAAAGTAAGAATAAATAAAAATTCTATGAAAATTAACCAATGAAAATCAGACATTGTTTTTGAACTGTGGTTCAAACAGAATAAAAAAAAAAAAAAAAAACCTCATGAAACAGGCCTGGACAAAAATGATGGTGCCCCTAGAAAAGACTGAAAGTAATGTGACCATATGGACATGTTCAATCAAGGTGTGTCCTCTAATTAGCATCACAGGTGTCTACAAACTTGTAATCAGTCAGTCGGCCTATTTATAGGGTTACAAGTCGTCACTGTGCTGTTTGATGACATGGTGTGTACCGCACTAAACATGGACCAGAGGAAGCCAAGGAGAGAGTTGTCCCAGGAGATTAGAAAGAAAATGATAGACAAGCATGTTAAAGGTAAAGGCTATGAGACCATCTCCAAGCAGCTTGATGTTCCTGTGACTACAGTTGCTCATATTATTCAGAAATGTAAGATCCATGGGACTGTAGCCGACCTCCCTGGACGTGGCCGCAGGAGGAAAATTGACACTGAAGACATTAAAGGTGAACTCCAAGGTCAAGGTACATCAGCGTCAGATCGCACCATCCGTCGTTGTTTGAGCCAAAGTGGACTTCATGGGAAACGACCAAGGAGGACACCATTGTTGAAGACAAATCATAAAAAAGCCAGACTGGAATTTGTCAAACTGCATGTTGACAAACCACAAAGCTTCTGGGAGAATGTTCTCTGGACAGACGAGACAACACTGGAACTTTTTGGCAAGGTTCATGAATGAATGAATGAATGAAATGAAATGAAATGAAAAATACTTTATTCATCCCAGAAGGGAAATTCAATTCATCAGCTCTATGTTCACAGACGCAAATTAAGCATATCAAGCAAAGAACACTGTCCCTACTGTGGAACATGGAGGAGGCTCTGTTATGTTCTGGGGCTGCTTTGCTGCATCTGGCACAAGGTGTCTTGAATCTGTGCAGGGTACAATGACATCTCAAGACTATCAAGGTATTCTAGAGAGAAATGTGCTGCCCAGTGTCAGAAAGCTTGGTCTCAGTCACAGGTCATGGGTCTTGCAACAGGATAATGACCCAAAACACACAACTATAAACACCCAAGAATGGCTCAGAGGAAAACATTGGACTATTCTGAAGTGGCCTTCTATGAGCCCTGATTTAAATCCTATTAACATCTGTGGAAGGAGCTGAAACATGGCGTCTGTAGAAGGCAGCCTTCAAACCTGAGACAACTGGAGCAGTCTGCTCATGAGGAGTGGACCAGAACACCTGCTGAGATGTGCACAAGTCTCATTGACAGTTACAGAATTGTTTGATTGCAGTGATGCCTCAAAAGGTTGTGCAACAAAATATTAAGTTAAGGGTACCATCATTTTTGTCCAGGCCTGTTTCATGAGTTTTTTTGTTTTTTTTTTAAATAATTCTGTTGAACCACGGTTCAAAAGCAATGTCTGATTTTCATTGGTTAATTTTCATAGAATTTTTATTTATTATTACTTTTTGTCAGATTCAAGTTATTTCTGTGACTGTTGTGGGTTTTTCTTTCATTAACTGAGGGGTACCAACTATTTGTCCACGTGTGTACGGTATAGTTACAACATATAGAAACAGGCAGAGTTCAGCATCGTAAATGTATGATAGGTCTTTGGACATATGACAAAATCTACTCGGTCAAAGATATACATACGGTAACTTGAATAATCAGTTTTGGTGATGTAAACAGTTGTCTGGTATCATGGTCTTCTAACTTGCTGTGAGTGATTACAATTCCACTACAGCTGCTGACTCCTAGAAACCAGTCCAAACAGTTTAATAATATTTGATTTACTGTTACAGGCTGGGGCTGCAAGGTGACACAGCTGGTCGCACTGCTGCCTCGCAGCAAGAAGGTCGCTGGTTCATGTGGAGTTTGCATGTTCTCCCCGTGCAGTGTGGGTTCTCTCCGGGTTCTCCGGCTTCCTCCCACAGTCCGAAAACATGTTGAGGTGAATTGGTGATTCTAAATTGTCCGTAGGTGTGAATGTGAGTGTGCTTGGTTGTCTGTCTCTAAGTGTAGCCCTGTGATAGACTGGTGACCTGTCCAGGGTGTCCCCTGCCTTCACCCTGAGTCAGCTGGGATAGGCTCCAGCGCCCCATGACCCTCGTGAGGATTAAGTGGTGTATAGATAATGGATGGATGGATGATTCACTGTTTAGATTCAGCCACAAACACCACAGTGGGAAAGTCTGAGGAGTTCAGTAAAGCTCTGAAAAAGCAAATCATTGATTTCAATAAGTCAAGAAATTCCCTTGGAGACATTTCAAAGTAGCTAAAGATCACAAAATCATCTATGTAAACAGTTGTTTGTCAGTATAAAGTGCCTGGCACAGTTGTGTCACTGCCACAATCAGAAAGAAAATGTGATCACCTGCTGCTGAGAGATGATTGGTCGGGATGGTCAAGAGTCAACCAAGAATCAGCAAAAAGCAGATCTGCAGTGAATTAGAACCAACTGGAACACAGCTGTCAGTGTCCACAGGGTTTTACATCAACATGAGCTCAGAGGCTGATGAAGAAGGAAGTTCCTCCTCTAGAAGCAGAACCTTAAAGCTCCACTGAAGTCTGCTGCTGATCACATGGACAAAGAAAAGACCTTCTGGAGGAAAGTTCATCATCAGCATCAACCTTTATTTAAACCACACTGAGGTTTGAAGGCCTCATTTACAGTGTAGCCGAGTAAGAGAACAAAAGATGTCTGGACACAAATAAACTCGGATAGCGATGTAATATTAAAGGCAAAGTTAGTAAAATAAAAACTTTAAATATTGCAATTAAGGTTCAAAAACATAAATAAACTAAAACAGGAGCAGCTGAAAGTTAAAAAAAAAAGAAGAAGAAAGAAATAAAAAAGGAAATTTAAAACCTGTATTGCCCAAAGGATGAAAATGAGTCAAGCTTTAGATTGTTTTACAAGTTATTCAGTGTTGCAGGTGGAATCAAACTATGTGGTTCTGTGGTTTAGATGAAACAAAAATGGAGGTATTTGGCCACAATGAGGCCTTCAGATTTACATATGAGCCACATTCCTTCCATTTCTAAATGATGGATTTAACTCGACTCCACTGAGTATTCAGTGACTTTTCTTGTATGCATCCTCTGACTTATGCTTCTCAATAATGTTTTCATAGCTGTGCTTGGAGTGTGCTTGTGTTTTTATTGGGTAGTTATAACCAATCGTACTGCCTCACCGGTGACTGGACCTTCCAGATACAGGACTCTTTATATTACAGTCACTGAGACACATTTGCTGCACCGAGATGATCTACTATTCTACAGTTTCATACTTGCGTTTTATATTTTTAGTTAACATAAATTACTTTGTCAGTTTTTAAAAAAATTTTCAATGCATTGTCAATACAGCAGAACAACAACAACAATTAAATTGACCATGACTGAATGTCGAAACGCAATAAAAAGAGGAAATTTCCAACGGGGTGAATACTTTTTATACATACCGTTTCTACATAAATGATGCTAAGGAGCACCAGGAGCAGTTTCCACCACTTATTGCCTTTTAGTTCATAAATTCAGAATACACTGATTCTACTTTTATTTTTTGGCCCATTATTTACTTGTTGAGTTCCAATTGAAAGACAGAACCAAAAAGAGAAAAAGAGGGAATCTTGTACTAAAATGTCTGTATTTACTAATCGTTTATCAAACTACCTGCTGAAACCTCATCCCACTGTCACGTACATTTGTTTTTGTATTAATATGATGTCCAAACATACAATACAAAAGTAATGCAGTTAGAACTTCCTTTTACCTTTATTGAACTGCAACATAAAAATAGCCAAAATGTTGAATTTTTATTTTTGCTGAAAGGTGTTCAATTTGTTCTTTAAACTACAAAAGGTAAGAAAGAGGGAAGTGCACCACAAAAATACTTGTGATTGTTTTAACCTTAGGGGTTGCAGAGAGCTGAGTGACCATTGTTGTAATCCTTCACCATGATATTACAGTACATGCAGCGCAATTAAGAATTAAATTAAGAATTTAAATTATTGCATTTAAATTTATTTGTTTTATTTCTATTTTTAGTTAAAAGGCAGGTTTTTTTTTTCCTGCAAAGAGGCATTTTTGGTGTTTCCCCAAAGAGATTTTAACTTTCACAAAAGGAAAAAGGAAAGCCTAAAAATGTTAAGAAACAAGAACATATTAAAAATATATATTGTTATGGGGTTTATAGAGTATAATATATTGATTCCCCTTCTTTTGCCTATTCCTTATAATAATTATTTCTATGGTGAGCTTATGTAGAAAGACAGTACCAAAAATAAAAAGGGTGAAATTTGTGCTAAAACATCTGTTTTTATGTTTGTTTGTTTTTTGTTTTTTTTTAATTAACTGCTGAAGTCTCATCTTTGCTTCATATATCTTTTCCCCTCATCAATTACACTGACACAGGAAGAATAATTACCCTCATCACAATAAGCATTTTTGATTGTTTAAACGCAGAACTTTTACAGGTAATGTAGTCATTTCATGACATTTAAAGTGAAATATTTGGGTGTAATCACCCGTTAGCTGAGCAGGCTGACTGGAGTGTTTGCTCTCAGCTGAAAACTTGCTGTGCAGGAGCCGCTGCCTGTTATTGTTTACGGTCACACTCATGTAAAGTAGGTCATGGAAAAAGGAAGCCCAGCCAGCCTCCTTCTCTGCTGTCGTGTATTTACCATCTAACAACGCTGGGATTCAATGAACAGCATCTCCACTGTGCTGTCAGTTCGTGTGGACGCCGATCGTGACAACAAACAGGTAACGTTAACAGCAACCTGTTTTTCCAGGGTTGTTAGCAGCACTCAGCTAACGAAGGCTAACTAGCTAGTTTACGCTAGGTCTGTGTCTGCACCAGCAGCCGAGTGTTTTCAGCCTTTTCTTAATACTTGTGTAATAAATTACAATTTCGCGACGCGCGCCTGTGTGCTAAGCCGTGCACACACCTATAGCCGGCAGCCTGACTTGAATTGTTATGCTTCTGACCTTGTTATAACAGCTAACATGTTAACGAGCTCAGGATGTAGCTAGCGTTAGCCGCTCCTGTTAGCTTGGCTAACTGAAGCTAGTTAGAACAACAACATCGCGCATCCAAGGATAAAATTAACTTCACTGGTGATGACAATGATTTGTGGACAAGGATGACACTGCTATCAATGAGTTACCATCACGTTATGCAGCTAGGATGATGTCTGATCATGTCTATTCTCGATTTTATGAGAGCTTCCACAGATGTCAGTGCTAAATTGCATTTGAAATAAGAACATAAAACTACATTTGGAACTGTAGGATCAAGTCCTAGTCTCATACCAGAATTGTGTAGTATATAGCACTACCGAAAGAAACCGCATTTCTCTGAAATTAACCAGGGTTAAATGAGAAAAACAAAGTTATGCCATACAAAGTTTGCAAATATATCTCAAATTATTTTTAAACAGAAGACCTAAAGTACAAAATGCTCCAAGCAGCAATTTCAAAAGCAGCCCAGGTTATCTAACACTGTAGTCTTCATTCTTCAGTGCCTCTCAAGATAACCATGTTGTAACTTTGGGTCTTTCAGCAGTTGGACTGATGCTGTTCTTCCAACATCTGGACTAAACCGAAAGCGACTCTTCCACCGGTCAGACTCTGTTGCTGCCATGTCCAGGCGAAGCAGGAACAGTCGTGCGTGGCGATACGGATACGTCTGGGGCGGGATACGGCGGGATGCTGATGCCCGGGCCCTCGTGTTGGCCTCTGAAAGTGAAGAGTGGGGCTATGACCGCCTAGAGGTAAGCAGACAATAAGTGTCAGTGGATGCGTAATGTGAGTTTTTGTTTGTGTTACTTGATACAGGAGATAAGATGTGTCACAAACAATTCACCTCATTGAACGCTGTCAAACTAAACGCCTCTCGTTCACCTTTTGCTGGTATGAAGAGTGTGTGTTTACTACTGTGCTTGAAGCTTCAGGTTTAGGTGTTTTTATGTGTTGTGTCACAACTAGTCACATAGAAAGGGATATAATACAATGTAAGTGTTTTGCTGGGAAGCTTCTATATGCATGCATTATTTTTCCACCGCAATAACTTCTTAACAGGCTGACGTCAAAGCCTATGCTGTGAAGTTACATAAGCAGCACTACTGACATTTGATTTCGCTTTTTGTTTCTGCATTATTGCTCCCAAGTACAGTGATTCAGACTCCGAGGCGGACTTCTCAGCTGTGATGGTCCCTCCGGTCCCCAGCGCAGTGCCTGTCACCGGAGAGTCCTACTGTGGCTGCGACTCCCAGGCAGAGACCAGCTACAACCCTCGTCTGCGAGGTTTTCACCAAGTTAAAGACTGCCACTGTGGAGAAGATGACCAAGGTACAAGACAGATGCTGCATGTTAATGGCTGGCCAATTTAAGGACCAGCTATATGGGGATTTCAACCAAGTGTCATATCACAAAGTTGCACCAGTGTAACCAGTTGTGTTATTTCTTTTGTGCTTTGTGATTTGGTCACGTACAGATCATGATTATAACATATTTGTGTGCTTGTTGATAGTCTGCAAAAGAGCACTTAACAGACAAGGCATGTGACATTAAATTTCTTGTGTGACTTGATGTTTCAGAGTTTGACTGGGTTTGGGACGCCAACAGCCGATCGACTGCAACGTTGCTGAGCTGTGACAATCGCAAAGTAAACTTCCACTCTGAATACAGCTGTGGCACAGCAGCGATCCGTGGCTCCAAGGAACTGGCTGAAGGTCAGCACTTCTGGGAAATCAAGATGACGTCCCCAGTTTATGGAACAGACATGGTAAATCTTTACTCCTCGCCTCCTTACATTCATCTGCTCTTCTTGTGAAAATGAAACGAAAAACAAAATGGAACAGCAGGAGAGCAAAATTTCTGTTGTTCAAGTTTATGCATGCCTGTGGTATTTGTTTCTGCACAGATGGTTGGTATTGGTACATCTGATGTCAATCTAGACAAATACAGACACACGTTCTGCAGCCTGCTGGGAAAAGATGCAGACAGCTGGGGTCTTTCTTACACTGGTGAGACCAACACACGATGCTGTGATGTCGCAGTAACAGTTTGAAAGGGTTTTTACTCGTTGGACATCATTGACTGTGTTCATTTTTCAGGGTTGTTGCATCATAAAGGCGACAAGATGAACTTCTCTTCCCGCTTCGGACAAGGATCCATCATTGGAGTTCATCTGGACACGTGGCACGGCACACTTACATTCTTCAAGAACCGAAAGTGTATAGGTCAGTACAAAAAAACCAACATGATGCCAAGCAAGTTTCCACACATAAAATAGATAGATAGGCCTTTATAAACACAAATACAAACAGAATGTGTGCAGATCAGATTCTTTGTTAAATAAATATAAACCATAGTGGGGCATTGGAGCAAGATATCACAGATGGAAATGAACATCTTTGTCACCTTTCTGGATGTAGGTGTTGCAGCCACAGAGCTACAAAATAAGAGGTTTTATCCGATGGCATGCTCCACTGCAGCGAAGAGCAGCATGAAGGTAATCAGATCCTGCTCTGCTCCCACCTCCCTGCTCTACCTTTGCTGTGCTCGTCTTCGCCAGCTGCTGCCAGACAGTATGGACACCCTGGATGTGTTGCCTCTGCCGCCGGGCCTTCGTCAGTTGCTCCACAACAAACTGGGCTGGGTGCTCAGTCTTAACAGTGGCACCACAGAAGAAACCCCAGATGGGCCTGAGGGGTCCTCGCGTTTGCCCGTCCCCCCCTTGGCTGGACCTTCCTCCTCTGAGAGTGACTCGGAGGGTTGTACGTCTGACCCCGAAGCCTGTCAGAGGAAGAGATGCCGCTGGACGTGACTGGACAGCTGAGATCGTACCCCCTCGTAAACACTGGCAGACGTTACTGTCCTCTGGCATCTAATCTAGTGTTACCTACCTGCCTCAAGCTTTCTTCATCATCAGTGTTACCAGTAGTGAAGAAAAGAACCGGGATCGGTTGAGCAGAGGGAGCGGTGCATCGGTGGAAAACTGTGACGGCGGTAATTCTTCCTGCCTGCACATTTTTACTGTGATTTTTCTCTCATGCCATTCTGACATCTTCATGTTTAGCACACATTCAGTATCCAAACTTAGCTTCAGTAATAAGTGAGAATATATGATGTTATTTTGTTAGCTAACATAACTTGTTACCATTCATGTCTGGGGAGTGGTGATGTACAGGAATGGTCTGTACAGTGCAACACTGAAGGCAAGTATGGCCAGATTTTGGTGGTCATTGTGGTATATTTGCAAACAAGGGGACAAGGGGGTTTAAAAAAAAAAAAAAAAAAGACTGTATAAATATTTTCTGTGTTTTCATCCTGTATGCAATTAATATATGTTATCCTGAACCTGAATCCTATCAGTGCATTATCAGCGTACTCTGTTACCTGTTTCACTGGCATCAGCAAGTTTCTGTTTGGTTGCCAAAGTGAGGATCAGTTGATTCTCTGTTTCATAACTACTGGTCACGACTCAAAAGCTGAAAATTTAAACTGTTAAAATCTTACGTGTTACAAAGATGTCCTATGAACCTTAATGCACTCAGCAGTTTTTAGTCAAAAATGTGTCTTTTTGTTTTTCACAAAACAGCCCCAATTAAGCAACTCATGCACCTCTGATTGCACATCAGATAATTGTTGTATTTGTAACATTCATGGCAGCATCCATCTGTCACCAGCTTTTGAAAATTGAAACCTTATGCTCAATATGTAAGCAGTATACATTGTTATTTAGAGTAGCTCTTTTAACTGTGATCATGAGATGTCACTCAGAAGAGACTGCCACACATTTTAGGTCACTTTTCATCACTGTTCCACCTTATTGTTGTTTTTGGTTTTTTTAACTTTTGAAAATGATTTTCTTTTACAGTAGTTTTAACTTTTTGTACTAATCTGTTTATGCAACTGTGTTTTGTTTTGTTTTCTCAAAGCCTTGTTCCTTTATTTCTTTTATCGACTCTTCTCAACTCTCAACAATTCGATGAGCTGAATCCTTTGTGGTGCACATGTCTATAGAAACTTCCTACACCTCCTGTAGTGAAGTCAGCTCCTGTGCTCTCAGTTTTATTCTTCATAAGTTACTTTCGGTCATCATTTTGTCTAAATATGGCTCTATATGGCCAAAGATTTCAGAGAGACCGCTGAAGCTAAAGCTATGTAATCGAGCCATGTTTTGATGTAACTGATATCTCTATTGAGCAAATGGATCAACATTTAAAAAATGAATAGCAGGGGTGGTTTGATAGTAGTTTTCCTTGTCCCAGAATATTAACCTTTATAGCCATCTTTCCAGCCTACAGAGGCTGAGAGTACTCAAACGATAGATTTAAGTATTGATTAATCAGTAATACCTGAGAAGGGGAACACGACACCTGGGTCAGATATGTAAATAGTTGTTATTTTTAGGTTCTTTGTAGGAACAAACCATAATAATGTAATGTTAGTATTTGACCCAGGTGTTGAAGCTCCAACTGCTGTGTCAGACGCCTCTGATCATGTTCACTCCTCGAGGTTTTGGTGTTAGTACATGTAGGATATACAAAGATTTAAGGTACTATGCAATACAAGCATTTTCTATGATGGTGGATGTTTAAGGATGTCATCGTGGAGGCACAACAACAGTGGTGATGGTACCAGAGGACCATGCTCATTAGTCATGACTCACATGATGTCCAGTCGAGTAATGATTTCTCCCCTCTGTATAGATGGAGTAATGTATCCACCATAAGGTTAATCGTGGTCCAGCAGATGAATCTTTTTGTCTTCTTTCACGGTGTTCGTCTTCGCATTAATGCATTGAAGCACTTTTTCTTACTGCTCTACTGTAAATAGAAAAATTCTAAGTGTTTCTTCTGTACCATGTCATATTAATAATACTGTATGTGAAGGCCTTTACTTGCCTTTTTCTGTATAACTTATCAGCATGATTTTCAGCTGAAAATAAAATGAATGCTAAATATGCACAAAAGACTGTAAATTCATTTGAATTTGCACAACTTTTTGTAGCCTCCTGGTTCAGAGTAGTATTTAAGATTTGTTTTTTTTCAACAAGTTAGACATGCTGTATGTGCTTGGGACAAATGTTGATGGCAGATCACCAGGGCAGAGATTAGTGGACTCTTGTTCTGATTGTTTTTTGCAGCTGCCAGTGAGTCATTGTCATTGCTGTCGAATTTCTCACAACACAGGCGTCTGCTCTGTGTGCATGGTGGCTGAAAACATTTTCGTTTTTCCCTTGAAAAAACAAACAAACAATTAAGCAACTTTTCCAACTTCACACGTCAATTGTTTATGTCAAAAACTGCATCTAAAATCACTCCAAAATACTCTGGAGCATTCTTTACTCAACTTGTAAAAGCCTATTTTAAATGTTTCAGAAACACTTTTAACTGAATCAGTATTAGGAAACATATGTTAAGACAGTGTCATTAATTTCTCCAATGAATGTATTGTTGATAATGTATTTAAAATTAATTTAATCTACTAAAATCATATGCAAAAATGCATGAATCAACTTTATTTGTTTGGAGACTAAAATAGATATTTTCTATATATTAGATAAAATATATTTTATTGAATATGTTCGATTTAAGTGGTAGCTCGTTTCTAACATTTTAAATGTTCTAAATTCTCTAAGTTCCCTGATGCGGAACCGAAGTACACGGGCGGTCCACACGGAACACTTTGCGTACGGACCAAGTGAGCGGAAGTGGTGCGCCTTGCTTGCGGAGGTCAAGAAGAACTCCTGCACGTCAGGGACTTGCAGGTATTTTAAATCTTATTTTTTTTCAGAATACAAACATTCAGCATCTGTCGGTCGGTGAGCGAAACGGTTTATAAGTGGTTTTAGCATCGAGATAGCTAACATGCTAACCCTGTAAAACCACCGCTACTGTGTCTCTGCTCTCTGACTCTCGATGCTGACAGGTTTAGATAATTTCTGCTCTAACCAACACACCGAATAGATCATTTAAGCTCAGATATAACCAATGGTGGAAAGTAATCAAGTACATTTACTCGAATAATGTATTAAATTACAATTTTAAGGTGTTTTTCTTGGGCTTATTTTGTAATGACCCCAAGAAAAACACCTTAAAATTGTTTATGGTACTTCTTACTTTCACTCCACTACATTTAAGAGAGTAATGTTGTTCCAATTACATTTATCTGACAGATTTAGTTACTTTTAAATAGAAGATTTATCACAATGGATTATAGAAGCTTTAAATATATAACCCACAATGGGGTTAAATAATTAAAGCAGTCGTTTCAGTCCCTTTTGGCTCAGATTTCACATTTCTATGAGCAGTAACCAGCTCCACCAAATAGTTATTTTTCACTCTAAACTTCACACGTGGTTTCATGTTTAAATGGTCCAATATCTCACCAAAAATTAAAGATTACAATCCAGACACACAAAACAGATGTGTTTTGAGTGTCAGAACTTTTCTTCTTTACTCTTCCATTACTCATCTGAAAACCCCTCAGATTTGTCTCAGTCTGTACATAAACTGTGTATAAAGTAGTTCAAACTAGCTCCACCTGCAGCAGCTACAACACTGACATGCTGCTGACACACTAATATATATCATATAACATATATAATAGTACATCAGTCAGAGGGGCCTGTCCAGAACTTTTATTTTAATACTTTAACTTGTCATGGAATATTTTTACATTGCCATACTTTTAGTAAAGGGACATATCCAAGTACTTCTTCCATGACCGAGTGTAACTGCTTTATTCCCACTTTTTCAGGATAAACGCTGACCACTGTGTATCAGAGACAACTGTGAAGAAGCTGTTTTACTTCATACAGTCATGGCGAAGAAAAAGAGACTTCGCCTCATCGCAGAGATGGCTCGAAAGATCCGGGCATATCGAGAGATGAAGTCCCAGCCGCGGGAGTCCCAGAAGTACGACCTGGACTATGAGACGATGAGGCGGCCTCTGACGGGGAAGATGCTGCCTGTGATGGCCTGGCAGGATGTCCGCAAGGAAAGCCGCCTCTTCTCCCTGCTGGCGGGAATGAGGCTGTTCGGAGTGGGTCGCCTCTTCACCCGCAAGTCGTGGCTTCAAGATCACACAGAACCCAGCTACTGGCAGATCACCAAGGTCAAGGTGGACTACACAGCTGAGGTGAGAGTGGGACACATCCATTCACTGCCACTGAGAGTCAGGTGCATGCTGTCACGCTTAGTGAGGGTAGAAATGGGTAAAAAACATGTCTGGTTAGGCAGCAGGGTTTGTTGTATACAGTAATATATCTTACTGGCCGATGATCAGTTTGGCTGATTATAGGATCCAATATTCTGAAGTTTTCTGAGTATTGTTATCGTAATATTTTAACCTTATTTCCTGTGAAATAAGGTAATTTATTAATATGCCACTTTGGCACAGATGCAGCCATTGTGTTCGCACCTGACAGGTTACTAATCATGAGTAACAGCACATCAGCACTGTTCTGTTTCAGTCAAACATGTGTAAAAGAAAGGAATTTTAACAAAGTTTAGTTTTGGAGCATATGTTATTCTAAATTCTGACACCAAGATTAGCATTTTTGCTGCAAATGTTTATCAGTCTCTGCCATTACAGATAATCTGTATTGATGACAAACGACATATGAGTCAACCCCTATAAATCCTGTAACTAAAGCGCAGTTGTTTCTTGTGTTTTCTAGAACATGGATCATGGCAAAGCATGGGGGATCCTCACATACAAAGGTAAGATTAGACTTTGTTTATTCAATTCAACTTGAAGCCAAAGCTCAACAATATATTAACATTTATCTGGTTTATCTCTCATTCTATTTTGTGTATATATCAACGAGAAAACTAATGCGAAAAATAAAGTATGTAACACAAGTGGATTTAATAGACTGATTACATTATTTTTTGACATAGAACTGAGCAAAATTAAAATGGTTTAAGGCAAAAACATGTTTATTTCTCCACCAGAATTGCATTCATGGAAGTGTGAGAAAACTTTGAAATTGACTTCTATAACTTGCATAAAATATTTACATAAAAAATAATAATAAATACCACCGTTAATGGTGTAAATACAAAATGAAAAATCCAGTTAATTTAAACATTTTAGAGGGTTTTATGGATGGACTGGCACACAGTTTTCTGCATTTTTCACTTACTCAATTTTTAGTAACATATATTTTTTTCATCAGTTCTCATTATTTACTTATTTTATTTTAGAGTGTTCTGTTTTGTTGTATTTATTGTTTTTTTCATTTGACCTTATATTCCTGAAATGTTGACTAACATCCCTAATTGGTGCTGTTGATTATGTTTGAGCATTGTGACACAAGTTTATAGTCTAAAGGCCGGCTGTGAAGTAGCTACTGCTTGACAATTGTTCGTAAATTGAGTGAACATGAAGCGATAACTGTTCTCTAAATAAACTGGTATTTGCAGGAAAAAAGGAGACTGAGGTCAAGGAGATGGACAAGGTGATGTACCACGACTGGCGCCTGGTTCCCAAACACTTAGAGCAGCAGATGAAGGACTTTGAACCACTTCCTGAGCCGCCTGTGCGCTATGTCCCCTACCCTCCGCTGCTCCGTGCCATGATCCTGGCCCAGCGCAGTAAAGCAGGAGCCTGTGTACGAGAGGAGCCAACTTTACCTTTGACGAGGAATGTCCTGTTCAACAAAGACTATTTCCGTCAGCAGGACCTAGAGAGGCAGAGACAAGAAGGGACAGCGGTGTGATAACAACGTGCTGCTCAACCTGAAGGGTCACAAATCTCGGACTTTTTGGACCAAATCAGCGTTGATAAACGTGTCTCAATGTCCTGCTTATTATATATTTCGCTGTTCTTCTGATGCAGGCCTCTCTGTGTGTATGCATCTGCATAATGTGCTGAATATTAAATTTAAAATGAAAAATATCCCCTTTAATTGATCTTTGATCATGTTGCACTTAGATTATAATTTATAAGAAGAAATATAGATATGAGGTGAAAAGTTTTCAAGAACCAGAAAGATACATCCATTAGGTGTCTACTGAAGCTTCTGGTCTTATTAGTCGATAGTAAACCTAAATTTTCAGATATTAAAGATAGGATAAGATAGAACTTTATCAATCTTTAAGGAAATTCTTTAGCCAGATGATGCTCAGAAAAAGCAGAAAATCAGGGCTCATAAGAAATGCAGTGCCTAAAAAGTGGAAAAGCAGTAGGATACATTACTGAAATAAAATAAGTCAGCCAAAATGAGACAGTGAAAAGTAATGCTGGCAATGATACTCCGGTAATAAATAATATCACACATGATAATGAAGGATTGCACATTACGACATTGACATTGTTGTACATGGGAGTGAAATATTGCACGTGATCACAATGATGCACATGAAATTGAAAGATTTGCACCTGAGAAATGAAATGTGAAATACTGAACATTACACTGACAGCGTTGTAGATGAACACAAAATGTTGCATATGAGAACATCTTATGATGACCAAATAGGTAGTCGTGATTTATTGATTTACAAATCCAGGGTGAACAACTATTTCAGCAATTTCCCTGAGGTATCCACCAAAGGGATCAATAAAGTTCTATTCTATTTTATTGTGTACTATATGCATATACATCACTCTTTGGGACTTTATTAGCAAAATAATATATTGGGTAAATAAATATTTTTGATTTATTATCATGTTTTTTTTTTCCTAGTATGTCATAATTCAGATTTACATTTTTTATGCGATATTGTAGGCCTTTTTTAAAAACGAGCCTCCTATGACTTCCGTGAGAGGCGCCACGTGCCCACGCTTTGGGACCGTTGCTAGGCGACGTGCGTCTGCCTGAACGTCCGTACGTCCTCGTTCCCTCCTTCGGTCCTTGGAGCTGCTCGTCCACCGCCGCTATGATCTGCCTCTTTCTGTCCATATTCGCCCACATCTTTCAGTCAGGTTGGTGGCGGTTTGTCTGTCTGTACCTCTCCTGTCATTTACCGACCTTCATGCTGATTTTTACTTGATGATGTGGTCACAGTTTCCAGAAGAAGCCGCCGGACGGACGCCTCGGCTCGGCTCGGCTCGGCTCAGCTAGTTACACGCCGCAGAGTTACAACATGGAGCCTTCAGTAACTTTTATTGAACATTGCAGAGTTGGTTTGAAGTGAGACTAATAACTCCCAGCCTGCCTGCGTTTCGTTTCTGTCCCGGTAGCAGCATGACTCGTGTGTTTGAAGCTACAGTTAGCTTCGGCGGCTACTGTGTGCGCCCGCCTGCTAGTCCATGTGTCCTCGGTGAGAAAAGTTGATTCATCGTCCTATTAATAGCTGCGCTGTTGTCGGTGTCGGAGGAGCCTCAGAGCTCCGACAGGCTGCCGCAGCAGGAGCTCCGACATGGGCCCGAGAAAAAGGTCACAGCGAGGTCTGCAGCAGCTGCAGGATTTGGTGGTTAAACAGGCGAGGATCGACGTGTCTGGTGAGACTGGCAAACTTTTAGACTCCGTGACTGTGAGGTCTGTTGCAGAAAGAGCAGGTTTAAGGCGTTGTTTTAATGTCCTTTAAAGAATGCAGTTGTACAAGCTGGGGCTCTAAGTTTATCCTCCACAGCCTGGCTGCGCTTGAAGAAGGACCAGATAGCACCAAACCTGCAGAGGGGCATGCAGAGTGGTTTTGTGTATGCATGGCTGCATGTGAGGGGTTTTATGTGTCAGTACTGAGGCTGTCTGCAAGAAAAATACTTGCGGTCGATCGTGCAGTAGTCGGTTTTGTGTTGCCACTGTGCCAAGCTGTTTACTACTAAGGCTGGGACAAATTATTGATTTAGTATAGCTTCCTCTTGCAATACATTATCAATATATCTGCACATAATGTAGATATTTTACTAAAACATGCAGGCACAACTGATTTGACTTACCAGAGTCACAGCTTCTTGGCAATAAGTGACAGCAGAGTAAATGAAAGTTAACTATCTACTGAAATTTAGAAGAAACTCACTGGATAAAAATGGAAGATAGTGGGGGAAAAAAAGCAAATCAGAGAGTTATTTAATTGAACACTCTATTTTATGAAAAATAATACCATCATTACAACATTTATCAGAGCCAGAAAATGACAGTCCTTGCAGTAATCATGTATAATATTGTGTTCCGTCAGAAAAAAACAAACAAATTAGACTGTGATATTTTGTCAAAATCATTTTATTCCACTTGCATCATGAAAATTTGCCAAAAATATCAGACAAATATTAAGTTGTGCACCCAGTTTTGTGTGAACAACTGCCATGTGACAAAAATGTAGGGAGTGAGAGCAAAATAATATTTGCTTGATCAATAAAATAAATGCAACATGGCTTACAAACAGTATGCAGAGGAGCAAGTTGTTGGAAGATACACTCAGCTGATGTATGTGGTTTGTAAAGGGTGTAGAAATATTTCAAGCATGCAGAGACTTTCCCCCCAGTATTGGTAACTCCTGTGGTGTCAAATAAGTAATTATAGAAATTCAAATGTAGTCTTTTTTTGTTTTGTATGATTTATGGCCTTATTACGATGTCATACTGTGCAAATGAAATTGACGTGTTCTCTCAACTTCTAGCACAAGTCGTACTGTTTCCATAGAGGTGCAGGACTTTATGTTGCAGTGAAAAATGAGTCCACAGTGAGTAAAAATGTGACGGAGCCAAAAATCGCCAGGAACTGCTTGAGTTTTAGAGGGTAAAAATGAAATATTGGTTGACTCTGACAGAACAATACAGTTAATATGTACATCCTCTTTGCTTTTTGCTTGTTTTGAGGTATTTTTTTTCCAGTTAAACATTGAATGTGACGCACTGTTGATGAGTGTCTTGTCGTGTTTTCAGTATTGCAGAATTGGTGTGTTGTGATACTATCATAATCATGTGTAACCTATGGTGAAAATAACATATTGTGAGTTTATAAAAAATGTGCTTTAAAGTCCTGAATCTAAAATGAATAACATATTATGCCCGTCCTGCCTGACACCAGTGTTTAGTCTCCTTCACAGTGTGTGCTGAGGTGCATGCAAGCTGCTCGAGGCTGCTGCTGCTCATTGGAACACGAAGAGCTAAACTCGTGTGTTTCTGTCTGACTCCAGGGTGGACCGGGGTGAATGAGCGCACCTTCATTGCAGTGAAACCAGATGGCGTGCAGCGGAGGCTTGTGGGAGAAATCGTGCGCCGTTTTGAGAAGAAAGGGTTCAAACTGGTGGGCCTCAAGCTTGTGCAGGTATGTTGAGTGTAGATTTTTAAACTCATGGCTCGAACACACGATCCAGGAGACCATAATAAATGAGTAATATTACCTATTTATTGAACATGTGTTTTTCTCGTTGTGCGTCAGGCATCTGAGGATCTTCTCAGGGAACACTACTGGGACCTGAGGAGCAAACCCTTCTTCAGCGGACTGATAGCCTACATGAGCTCTGGACCGGTGGTTGCAATGGTGAGATGATGTGCACGTGTTCACAGCATAGTAAATACATTCAGAGTTGTGTAGGGCTTTAAATAACACACAACAAGTCCCAGTTTATTCCTCTTCTGCTGTTGAGTGGGAATGCTGTGTTGTGTCTCAGTGTCGGGAACAAATTTCGTTGTCTGCATTTTTAAATTTGTTCAGGTGTGGCAGGGTTTGGACGTGGTCAAGACCGCACGTAAGATGCTGGGAGAGACCAACCCTGCAGACTCGCTGCCGGGAACCATCCGAGGAGATTACTGTGTGGAAGTGGGCAGGTAAGCATTTCACCCTCCACCCCAGGAAATAAATGTGGGGAAAGCCTTAGTGACGACTGACTGTCTGCATATGTTAACCTGCATGTTTTAGAGCAAAGCAGAATTCAAACAGTCTCAGTACTTTGGAGCTTTGAGACAAAATGTGGCCAATGCTGTGACACAACATTCTCTCTTCAGTAGCTTTGGAATAAGGACATTCAAAGCCTGGATTCTGTGTTTGATTTGCATAAAGAAATTAATTCAATTCAATTCAATTTTTTTTGTATAGCGCATATTTACAACAACACTCATCTCATAGCGCAATTAAACATAATTTCTGTCTGATATTCATTATTTTTATCAGAACAGTTTCTGATTCTGTGGCTGCCTGGCTGTCATGGCTCCAGCCTTGTGAAATCTCTAAACCACAGGGGGGTTAAAACACTGCTGCTATTATTCTGTGTGAAAGTGTGTACATAAAAGAGCAAATACAAGCATCAAGAAGCTTCACGACACTAAAACATTTGTGTGTCTCCAACAAACAGCTGAGTTTTATTATGTTAGAGGTATTTTTAAAAAAGAAGTTGCACATATTTAGATTAGAGTTAAATGATTAGTTGATTGACACAAGTGTTAACCGTTCTAATATTGTAGTTTGTACTTTCCAGCGTGAGGATTTCCTGCTTGTCTTGTCTGCTGTACCTGGCTTCAGAAACATCATATACTTTATATCATTGTAAACTGAATGAAATTAGATCTTTGAGGAGATCATCTTCCAGTTAAAGAAAATGTAAAGGGCATTTTCTGGTGTTTTCTAAATATAAATGCATGTTTTATTTGAGAAAATGATGAGCAGAGTAATGTGAATAATGGATAAATTGACCAACACACTTCCACTTTACATCGTGTTAGGAACCAACATGTATTAAATGATTACACAGAGCTGAATATGATAAAATATTGAATGTTCTTTTATAAATGTTTTTGAGTCTCAGTGTTGTCACCATGTTTGCTGCAGGAACGTGATACACGGCAGTGACTCGGTGTCCAGTGCCCAAAAGGAAATCTCTCTGTGGTTTCGTCAGAACGAGCTTCAGTGCTGGGAGCACAGCTGCAACAGCTGGATCTACAACTGAAGGTCTGTGTGCTGCTGCATCGACACCGTCCTCTGCCAGTGTTCTCTTTACGTGGGGTGTTGTTACAAGATGATCACATCGTACCTCAGATATTTTTTCGGGCTTTAGTAGTTTGTAGACGCACAAAGGAAAAGGGTCATCCTGCCTTGCTGGTTGCTTTTTTTTCGTGTTTCATTGTTTGTCTATCTAAAGTAAGATGAGATGACTTTACCAAGCAAAAGTGCACTAAGGTGAGCAATAACCTGATCTGAAACTTGACAGTGTCTGCTTCTGTGTTCATTGTAATTTATGATAAGTCCAGAACACTAGCTCATGTGGTCAGTTTTTAAGCAATAAGGCTGAGTTGAAGCAATAAAGTGTTGTGTTCATGAGATAATGTGTCAGGGAAGTGGCTGCATTCAAATCTACCTTTAATTTAAATTTGATTTGATTTATATCGACATGCAGACAGACAGGTGATGTACTGTGGAAAGTTTATGAAGTTGCACAAAACAGCTTAGATTCTATTTTGTCTAGTTCCGCTGATATGTACGTGACACATGGCACTTGGAAAATAAGCCTCTTAATTTAATTGTTGGTCATTTTCATTTAGAAAATCTTCTGCAACAGCTGTTGTGCTAAAACCCAACACAATGGAAGCAAATAACTGACAAATACTGCCTTTTCCTGCACCTTTAAGGTCAGTTTATGCAGGATTGTTAAAGACAGATCACTCTTAACTACTTGAATGTAAAGTTTCCAGCTTTCCAAAAGCATACAGCTCTTAATATTGTTTTGTAATTTCATGTTCATATCAGGCTCAGTTAGCAAGCGAAAGTGAAACTGCACTGAATGAAGTTTGCTGTTTTTATAGAGATCTTGCCAGTTTAGTCACAATCGTGCTTTTATCAACTGCTATGACGCTGTATTGGAAATGTCCAAAAACAATAAAGCTAACCTTTTTAAAATGTTCATATTTATTTCTGAAGTGAGACACACACATCCACCGTATTTGTTTTCAGCACACAAATATGTTTAATATTTAATCCACACAGATAGAGATCAATGCAAGAATTTCCATACTGAACAAAGAGGATGGGCTTCAGTGCGTCTGGAGATTTACAGTAATCCTCGTACACGTAACGACGGTACAACACCGCTCACCTGCTTCACGCCGAACCGTCCGATCAACAGCCAGCCAGATGAGAGGGATGAGTTACGGACACGTTAAACTCAACTCAACCCCTCCACCACCATTTTGACTGGAATTATTCTAAATTTGAGTCTTGCTGCTGCAGGTGCAAAACAAATCTGTCACTTTGGGTCTGTGACCACACACTGGTGAAACAATCAGGACACTTCAGATAGATGTGACGGCAAGATGGGATGGGAAATATTTCAGGTAGCAGCCAAAAGAAACCCAGATGTCTGTGTTGAATTTGACAGGTTCGTCTGCTCATCTCCACTTCAAAGTCCAACAAAGCCAGACGTCTTCACCGTTAACTACAATCGTAAACCAAGACATGCAGCTCCCCCTCACAAGACCACAAACACCTCTTCTGCATCCATCGCCTCCATTTAAACAGGGTCCATTGACTGTTCATAAAATCAGATTCCTACTGAAAATGCAAGTCACTTTGCTGCACCTGCTGCGGCTCTTTTTTTTTTCTTTTTGTGCATTTGTTGCATGTTGGGGGCTCTGGGCTCTGCTTTAAGATGAGGTGGGGGTTTCACAGAACTAAATGGAGGAAGATGAGGGGTAACTTTTGGGGGCAGATGCAGGACAATTGAGGTAAATATAGGAGGAGATACAGTGTGCTTACAGGGTGGATATAAGATCGATACAGAGGAGGGAGGTAGTTATGAGGCTGGGTTACAAGGCTCATGGAGATAGTTACAATGCCCTGGGTGGGACAGAAACAGGATGGCAGGCAGATTACTAGATCAGAGGAGGTACTTACAAGGCATTAAAGTTACAAGGTGACGGGGCAGGAGGGGATATAATAGTTACAGGGGACGATACAAGGCTTGGAGGGTCGTTTTAGAGCCAAGGGGGAACTTTTACATGACCGGGGGGATAATTACAAGGTTTGGGCGGCTGGAAGCTTCAGGGCGGGAGGTGGTTTTCTTTAAGGAGACGGGTGGGCGGGGTTTTAAAGCAGATCCAGGCGTCACTCAGGTACGTAGGACACCTGCCAGACGATGATGTGGCTCCTCTCGGCTTTGGACAAACCAGGTTTCATCTGCGAAGCCCCGGTGGCAGAACTGTCTCCTTCCTCCGTCTCGTCGTCCTCTCCGTCCCCTGGGAACGAAACAGACGAAGGAAGAACTTAAAGAATTGCATGGAAAGATACAAAACCTCAAGCTTGGAAACTGGTCGGCCCTTTGAAATGTAATGATGGAGGATTCAGTGGGACTGCAGGAGACGATGTACAATTATGTGGCAATCACAAGGTGCTTTATTATTTATTTTACTGAAAATGGGACCATAATTTACTTAATGAACACCGTGCTACGTTAAAAACTCCTTAAACTAGTGAAAATGTTTACAGATGTAACAGACAAAGTTACATCTCATAGATTATCATACAAATCTAATAATGTCATAAATCGAGAATAAAAACAGTACTTCAATATTGTCAATTAACTGTAACAATTTGTCCTAGGTTCTTTTTTAGTTGCTTTGTTGTTGTGTCTGCAATATATTGATTAAATGCTGCATTAAAAATATCCTTAAATTAGCAAAAACTAGGAAAATGTTCATTGATATAACAGATTGAGTTATATTGCATAGATTTTTACACAGTATTGTCATACAGATCAAACTAATAAAGTCATAAATAGGGAATAAAAACTACCATATTATTGTCATGTAACTGGTAATTTATCCTTCTGTTAGTTTTTTCATTTTATTTTCCTGCGGCCCCAATATGTTAATTAAATACTGTATTTAAAAAGTCTTTAAACTATGGAAAACTAGGAAAAGTTGCATTTCATAGATTTTTACATTCTATTATCATTATCAAACTAATCATGTCATAAATAGGGAATAAAACATTACTTAATTACTGTCAAATAAATGTTTTAATGTATCTTGTTCTTTTTTTTTACTTGTTTTATTCGTAGTATGTTGATTAAATATCAACATGCAGCAACAAACTTCTCTTATCTCAGCACAAATACTCATGTGAGGTGGTTTAAGGACAGCTGTGAACGCTCACCTATGCGGAAGTCGATGTAACCTTCCCCTCCACTCAGCACCAACACGTTTTGAACACTTTGGGCCTCCGTCTCTGTGGGCGCCGTGGAGCCCTGACCCTCTGACGGACTGTCCAGCACGCTGCCGTTTAGGGTGGCCAAAACATTGCCTGTCACAAAAAAAAAAACAAAAAACTCAAAATCAAATCAAGAACAGAAACACATTCATGCTGTCTATTTCATCTGGACTGGAGTGTTTTGTCGCTGAAGCAGAGGGCTGTACTGCGAAGCGATATTAGTGGGTTAGCGAGGTTTGCTGAACTTAGTTTTCAGTGTCACGAAGGTGTCTCTCCTTTTACCTGGCTAGATCTCTATGGCAACTGATGCTGTGGAGCTAGATCTCCACGGCAACTGATGCTGTGGAGCTAACCTGGTCGGGAGTTTCGGATTTAAATCAGTCAGCTGTAAGAAGCGTCTCCCTTTAACCAAATCGTTTCCTGACTATTATTTATGAGCGATGCAGAGTCTCAGCTGAGGGAAAAAGTTTTATCTGCTGAGTTGCTAATATCACTGAATGAAGCCATGTAGTTACAGTACCACACACTGTAAATATCATGTTGCCATGGGAACCAGATGTGTATTTAGCTGGCGATGCAGAAATCACATAAATACGTTTTTATGTTTGGCTCTGATTTGCTGTCAGGTCCATTTACTGCAGCTGATAGAAAACAGATTAGAAAATTGATTATTCTATTGGTATTTATTACAGAGAATATTCAATTCATAACATTAATTCCACTTTGATTTATGCCAAACATTACGGCGATATCCTGCAGTATGGGACAGTGTCAGACCTAAATGCATTTCAATACAACATCAGGTTTGAATATATGAATTTTAAGTCAAACTGTTTTAATGTGCAGCTGTCAGTTGTCAATAAGCGGCTGCATTGATTGGTAAAATATATACGTACATTTAACAGTTTTCTACCAGCATTTCTGTCTGGCACCATTTGCAGTAGCAACGCTTTTTACCATCATAATTGTTTATATTCCTCCATTATAAAAACCTGTAGACCGAAGCAGCTGCACTTTGTTTCGTTTTGTGCAGAAGAAGAGTCACGTGACGCATTAAATGTCCCCTTTTATGTGAACAGAGTCTGAAGCAGAAAGCCTGAGTTATCAAAGAAAGTTGGGAACCATCTTCGTGATATCCGTGATCTCTGGCTGAGGCTTTAGTTTTTGTCGAGCCAACTTACTCAAAGAAAGCCTGGATGTGTCAAACTTGCTTCTATACCCTTCTATTTACTTAAAACTGTCTTTTTTTAGCGCCAAAGTACAGAATTATCACTGATTTATGCTCTTATGGGATAAGACAGATGTTGCCAGCCTTCAGTGTGGGTGTCTAAGCTGTAAACATCAGCAGACTTACCCGGTACAGACACGAAGAACTTGACTGCATCGCGGTGTCCATGGAAACAGAGCTGGGCCTGTGCCATGGAGCAGTAGGGGATGAAGCTGCCGCTGCTCTTCTCGGAGCCGTCGTCGCCGTACACATGGATCACCCCGCCGGACGACGTGGGAGACACCTTATTGGCTGGGATGAGAAACCAGAAATCAGTTGCCAATATTTACTGGAAAATCACATTTGGTAGCCAGAAACAAACAAAAAAAACATCTTTCCAGGAAAAACCACCAAGAATATTTTTCCACAAACCAACTGAAAACGGAAGATGTTTTTAGAATAACCCATGCAACAGATTTGGTTCACGTGAGTTTAAACATGTCACCGATGCAATGATAAACAGCATGCAAAGCAACTACATCAACTGATAACATAGTGAAACATAAGACCGTTGCACACAGAAAACTTTCTGCAGCTAAATATCCATGAGAGTTTCATAAACATACAGAAACACAAATACTGCAGAGAGGCACATTTAGCTTGAAGGGACACAGAGGTTTGACTGGGTGAGAACAGGTAGATCACAACAGCAGGAGGTTGGGAGGCTCCCACTTACCCCTCAAACCCAGGAGCTGTCCCCGGTGAAGGACCACCGCTACGGGAGGAGGAGGAGGAGGAGGAAGGAAGGAGGAGGAAGGAGGAGGAGAAAGAGGACAGTGACAGCAATAGTTACGACTGAGACTGTGTGTGAAAGAGATGAAACCACTGAGGGAAGGAAGACAAACAGGAGGTGGGAAGTCAGGGAGCTACAGGGGGGAAGAGGGAGGAAAGCTAAAGAAGGATACAGATAAACAGAGCTACAGCTGGATGTGTGGTGGGTCTAGATGAAGAAAAATTTCTGCTGTGGTAGGCATTTGTTTTTTATAGATGGACAAATTCAGACACTTTAGGACTGAAGCAATTTGAGAAGATTATAAAGACGCTGTTGGTTTTTTGACGTGTAAAAGTCATGTACAGCCTCATAAACGATCTTAAGACGACATGGTGATGCTAATAGATTTATATTCACTCCAAAAACAAATCACTTGATGTGTTTTCCACTAAAATCTGTTGAGTTTTTCCACATATTCAGCTTCCAGAAAGTCAAACCAATCACCATCCCAAACTATCTACTCAGCAGAGAACACCATCTCTGTAGTTTTTTTAAGTTATCTGAAAAACTTAAGATTTTTAATTACTTCTCATTACTCGTTTGGTTGTAGACATTCCAAAGCCGAGGCTGAAACCTAAAGGTGACGGAGCGTTTCCGATCAGGGCCCCTCGGGTTTGGAACAACCTACCTTTTATTTTATTCAAATAAAACTGAATAAGGCTCACAGAATCAGTGTTTTCTTTTAGATCGATCCTTGAAACCCATTTTTATAGGCTTGCTTTATGTTTATGTTTCCACTATTATTATTATTTTTTATTCTTTTTTAGCTTTATTTCATTGTTCATTTTATTCTCTTTTACCATTTATTTACTATTATTATGTCTTTTAGCCTTGTGTTTATGGTTTTAGTCTCTATTTTCTTTTATTCCACTTGTTCTTTACCTTTCTTGAATGTGGCTTCTTATTATTTCACCTGGTGTTGGACTAATTTATAGTGAGAGTCTTTGACCATGTTTGGACCAAGCGGCCTTCAATGTTGATCGTTGTTCTTCCTGAGTGTCCTTCTTTTTTCTTTTTTTGCCCTGTCTGTATTAACTTTGTTCTTGAAACTCATGTAAAACTCACTCTCTGTCAGAGGGATGGAGATGATGACACCGTTTCCAGTCCCCACCCAAAGACGGTTTCCACCAATCAGTAGTGCTGTGATTCTCACAAAAGAGAAGCCCAGCTTTCCAGTACCTGTGAATTACAACCAGATTGTTTTGTCAGTGAGAATACAACATCCATCATCCAACAATCTCCTCAGTATAATAAACCATCAGTCTCGACTCACCGAGCATCTTGCTGACGTACGGCTCGATGTCGACGTCCTGCAGGTGCTGGTGCGTGTGCGCATGGTAGAGACGCAGCGTGGAGTCGAGCCGGATCGACACCCAAACGCCGTCCCCGATCCACGCCAGCTGCCGCACCTGACTCTCCCTGCGAGGGTGGGCGTCGAAGGACTTCTACCGAACAGAGGTGGACCGAATCAGTGAAAAGTGATGCAACATTGATGGCAAAAGCTGAAAAAGCTGGGCTCGTTTTGCTGCTGTCACATCACGACGCACCTCGATCTGCATGGTTTTGGGCTGAATGACGTGGATCTTGTTCTTGTAGCCGCACCACACTTTGTCGTGGACCACGGCCATGCAGCGGATGGAGTGATGAGGTCGGCCGAGGTCCATGAAGTGGTAGTTGGACAAATCCCACTGACCATCTGTTGATGGAAACACAATTTAATTCAACGGTTGACAACCATCTACTGTTTTGTCATCATTCGATTAAGCTGCAGCACAAGCTTTTAAAAACCCTCGACTAATCCGCCCAAATCCACGTGAAATTAACCGGACACGCATCACCGGCTTGTTTTGGTGATTTCATAGTTCAAATCAGATTACATGGAGCCTGAATGGTTGTAATGTGTAAAAATCCTGGAGCGGAGCAGGCGTTTGGCGGAGCCGCCGTTAAAAGGAATTGAATTGAATTGAATTGAAATAAAAACCAAATACCCTCGGCTCTGTGGAAGATTGCGAATGTCCCATCAGCGAGGGCGACCAGCACGCGGCCTTTAACATGCCTGCAATTAGAGAGGAGACGGACTGTTGGAGGAACGACTTCATGTAATAAAACGGTTGTAGAAAGAAGAAGGAGCTGCTGTGATGCTTTTCTCTTACACCAGACTGAGCACCGAGTCTTTGAGTTTGATGGAGTGGAGACACTTCTTCCAGTTTCCAACAGCTGAGTGGACGTAGAGCCTTGAAGGAAAAAACAGAACAAAGTCACTCCAGAGTTCATAGGATGCATGTCATGACATTTCTACGTGTCTCAGCAGGACGATACAAGCACGAGTACTTGTATCGTTTTCATGTGCATCAGAAATAATGCAGAATCTTCCTACTTAAGGTGTCTAAGCCAAACGTTTTTCATTTGTTTTCCCAGTGTTAAAGAAAAGCTTTACTTTACTTTTGTGTACGTGGGACAGCACACATTATTTAACCTCAACCTAAAGTCAGATTTTAAGGACTAATTGTTATCTGCAGTCTCGTGATTCAAAAATCTATCTGTATTTATTTATATAGCACTTTTCAGACAAGAAGGAATGCAAGTGCTTTACAGATAACAAATAAAAGTGCCATAAAACAGTACAAACACCCCCCACAGTCGAGTTATCAATAAAGGACTCTCAAACACTGGGACTGAAGAACTGAGGAAATGCTATAATATTTAACACATGCAATAAAGAAACACCACATGAGATAAAATAAGATAAAATAAGCTAAATGAATAAATAAAATACAATCTATTATTAAAATTGAGAGAGAAATCCAAAATTTTAAAAACAGAATAAGAAATGATTAAAAAAATAAACTGCACATTACATAGACTAAAATAAATCAATAAATAATCAAATAAAATCTATTAAGCAGGCAGATAAAAAAAACATTCCTAAATTATAACACTTTATTTTACTCTTTTTCCACTAATATCATCCACACGCCCGTCCTCATGTGAGGCATTTAGGGGACATCTCAGACCTCGAATCTTGTACCTTTAACAATAATAATAATGAAGGCTTTCTATTCTGTTCTGTAAACTGTAGTTTCAGAAGACACCCTGGCTTACACTCTCCTGTACAAGTCGACGCACGCACATCGCCTACGCCACCCACCACCACGAGTAGATTCTCAAACTGTGAGAATTACTGCAAGAAGTGCAGCCGAAGCATGGCTCGTAACAAAGCTTCAAACTAGACGAAAAAAATCACAAAATGTCTCAGAGAAACTCCTAAACCAGTGAGGATTCAAGGATGATCATACACTTTAACACTGTTTATAATATAGTCAAAGAAGAGCTTCCTTTTGCTAACTTTAAGTTCCACATCATGCTCATGAAAAACAACAGGTTACAGAACATTTTCTGGCAAAACTGGCCTGAACAATGTTCAGCCAGTCATGTGCCTGTGGCTGATTGTGAATCACTGACAGAGTAAAAAGTTAATGTGGAGCTCCTGCAGGTTAAAGGACACAGTTAGAAGTTAGATGTTGTGATGACATATGTGTAAAAACTGTGAGTATTTCAGCTGAGCGACTCACCAGCCGTTCTGGGCTCCAAGCCACATGGTCGGGGCCACGCTGGTGTAATTTTTGGTCTCCTCACCGCCGTCCTCCGACTCTGCCGGCTGAGACGCCTCCTCCTTGGACTGGCCCGAGCCCCTGCGTGGACCGACACCATACAGACTTTCAAAATGTAGAACCCCTAGCTGGCTCATTTTATTTCTCACACATTCCTGATGACTTTTCAAGACTTCGACCTCCTACCTGTCAGAGGCATCAGTTATACGAGGCTGTGGGTCGGTGAAGACGTGTTCGGTAAACGGTCCCGGAGGTCCGGATCCCATTTCTGCGTGGCTGGCCGTCGACTCGGGAACCTCTGTGGCCTCCGTGGCTTCCTCAGCTGACTGTGCAGGGTGGATCTTCCCATTCATGGGGGGAGCAGTGGGAGCTGAAACACAACAACAGTGAATTAAATGCACAGACCAACAGCCCTGACACTCATCTTATCTTTCTATCATGCAACAAAGCTGCAGAAGGGTCATTCTGCCTCAATTCTCCAAATTCTTCAAACCTAACCATCTTCAATTTGACTGATTTCTTTGTTAAGTGCTGAATATTAATTGTGTAAATTCCGGTCTCACAGGTAACGTCAGTTTTTGAGTTTAAAAAAATCCTCAAGAAGGTGGACTCGTGTTGATTTTTGCATCGTTTTCTTTGCACCAATCTGTGGATCAACGTTTGAAGTGCGATAACTTGAGAAATAATGCAGCTGGAGTCCTGACATTTTATAGGCTCATTGATATTCACATCTGGTCTTCAATGGTGCAACCCTGCTTGGTTAGAAAAACACAGACCAGTTATGTGATGGTGCAAAGTTGGTCAAAAGAATTTCAATGCTACTGTCTACTCTGATATTCCACCAACCAAAAAAACTTTATTTTTTCACTCTAAGAGGCTGATTTGTTCCCCCAGTGATTGGCACCAATAGGAAAATGAACCCTTAAATACTGTTTATATTTTATGTTTTCACAGTATGGTTTGGGTCAATTTTAACAGGGACCATACTGTGAAGTATTCCTGTCAAGAATTCCCTCAATTCAATTCAATTTTATTTGTATAGCGCATATTTATAACAAGTCATCTCATAGCGCTTCAGAAAGGCAGAAACAGAAACACCCAACAATCCAAAACATCTGGATTCCCTATAAGCTTCAGCAGTCCGCAAGCAGTCCACAACAGTGGGAAGGAACCGTAAACCCCCACAGGGGAAAAAAAACCTCCGACAGAACCAGGCTCAGGGAGGGACGGCCATCTGCCTCGACCGGTTGGGTGGATGTGGGATGAATTAGTATCGCACTTTTATCAGAGTAATTGTCTACACCAAATTTTAAACTACAGATCTATTTAGAATGTCTAAACAGTCAATGTCACATTAATAAATGTAAATGAAAAAAAAACACATAAAACATGGGCTGGACGGTTTCAGTTTCCAGATTCCCTAAAACCACCATTTTCCTTGATCTGACCCACACTAATAGATCTAAAATCCATCTCAATGGCTATATGGGTCAAATTTGACCCAAAATCTGTCAGTGCACAAATATTTGTAGCACCTGTACAAAGGTATAACATTTTAAAACATTTAATTTTTGGTCACTTTAGGAAAAGTTATGAAATTTCAGGTGAATAGACGGACCTTTAGAGCATTTTTACTGCTGTCAAATGTCAAAATAGGTCAAATTTGACCCAAAACATGTATGTAAGTGTTAAAAATCTAGAGCATGGTGGCAGTTAGAGACATACATTATAAAAAAAAATATTGATTTTTTTTTGCATTTATGGCTAGTATTAGAACACTGAGCAGGTATGACATGTGAAATCACTCCAACAGTTTCCCAACATTAAGAGTGTTTATAATGCTGCTACAGGGCTAAAAGAAAAATCACAGGTTCCTAACTCATACTGCTTCAAATAATTTTTTATAAGAACTGGTTTGCTTTATTCTATTACAACAGGGTTGCACCATTGAAGTCCAGATGTGCATGTCAATGAGCATCCAACATTTCAGGGATCCAGCTTCGTTATTTCTCAAGTTATGGAACTTCAAACACTGATCCGCAAAGGAAACAATGCAAAAATGACTTCACCTTCTTTAAGAATATTTAACTCAAAAGCCAATGTCACCTGTGCCCCCAGATTTTACACATCGTCAACACAATCAATATTCACAACTTTAAAAGAAATCTGTCAAATATAAGATGATCAGGTGTGAACTTTTTTGGTGAATTGAGGTGTAATGACCCAGGAGCATTTGTGACGGGCCCACCTTGTCCTTTGTCCATTATAGGCGTGTCGGTGCGTGAGGAACAGTTGCTACGGGCGACGCTGCAGTTGGTGGCACAGCCGACGAGCGTGATACCGGCCAGCATGCCCTCCATGCTGCCGGTGTCGTCTCCTGCTCCTCCTCCTCCTCCACCTGCTCCACCGTCACCTGGATCCAACACGATCTCTCCGGGTGGATAATCATTCTCACTAGCAGCTGGTGAAACGACACAAACGTCAACATGTGCAAAACACACACAAAAAAGGAAAATTTGACATATAACACAACAAAAAGCACAATTACCCGGTACGCTGGAGATGCAGAGCACGTGGGCGTTGCAGACGTTGAACTGGTCGACCAGCGAGCCGGGCTGGTTGGCGTCGATGATGACCACCTTGCTGGCGGAGTGGGTGCTGGTGAGGATCCACACTCGGCTGCTCATGGTGTCTGTTTCCTGGAGCTCCTTGGACTGAGAGGAGGAAGCAAATGGAGACCGGGGTTTTGAAAACAAACTGACAGGACAGGTGAGGTGAATGTGATTCTAAACTGCAGTGATAAAAGCCCTCAGGTGGGTTTTTTTTTACAGTCGCTCTACCTTCCTCTTCTCCGGAGACGTGTGGCTGCTCTTCTTCTCAGCTCCGTCCTCCTCGGCGTGAAGCGGGTCGCTGCTGCTGCCCGACGCTGCTTTGTTCGGCGCCGCCTCCTGGCTGCCAGCCCTCCATCCCGTCAGGTCCACTCCAGCTGCACACCACAGCTGCACAAAGGATGAAAGACATTTGTGGGTTTCCAAATCAAAGCTGCTGTTAATGTAGTTATTATAACTTCAGGAACAAAGGCTCTAGCTTGATGATGAACAACACTGACACTTCATCCATGTTTTATGTAGTTTAGACTCAGTGCTGGGTGATGAATTCATCTGGTGCCATCAGGTATCAAGTATTCCTGCTTGATTTGAAACATTCAAGACTAAATACATTAAATTAAATGTTAGGTTGTGATATTGTTGTTATAATAGCACATAAATGGATTGATGCTGTTGCTAAATCCAGGTTTTGATGACTGATTTTCAGCAGCATTTCTCAGGAGAAAAGGTCAGAAAACCCAACAAATACAGAAATCCCTTCTACAGAACCAGGAAAACAAAGCTGTAACTTTGTCAGAAGCTCTTGTGGTCATATAAACATGTTGCTGTGTTGTAGAGAAAATTACATTTTACTGCATTTTCAACCAAAACAACGCTGCTTTGATTAATGATTTGTTTGTGACATAATAGTCCCACAAAAAGATTTATTTGTGCACAAGGATTATTTCTTCTTCTTCACTGAAAATCTAGAATCTACAAATAAGTCTTTTGCACTTTTTTGTCTTCCTGATATCTGCACTGCCTACGAGAGCTGCTATTTCAAATTTCATTGTGCTTTCTTTGTACAATGACAGTTAAGAAATTCTGATTCTGAAATATCCAAGTATTGACTATGTAAAAAGTTTACATCCCCCAGTGAGCAACAATTGAGATTTCAGTGTCAATTTCTGATTGAAAACTAGTTGAGTTTGTTGATATTAATGTATTTTTGCCGTCTTTTCAACCTGCTAAAAAGCTGTAACAACATCAGCGTGTCTCTAAACACATATTTGCTCAGTTGTAGATTGTAAGAGATGATACTGATGAGTGTGAAGGTATTTCTTCAAAGCCATGTTGCACTGAGAGCTGAAATGTCTCAGGACAATTTCAATGCATTTAACACTTTCACCCCTAAAACCTGCCAGTAGCTTTGGAAGTTCTTTAAAACAAAAATCCACTGACTGTTTAAACTGAAAACATTGCCTGATTTTTACTTTCCAAGATTTGAATCACGTGCGATATTGTTTTCAATAGAAAACTACAACCAAATCTAAGCTGAAGCTCTTATTTGCACATTTAAGGATAAAGATTTTCCCTAAATCCTGGTAAAATATAGTCGAAATGTGAACTTTCAGCTATAGTCTACAAACAGTCGGTGAATAATGCTCATATCTTTTCACCGGTGATCATAGATAAAAATCATTTTTACTGAAAAATTCCTTCTAGGATGAGACAAAAGAGATTTTCCGCCTCAAGACTTTGAGGTTTTCACATCAGACTTGTGTAAGATGTGTATTGCTATCCTTGCCTGCTTTTAAACAAGCTGAGATTATTTTTCCACCGTCTACAGATCTCACGCTTCTAGTGTTAAACTGAACACATACATCGTCAAGTTAAACACATTTTTAACCGGACTGAGACGTTAACTGCCACGGCTACACGCCTGAACCTCTCACCTTCCTGTTAGGGTCCTTCTCCACCAGAGGGCGACAGTAAACCGGAACGGGAACATTCTTCATGCGGTTGTCCTCTTTCTCGTTGGTGGTCTACAAAAAATCAAGAGGTCAGGAGACAAACAAAGTAGAGAATTACTGTGTGGTTCCATGAAAAAAACATCTCCAATTTTACTGGGGGCTGATGGACAACGGAAACATCCAGTGTTTGTGAATGTGCCGTATACATGTACAGCACATCCTTAGCAGGCAATAAAGGAAAACTCCACTGTGATCTAATACACTCACTTTCTCTCATCTGTCCTCAGAGAAGAAATACATGAGGATGTAGTTACAACCAGGACGAGGGAGAGCTTTCCCAGTTTGGAGGAAAGAACTGATACCTCTGCCTCTTTTATAGTGCATTCATCTGGTGTGATTACTGCAGTAAAGATAGATGCAAAACCGTGCATTCAGAAGGAGTCTCTTACTCTTTGATTCTGGCTTTATTTCTAGTTTTTCTGCTTCTACACTGTACTCAAACTCTCCTGATGCGACGTCATTTTGCAGCTTCAAATTAGAGAAATGCACCACCGAAGCGTAAAGGGTGAAGCAAGCTGCAGGCAAAGCAGATGTCGCGCTGTTATGCAGGATTTTGCAGAGCTTTTCTTTGGTGCAAGGTTTTTTTGGGGTTTTTTTGGAAGTAACAAAGGGATGCCAGAAACACACAGACAAACTGAAAAACTACACTTAGAGTGGATTTTTCCTTTGAGAAAACAAGACAGGAGTAAATAGATGACAGCGTGTTAAGTGTGTTCAGTCGGGCAGGTTGAGACAGACAGAGGTTAAAGGTTAAAAGGTTGCAACAAAATTGGCAGAGGGACAGAAAATTACGTGGAATTAACTCTACAAAATAAGAGGATCTTATGAAGTCCTAAAGTGTGCTATGTGTCTGCAAGTAGCATTGGTTTGAAATGTATGATTCTGACTCACATCATGCCGAAAAATCTTCATGCATTTCCAGAAGATATGGTAAAGTCGTGTTACAAAACCTTGACACGGAGCTCACAGAGTTTGTCTACAAAACAGAATTATCTGCTTGTGTATTCAGTGTGCCGTCTGTCTTTGTTCTGTGCTGCCGTCTCGGGGTCGGAGCTTTAGGTGGGAGGTTAAAGGGAGGGGAAGCCGTAAAGGTGCATGCTGGTTCTCTGTCGGTCTCACTTGCCTGTTGTCTCTTCAGCGGGCTGTCCTGAGCGCTGTCCGTCTGACCTCCAGTCTGCGGGAGACCAGAGTTAGAGCCACCTGCCTACCAACACACTCTGGCCTTCGGGCTGCACACCTGAGTCTGCCAGAGCAGCTTAAGGCACATTTCCATGCTCTCAAATCATGCTGCTTATGCTTGAAACCAAAGTGGAAAATGTGAAAGGTTTTGTACTACTCTTACTGGTGCTGGGTTAATTAACGTATGAATCTCAGAAAAGACCAAAACCAGCAGAAAACTGACTGTACTCACACGTGTTCTAAGACCTTTTTTTACTAGATAGTTGCAGTGGAAAAAGACAGGATACGACTGTCTGCAATGGTGGAAGAAGTGTTCAGATTCTTTATATAAGTAAAAGTACTAACACAGTATTGCAAAACTTCTCCAGTACAAGTAAAAGTTGTCCATGAAAAATCCTACTTAAGCAAAAGTACAGAAGTATTCGCAGCAAAATGTAAACGTATGAAAATAAAAAGGCTGGTTTTGTCCCACTAACTAGTAAATTGTTGTCAACTGTAGCTCTACGTGACAAGTTGAATCTTTATACATCCTGTAAATATTCACGGCAATTTGTGTCAAAACTACAGCACTCAAATTTTTAAAGAAATTCTAGAAACTTTATCCAGAAAAGACACATTTTTATGAGTTCTTTTGAAAGATTTTTATCGTGTGAACTGCAGGGGAGCCAGGGAACACTTGTCTGCTCTTAAAAAAAAGAAAAACATGTTTTGTGAAATTTTTGGCGAGTTTCTGAAATATGAACAGTGTGCTTAGTATTTTCACCATGCATTTCTGTTTTCCTGTATCTTCTTCATCATGGATCAAGCAGCCTATTGTTGATGCATGATTCATGCATGAGGGTGATTCATCACTGATTCATTTTTAATAAAAATAGTGCCATGTTTGCTGTTATTGCAACTAAAATGGAAGTGTGGGGAGGCAATATGATAAACTTTACTCACCTAAATTAAAAAATCTGAAAAAAACAAGCTGCCTAGATGTCACGCACACAACAAAACAGATATTATTTATTTATTTATTTTTTTAAACAGGAACAGTGATCAATTTAAATCAAGCTAAATCCAATGTTTTAGAATGGTTGTATTTGCCATGGGCTGCAAGGTGGTGCAGTTGGTAGCACTGTTGTCTCCCAGCAAGAAGGTTGCCGGTTCGTGTCCCGGTGGGGGCACCGGGATCTTTCTGTGTGGAGTTTGCATGTTCTCTCCGTGCAGTGTGGGTTCTCCGGCTTCCTCCCACACAGTCCCAAAACATGTTGAGGTTAATTGGTGATTCTAAATTGTCTGTAGGTGTGACTGTGAGTGTGCTTGGTTGTCTGTCTCTAAGTGTAGCACTGGCGACCTGTCCAGGGTGTCCCCTGCCTTCACCCTGAGTCAGCTGGGATAGACTCCAGCCCCCCATGACCCTAGTGAGGATTTAGCAGTGTATAGATAATGGATGGATGTATTTGCCACTTTTGACCACTAAAAGGTAAAAAAAGTTCCTTTAAAAGCCACTGTGTGCTTTGCAACGTGGGAAGCTAAAAGTCTGACAGCAGGAGTACTAAGAGATTGACTTGTGCTTTGCTGGTTTTGGTCTTTCCTGTTTGATTTTTTAAACAATAAAAAATACAGAATAACAGCAGCCTTATCCTTTGTTAAAGCATATTTGTGGTTCTGCACGTTTTAGCTAAGAAACTATATTTTCTAGATAGCAAATTGGTTTCTTCTACTGTTCACACATGTGCCAGAACAAACCAGACTACCGGAAACAATAACAGCTTTAATCAGCCGTCTGACAGGAGCACTGACCTGCGATCAATTTCAGCTGTCCCATCGATAATTTAATTACAGACGCTGGACAACCAATTAGAAGCTCGATAAATAAAAATCTTGAAAGTCTTGTCACAGCAGCAGCATTGCCTCCACTTATACATGTGAATATTAACCTTCAAACAGGTTTTTACAGGTTCAAATAAGAGTCAGTAAGATTTAAAGATTGTGAAATGATGCTGAGATATCAATCCAAAGGAATGCTGTTTCACATGTTGCTGTATTTTTGCTTTAAATCTGAAATAAGGTGTTCAAAGTGGGTCTTTGTGTGGCCTCATCATTGGTATAATTTGTGCACCAATTTTACATTTTACTACAAATTGTTTCTACACATAATTTTTCAATTGAGAGATTTTCCTAGATTTATATTTTCCATGCAGGCTTTAAAAGTCATTCCTGAACACCATTTCCAACAAATCAGAGCCCCACAGGTTTTAACCTCCTCAGCTGTTGGTGGCTCATCTAATCCAACATCTGGATCTCCTCATGCAAACTACATTACTTGTGTGTTTTCCTTCTGCATGTGGACTCTCCGTTTGTACCTGTTTGAATCTGGACGGCACGCTCCAGCCGCAGGCCTGCATGATGCCGTCATCGCGGCGCATGTGCTCGCGGACCTGCCGGTACTGTTCGCGCCGCTGCTCTCGGCGGGCCAACAGTGCCGAGTCGCTGAGGAGAGATGCAACACCGTTACTGGCCAGTCTGGAAGCAACGAGAGGGAAGGAGAAGAAGAAGAAGAGAGAGAGACAGCGAAGCGTTAGCAGCCTGGCCAGCCAGCAGCAAGAGACGGAGAGAACAAGATGTGAGGAAGAGGAGGAAAAGGGAAGACGAGGAAAGCAAACAGCAGCGAAGATACTCGCTCCGGTTACACAAAGCTCTCATGTAGCTGAAGCCAAGCAATCGTGTCTTCATTTGAACTCTCCTGAGAAGATTCCTGTACATGTATTCATTCTAAGATGTAAAATCCATTGCAAACATTTATCCAACTTTAGTGTATTTGTGTCTTTGTGCAATTGAATCTTCTCCTACACACCTGCCTCGTGAAATAGATGTGCCAAGAGTTCCTTTAGTTCAAGATGTCAAAGAGAACCAAATTTCACTCATGCGTGCTGCATGATCGTGAGTGAAGTATCCCTGACCTGTTTATTGCAATCAAATAGAGCTTAAAAACGAAGACGTGTTAAGAATGAGGCCTTAAAATTTTGATTTCTAGTCCAATTAATTATGCTTTACATTCAGAGCTGGTGGATGGAAGACGTGTTTAAACAAGGAGGCCAGTAGGTTTATTCATATCTCTTAAATGTGATTTTATGTGCTCTTAGTCATTAACAAATTATCTACAATCATCGACAATGAAAAAGCTAAAACGTTTTTTCAGGATTTCTGCAATAATTCCTCATAAAATGCAGTCTGGCGTTCATTTAGGTCACAATTATCAACTCAATGTGTTCAAAAAAGCCAATAAAGATGAAAAAATTATATTAATAAAGTATGCTTTGTGTTATTAGTTTGTGTTTGTCTGTAATTGTGACTTACATGAAAATCAGACGACTTTTTATGCATATTAGTTGAGAAATCTGTTTCTACAGTGATATTCTTTATGCATGCATGACGAGAACTGTGTGAATGTGACAATAACCTCCTTCCATATAAAGTCAGAGCGTGAATTTAACCTTATATCTCGATGCCGGACACTGAATCTGAAGCTTTCGACTCTCCAAGCCGCCACAAGCGAGCAAGCAACCCGCAGCAGAGTGAGAAGCAGACGAGCTTTTTGGTTTAACGTGAATTAGTGTAAATGTGGTGCCGGTTGCTGCTCACTCTTCAGGGAAGAACTCCAGTGTTCGGTTGGAGGTGGAGATCTGACACATGGTGTGGCTGCGTCGCTGAGAGAAACCAGCCGGGGATGGCGACTTGTAGTGGATGTTGACGCTGTAGTACGGCCGCTTGACCGGGGGAGGGCTGGACGACGAGCTGAAGAGACGAGCAAAGCTGGAGGAAGGAGAGAGGAAGAGGAGGAGAGGCTTTACTGCTGCATTTCTTCACCAAATCATCTGTATTTCTAATTCTGCTCCAGCGAAACAAGTTTAATGAAGCAGAATCTCACAACTGCCAGATGGTGGACTTCTTCTTCTCTTGGATCGGAGGACTCTCCCGGGACGCCCTGAGGGGAAACAGAGGTTTAAAGTGAGAGGGAATTAAATAATAAAAATAAACTTTATTTATTTATACAGCACCTGGGAAAAAAACAACATTATGAAATGATTTACAAGACATGCAAAAAATGGAAACAATCCATTTAATAAAACAGAATAAAACACTCAAAATATCATAAAGGAAGTAAAAAAAATAAGCAAAAAATATTGGAACTGGAAAAATAAAAGACTTAGCTAACATAAGAAAAATCTTTTTTTTTTCTAAATAAGTGCTTTTTAAATAAGTGAGATGCCTTTTTAGTTAGTTTTTGTATACTAAAAATAATCATTTAAATATATAAGAAGCAAAATTAAATGTCTACAACGTGAAAACCAACTTAACCTTAAAATCACAATTTAATAAATGCAGCAAAAATTCAGCTCAGTCCGGCTTAAATTCTTAGCTCTGAGAATAAAGAGATAAATTTAAACCCTTTATTTTAGTATGTTGACTTTAACCCTCTGAAACCCAAAACCCGCCAAAACGACAGCATTCATCAGACCCAGAAACTGTGCCAACAAAAAGAATCGTCAGATTTTGGACTTTGCAACAGTCCTTGAACGAATTATCTGCCACTTGATGTTCCATCAGAAAAATCAACCAAATCTAAGCTTTAAAATCTTTTTAATCTCGCTAAAAAAAAATGCTATAAATTTACGGCTTGCTCTAACACGAATCGGTGAAAAACTAAAAATTCTGCACTATGCTACGTAACCAAGAAGTTATTAGAGGCTCAGCTGGAACCAACAGTGTCATGACAAAAATTCAAGGACTGTTTGACTGAAGGTGGCTGAAGTGCAGGTTGTGTTTACAAGGTTTGTAGCCTCATAACTGCACAGAAGACAAGTTCTGAATTCTCTCTACTTCTAGTCATGGTTGTGTTGTTTCAAAAAAAGGCTGTATTGCAGTGATAATGTGACGGGAGGAGAAAAAAAAAAAATTCCATCCAAGTTCTCGATCTCCAGTTTAAAGCAGCGTCCTGTTGTTTATCACCTGATCATCTCCGTCCACCGCACAGCCTCCTGCAGCTCCATCAGTCGCTCTTTGTACTGGTTCCTCTCCATCAGCACTCGGGCCATCTCCACCCGAGTGAACCGCCGCCGCTGGGTCATTGTCATGTCGCCGTCTTGCATTGGTGATGAAAACTGGGCAAATGGAAGCATCTCATTAAAGTCTGCACTAAATATATTGCTCATTTCCTTAATTTTGTTCTAAAAACTGTACAAACTCTGTACATGTCAACCAAAGGACTAAAACCCTCATGAAATAAGAGCAGCAGATTTATTTATTTTTAGCTAATATGTGAAATTTAGAGCCACTAACAGTGATTCCAGAGGTCAGTGACGGTTTTACTCACATCATCACTTCCTTCATCCTTTGAGTCCCGAGATGCTCCGAGAGCTTCTGCTCTTAACCTGCAGGACAAAAACACAGTCACACATCTTTATCTCTGCTTGAGGTGTGTGAAGAGTTAAGGAGATGTTGTTAATACAAGGGAACACATTTAAGCAGGAAAAAATGGGGGTTGAGGCTTTTTAAAGAGGCTTCTGAGGCTGCTTCAGTCAGAATACACAACATGACGCAGCACAAGGATAGAAGCTGACAAGTGGGTGCTTTTACTTTGAAATTTCCACGACTTCCATGTTTTTATTTTCCAAAAAAAAAAAAAAAGTACTGAATAGTAGTATTTTAAGTTACGCTTTTCTTCTCAATGTCCAAATCACGGTTTTCACAGAGAGTTTCTAGCTTAAGTTCATTAACGAAAGTCTGAAAGTGCCAGAGGTTAAGTTATCAGGGTGCCACTGTGTTCTGTTAATCATTTTAATCATCTGTATTCCACAAAGTTGACATTTTGATTTTATTGTCATTCTTAAACTATTTGTTTTGAATATTTTCCTGCTTATTTCCAGAATCAGAAACACTTCATTGACCCTTGAGGGGAAACCACGTACATTACAGTTGCTCTCATTCAAAGTCTTTTGAAACTAAAGCAAAAGAAAAACACAAGTAGAAAAAATATGTCCTAAAAATGTAAACATTAGTACAAAAAAACAAGCAGAAAATGAAAAACAAAAAAGTACATTCTACAGGAAAATAAAAATGTAGGTCTACAGTGTAATAAATAGTAGTAGTTATTACAGGAAGTAGTAATCTTGGACAGGTCAAGAGATGCCAAAAGAATTGTGAAATAATAAAGTCCTGTGAAACTAACTTACTGAGTGCATATGAAGAACCTGAAGCTTTACTGAGACGTGTGAAAATATTGTGCTTCGGGTGAGTTTTACAGTTTCCAGCTTCAGTCTTTTTGGCTGTAAATGTTGGTCCCACACCAGCTTTAATATAACTCCTAATATAATCAGCTTTCTCTACAAACACACATTGGCAGCCACACTCGAAAATAATGTGGTTTTTATTAGTTTAAGAAGCATATTTGTACTAAAATTATTTTTTCTTTATGGATTTGAAGAGCACAACAGAGTTCCTCCTGTTGATACTCAGATACAAACAGTTAACTTAAAGAAATGATTGTGTTTGATGCAACTGATCAAAATGAGAAAAAAAAAACTGAGCTCTGTACTGAAACATTTCGTCTTCTGGCTCTCATACGTGGACGACGGTGACAGTGTTGTTCGAGACTATCAGGTTACTTCTCCTGTGTCTGTTTCTAAGACGAATCCATTCGTTTACGCACTCAGACTCCATCGGTTTCGGATTCCAGGTCAACGGCTTTTGTGTTTAACTCCCTCTAACTGCTGTTCAACGTGCTTTTAATGCGTCTTTTGTCAGTAGTTTCTTCTAGAATGTAAATGTCATCACACTGCCATCACTCCTGCTCTGCAGGTAGAAATTCTTTCACACTGAATTTAACACATAAAGGAGCATGTTGTTTTCTTCATCAGCACCTTCAGTTGTTAAAAAACGTCACCTCTTGAGTTCTTCTTCCAGTTCTTTGACTCTTGCGTCCACCTTGTTCTTGGACTGCCTCACCGCCTCCAACTCCTCCCTCAGCACCTCCTGCTCCCCCGACAGCTCGTCCACTTTGGCAATAAGGTCATTTTTCACGATGTTCAGAGCGTTTCTGTCGAGCAAAGAGCAGAAAGACGATGAAATCAGAAATTGAAACCAGTTTGCAGAAACTACGAGTTCGCTTTCATGTCCACACACAGAGAACATGCAGACTTATCCAGCATTTTAAACCAATCACGGAATGTCTCACTCAAATTAACGTGACAAATCTTTCAGCAAATATGGAAAAGTGAACACAAATGAAGACGAACACGAACACTATCTTCTCTTACTTGGTCTCTAGGAGTTGTTTGTTCTCCGTCAGCAGGTTCTCCACCTCCTTGCCCATCCCTGAAACATTCATGTCTGTTACTTATCACACGTTACACACACTCCATTTATCAATAAAACCAATCAAGTAAAAGCATTTCTCAGGTTCTTTGGTAGCGCTGATTTTCAGGCCAACCAGAATACAGCTGAATCCAGAAGTTTACATACACTGAATAAAAAGACACATAACCTTTTTTTTTCTCTCACTGTCTGACATTAAATCAGACTAAACGTTTCCTGTTTTAGGTCAGTTAGGATTACTTAAACTACTTCTATTTGCTAAATGCCAAAATAATGAGAGAGGATTTTTTAAGAGAATTTTTTTATTATTTTCTTCAAAGTCAGAAGTTCACTACACTGAGATTACTACGCCTTTAAACTATTGTGAGAAGCTTGTGGAAGGAAACTCTAAACGTTTGACCCAAGTCATACAGTTTAAAGGCAACGCTACCAAATAATAAGGAAATACATGCAAACTATTCACTTTGACAAAAGTAGTAAAAAAAAAAAAATCTCTAAGAAAATTCTCTCTCATTATTCAGGCATGTAACAAATAGAAATTATTTTGGTAATCCTCACTGACCTAAAACAGGAAAAGTTTAGTCTGGTCTAATGTCAGACCGTGAGAAAAAAAAAAAAAGGTTATGTGTCTGTTTATACGGTTTATGTATTGGTTTCAACTGTAAATGCCTATTTCTACATGACAGGTTTAATAAATCAAAAATCTCAACTTTATGGTCAGATTATTGCTCTAATTTAACAATGATGCAAAGTCAGGCTAACAAAGGAAAGTTATTTGTAAAATATTTGAAATCTACTGTTTTACACCTCAAAATACAAAATGCAGTTTCACAGAGGTTATGCAGATCGATCAATAGGTGCAAACATATGCAGATTTATCTCTCAACCATGATTAGATCAAGCTCAACCTACTTATTTGTTATTAATCATCTTAATTATCGCCATAAATGAACTGAAAAACGCACACGGAAGCAGCAAGCACTGTGCAACATAAGCCAAGCACAAACAAACTTTAAGCTGAAATTTCAACACAGAGAAAATTTCAGACATGAGAACGAGTCAAAAACAAACAAAGGAAAAAAATAAAAAAATAAAAGAAAAAGCCAAGAGGTTGTTGTACTTTCAAAGGAGTGGTGGTGGGTTGGACGCAGAGAACAGGGCTCTCGGTTAAAGTGGATTAGAAAAGTCTGCAGGGATTAGGTAGTGATCCGACTGCAGAGACGGATAAATGAGTCGTCATGACAGTCGTAACTGTAAAACAACCTTTTACCTGAAATTAACTCATATAAATAACTCACTTTGAAGGAGTCAAACAGGTGTTAAGATATATATTTTTTGATGAGTTTACATATTTCTGATACATTAATTCACATATTATTTACAAAATGGAGCAAAAAATAGCCTCATCTCATGACTCTGAGTTCTGCACTGTGTCTGTATTATTAGATTATTAGTAGATCATTGTGTTCTGGTTCAAAACAATACAGTGCTTTTATTTCTTTTATATTAATTGTCAAAAAAGGGGTCAACTAGGGGTCGACTGATTCTCACTCTGGATGATTATCGGATCTGGTATTCAGCGTTTTTGCAATTTTCTGTATGTTTTTTTTTCTTTAACTGATCCCGATAAAGGTAATTAATTTAAAAATGCTGTATTTTTGCTTTGATAAAGCCACTCTGTAATCTGATCTGTCGATCAACACTGAAGGATAAATGCTGAAAATTCTCTTTCAAATTAGTGTGTGAAAACTTAAATAAGGTTTTGCGTTACTAAAACGTTCATATTTACTGCAAACTATTCCAAATATCTGAAAAACCACATCCGACGATCCTTAGTGCAGACACAATGAACCAAATGTTTACCTCAAGGCCCTCTTTAGAGGAGAGTATTAATAATTCAGGTGGGTGAGATGCAAAGGTGGCACAAAATATAAATATAAAGCCACATAAAAACAGACACAAAGAAGCGACCAGAGGGATGTGGAAGCTGGAGGTCAGGGAATGACACAACAAGCAAACGTGGCCACGAGCGCAGGGCAAGAGGCGCCTTACCGAAGAAATCATCGCGGACTGGAGGCAAAAGAAGAAGAAGAAAGAAAGACAGAAAGACAGAAAGAGGAGTGGGCACAGATTAGAGATGAGCAAGAAAAAAGAGAAGAATGGGAGGAGAGAGGATGCTGATAATAAGCATTTATTAATTTGGATTTGAAGAACGGTTAAAGGACTTTTACACAAAAGCTGCAACCTTTGTGCTGGAATCAAAGACGGAGCAGATTTCTGTGACCCAGAAGGTGAATTAATCAAATAATATCGACTCTATTTTATGTTTTTTCTCATGTTTTTATAGTATAATTCAATATCTGTGAACATAAAAACAGGTACAGCTTAATCACTAAATATGAATTTAATCTCAATGTTCAAAGAGATTACTGCTCCGGAGCATATTTATGGGTATAGTATAATTTGCATGATTCCAATTTCTCAACCGAGCAATAAACTAATACATTAATAATTACAACTACAATTAAGTGCAGTTTTCTGATTTGTACACACTGAGTGACTTCTGCTCTTAAATGTGGAGTTTGGAGAGAAAAGAGGAGTCGAGAGAGTAACAGAAACAGATACCAACCAATGCACGTTCAGATACACACCTGAGAACTCGCCTATGGGTGTCACCAGCAGAAGCACATAAAAGGGGGAAAAAAAGAAACGGGTGAGAGGTTAACAGATGGACAAGAAAACGGCTCAGAACTTCCCTTCCTATTTCTGCTGCAGGAAGGAAATTTAGGGAGAGTAAATCAAATCCCCAAATCCCTTAAAAAATAAATGAGGATCCCCTTCAAAAGTGACATCTTAGATAAATCATGAAACTGATAAATGTGAGAAAGGAAATAGAAAAATCAATGTTTAACCCTCTGAACCTCTAATCCTGCTGATGGTATGAACAAAATTACACCATTAATCAACTGTAAAAACAGAAAAAAAACCCACTGGATTTCCATCTTTTTGACAGTCCTTGAAGTAATTTAAGCCTGAAGTCATGATATTTTATCAAAATCGCTTTATTCTACACGACTAAAAATTCCTTTAAAAAAACTAAGCATTTGCATTAACCAGATTCTGCAAAAAACAAAAAAATCTGAGCTCCTCTGTGCAACTGTGAAACTACTTGTGACTCATCTGTGACCAACAGTGATATTACAAAAATTCTGTGACTTTTTGCCTGAACTGCCAGCTGTGTCTACACATAGCAGACATGACGCAAGTGTATAAACACATTAAAAGTGGAAGTTGTAAAATATCTATAGTATGTAGAGCAAATAAACACAAGCGTTTTTTTGGGGGTTTTTTTTACAGTATTGCTTACAGCTGTGGGCATTTAGAAAAATTGTGTTCCAAAATGTTTGTAAAAATAAATAATCAAGAAATTCAACTTGTTTTTTATGAGTATGGTATTACAACTTTGTTATGCTGCACAGAAGAGATCATTAGTCATATCTACTTCTAGCCAGGGTTGTGTTGCTTCCACAGAGAGACAGGACTTCTTTAAAAAAAACAAAACAAAAAAAACAGTCTACTGGGTGTAAAAACTCTAATAGGAGCAAACAACATAGAACCTGCCTGGGATTCAGAGGGTTAAAGTGAAAACCTTTATAATGGACTGCACTAAACATGCCTCTTCCCCATGAAAAAAGAAAACAAGCAAACTTAAAAGACAAATAAGTAGTAAAGGTAACACTGCATGAATGGGCTGCTGGGGTTGTGGTTGCAATCCAATGTGTGAGACTTTTTCAGGAGACTGCAGCGATACAGAGTTGTGCTGCAGCCTTTCATGCAAGGAAAGAAAAATGAGTGCAGGGGCACATTCACGCAGCCTCACATGGAGCTCACACCCTGCAGGAACGCAAAGAAAAAACAGATGCCGGCTTTGTGCAGCACACACATGCATCCGCCCCTCGAGATTCCACTTATTCTGAGTAATATCACACATCGGCCTGCTGGCATTCGGTACGAATCAAGTCAGCGATATCTGTATTGTCTTCAAGCATTCCTTTGAAATGAAACACATTCCACTGACCAAAACAGAAGAATGTCACTGAGCTGCTACCAGCACTGAGAGTTCATGGCACAACTTAGGGCTCTCACATAAAGTAATCCATAAAGAACCAATAAAATCATGTCAATACGTTGCAGCTGAAGTCCTGTTCGTACCTAGCAGCTCGGCACCTGCATCAACGTCCCCGATGATGTCTGACTTGGCGTCTTTGATCTCGTGGTAGAGGGAGTCGGTGTTGATGCCGAAGGCCTCGTTAACTATGCCCTGAGAGGGGCTGCAACACACAGAAACCAGGGTTTAATTAGACAACGAGAGCTAAATCTATTTTTATTTGTGTCAATAAAAACATAACACTGCACATGCAGAAGTAACACCACAGTCGGCGTCGTGGAGATGTTTGCATTTCACCTTTAGCTGAAGGATTCAACGAATATTTTATGGTTTGAAAAACGTTTACTGGTCTTGATTGAATTTGGAAATGACAACACTGATTTACTTGCAAGTTTGAGTCCTAATAAACAGGAATTCTGTACAACAAAAACACCTTATTTTGACAAAGATAAGTGTTGATATTTGCTGTGAACTAAAACCATTCGGTGTGTCTTGTAAAGAGGCCCCCCAAAAAACCCAAAAACATCATGAAGCATCATGAAGTGCTTTAATTGGCACTCAGCTCTTGACGTTTTACCATTTTGAACAGGAATGAGGATTTTTCAAACTGAATCCCTTTTTATATCCAAATCTGAGCCGATTCACTGGGCTTCTCTGACAAGTCAGAAATAAATCATTCAGCAGTCAACCACTAAAACTCCTTTTTCTGTTCAGGAATGCAAGTAAATAAACCTATAATTTCACATCTTAATCAAGCAATAAAACATAATTTTGCTGGTGTATGAACCACGACAGAAACCAATGCTGTTAATTTAGGGCAGCTGTGGCATAAAGCTTACCATAAAGGTGGTGATCTAATGAATTTGTTGAGCGCTGTACGTAAAATATGCATAAATGTTCATAAACACAGATACCGTGAGGCCATTTAAATCCCTTTGTTATTAAAAAACAGCTATTGATCTTGTTGTGGGTGGTTTTTTATCATAAAGTCGTACCTGTTTCCTCCTCCGTACACTCGGGGGTCCACGCACATGTCCAGGTCAGAAGTTGAATCAATGATCTCCTGAAACTCTGACCACTCATCGCTGCTTCCCATTCCTGGAAAAACCCAGCAGAAACACACCAGGACAGCAGGTTAGATGAGTATTTTTTCTAGAGAGGGGGGAAGCTAAAGGATCTATTGGTCCTCTTACCGATGCTGACATTCCTCGTCTCCTGGGAAACCTGCACCTCCATGTTCCGGCTGAGACGCTTGGCACTTTTCCTGCGGTTCCCGGCCCGCATCACGTCGAACTCGGAGGGCGGGAGGAAGCCCTCGTTGATGGGGGTGACGGTGGCAGAGGGGACGGAGGAGGTGGGCGTGTTGGAGTTGCTTCCTGTGCTGCTGGGTGTCGCCGCCACCGAGTCGGACTCCGATCCGTCCTCCTTGACGTGACGAAGCATCGGCATGGGAACGAAAGAGAAGCAACAAATGAGCATCTTGCAATGAAGGCAGACCAACACTTAGTTTCTACCAATAACGCCGGCACAACTTATTTATCTCTAGCAACTAGTTTTATTGGTTTTAAGCATTTATTACTGAAATGATACCAGAAAGAGTCTATTATCACTTGACTTTCTTGTTTTGTAGTTAAATTATCTCAAGTTTTGTAGAAATATCAGGAAGAAAACCAACAATTTGAAGCACAAACTGTTCTGGGGGGGAAAAAAAGCAACAGTTTGATGGTAAGTTTCCTTATTTTATGTCACTAATTGTAAAGTTTAAAGTCACCTTTTTGCTAAATTTGGTGTTGTATCAAAAAAAAAAAAAAAAACTGTTTCGTGACTTCTTGATGCATGAAAGCCTTGAAAAGAAAAACGTCCGCTGTTTTTATCTTTATCAACTGTTCTGGGAAGATAAACGGTCAAGTAATCCGTATATATATTTAAAGTGATGACTTGAGGGATCAAAACTTCAATGTTCTCACTGAAGTTTGTCACCGATTTGCAAGCTGAGTCCTGGATTAAAAACAGTGTTGACCTTTATCAGACGTGCAGCATTCTAGCTTCACAGTCATGGTCGCCGCTTTCTAAATCCTGAAATGTACTTTTTAACCTTCATTTATGCTCTCAGCATCTCAAAGATTTCCTAATACCACTAGGAGCCACAGCAAGAAAGCAAAACTATCCTTGGCTCCTTGGTTTTTCTCACATATAAAGCACTACATGCCATCAACTTGTACGATGAGCATAGTTTTTCTTTTTAAAAAAAAAGTACACTTGGAAACACAAGCTGAAGCAACACAAGTGTAAACTAAAACATGACACATGATAAAAAAAAAAAATTAAAAAAAGACTCCACGATCACATAGTAAAACAATCACACAGTCATAAAAAAAGACACTGCATGAAAAAAGGAAAAAAGGTCCCTGCTTGCTTGAGTCAACACATCTGCTTTTAAAAGGAGCAGATTTCTGATGTAAAATAGTTCCCTGTAAAGTGACACAAGCAGGCGTGGGAGGGCAGGCGGTCCACGGCTAGCAGCGGTGAGGCCGGCCCCTTCCCCTTCCACTCCCCGGGCCGCGGTTGTGGTCGTGGAGGAGGACAGGGCCGCCGTCTGTCCCACCTGAGAGGCGGAGGTGAAGGCGGATCGGCCGAGCTCGCTGACCTGCCAGATGTCTTTCCCGGGCATCATCCTAGCCCCCCCGAGACCCCCACGTACCATGCCCTCGCCGCTGGGGTACAGGCTCAACGACGGCGGGCGCTCCGCTTTGCTGCAGGCAGAAAGGACACAGAGGAGGCAGCACTGACGTGAGAACGACTGTCGCTTGTTCACTCTCTGCATTTAAGCTCTTTTTGGGCTGCAGCTCATCCCGACATGCACCAGAATCAAGGCACAAAATAACCTGCAGTCACTCACGCTGCCGGAAATGTCAAAGTATTACGCTTAAAGGAGAAGCTCAACGTTTTGAGAACTAGGCTGAAGTGCTTTCTTGCTGAGAGTTTGATGAGAAATTTGAATTAACTCTGTTTAAATGTGGAGTTTAAACTGGAAGCTGAAGTCAACAGCAAGACTGGATCCGTCCAACTGGCACCTTTCAAATATATTAATGAAAATGTTCTTGTTTGTAACCAGTTGCCAGGAGAGAAAAAAAAAAGTCCAACAGCAAACTCCCACTGTATTGATTTATGGGTTAAACCAGTGACATGTAAATCAATGAGCTTTAGATCGGCTGATTTTTACCTTTGGAAACACCCAGTGAAGCTGTTTACAGTGTTCATGCTGAACTAAACTAACCAGCTACATATGTACTGTAAACTGTAAAATAAATCCAAATCTTATAGAAAATATATCCTAAATTTTGCTGTTTTCCAACAAATGAACAACATAGTAACATAATTTCTCTCTTTTTTTAATGCAGAAAATGTACTATATGTTACTTATACAGCACTTTTTCCAACTTTCTTAACTTATAAACAAATTCACATGAAGTGACAGTTATTACCTGTAATTATATACTGTATGTAACTGTTTATATAAAAGCTTATGGACATAATATCAGTTTAAAGATTTTATGTTTAATTGTTCTTATTAGCTTTATTTTCATGAGACATTTACATCCGACTCCTGTAATTCTTGCTACAAACGTTTTATTTTACAACCAACATAATGCACAGACGGTTTTTAAAAGAGTTTATTTGCCTCCACATTCTTGATGCTGCATTCTCTCGAGGTTGCTTATTTTTTTGGACTTGGTCTCCTACATATTAACCAAAGATATTAATTTGTTGAACTGTAACTCTTATTTTTGTAAATTTGGTGTTGGGCTACACTTTATGTCTTAACAGAAATTTTTTTTAGTTTTTCATTTGCTCCTCGGAGGTTGTTTATTCGTGAATAATTGGTTGATATTGTAAATGTAAAATAATTTCTGAACCAATTTTGATGCATACTTTTTTCATCTTCCAAATAGAACTAATTTTGAGCATGCACTGACACTTCATTAAAGGTGTTTTATTGTAATAATTTAGACCAAATGAAGAAAAATAAACTGTTTAACTGCACAACTTTTAGGTCTTTTAGTTCACTGAAGGTGTTTGACTGTAATAATTAAGGAAAATCAGTAAAAAAAAAAAAAAGTGTTTCTCCACAAAACGTATAATGAAAATGTCTGTAAATGTGGTGTTTTTTTTTTAAACTCTAGTTGGATATATTACCTTAATTTTACGTTTTGTACAGATATAAGAATGTCTATCTAATCTATCTCAAGCAAATAACAGTATTTTCCAAAATGTCAAACTATTCCTGTAACTGTGTGGAGAAAGCACCCAGAGGAAACTCAAAACATTACCAGAGCTTAACATAGAAACACAAAAGGTCAACAATCGAAGCTACAGCTTAACGTATAGGATTACATATAAAACAAGGACAGAGCAACAGACAAGCAAGGAAGGCAGACGGACGGACGGACTGGCAGACAAACACATGAGGGAGAAGAAATCTGGAAAATACGCATCGCACTGCTCAGCAAGACCTCTGATCCATTCCTTATTCCCGAATTTGTGGTAAAAATGCAACATCATTAATACATTACAGGCATCAGTAACTAGTAAAGCAAATGCACGAGGGGGGATTCGCCTTCATAGGAAGCACATAAACAGGAAAGGGCAGCATGTCTCAGTCACATTTTAAGTCCAAGCAGGCCCGTTTAGAAGGCGGAACTGAGGGGAGGAGTGGAGTTGTGGGACTTTATTGGATTTACCTTTTCCTCCATGTGTGGCGTTGACTGTGCAAACAGCGGCACAGAGAGCAAGCCAGCAAGACAGACAAGACAGACACTGATTAGAGAAAGACAGGAGACAGGGACATGCCATGACACACAACAAAAACCCCACGCAAACACACACACACGCTTTTCACCTTGGTTGTAGTTTTTAAGTATTTTTACATTTCTGCCACTAATGGATTGTTCCTTCCTCCATGTCTTAATAAATTATACATTCTGTAAACCTCAGCAGGGTTCACGGTGCAAACTCTAGTCACTCCAGTAATTCAGACACTTGATGAAGATTGGCTGCATTAGGATTCTTGTCATTAGATAATGTAGTAAAATTGAGTTTTGAGATTTAGGATTTAGAGAACATATTGCAGGCTGCAGCAGATGTCCTGCTCCTCATCCTGCTTCACGCCGATGGGTTGGGTAACTGCTGATCACTGCAAGCTAAAAAATGAACTCCAAACTCTCATTTTTTTTCTAATTATTTCCCACAAGGCTCATAATTGCTGCAGCTTTTCTCTGTGCATCAGCTCTGTCAGTGGGAAGGACCAGCTGCTCATCAAGCTCGGCTCCTGACAAACAAAACGCCACACTGAGCGCGTTGGAGAACATGAAACGTCATCAACAGGACGATGGGTGAAAGTTACAGTTTAAATCCGCACAAAGATGCACGACAATAACACGCACACGCAAAAACAAAACAAAAAAAAAAAAAAAACACTCACGTTCGTCCACAGCCAGGGCCTTCTGATTGGCTGTTGCTCCCTGACTGCTGCATCTTGGACCGCTCTATGTGCTCGACGTACGTCTGAATCATCTGTGAGCCGAAAGAAAAGCACAAGAATTGATTTAAGCAAACAGGAGTGAAATTGGAACAAGGAATATCACAGATTTTTTATATAATATAACAGCGGAGAAGGCATTAGAGGAAGCATGTAAAAGGATTTCAGCGATTTAATGACAACATCTATTATCTGCAACTTGTTGGATTTTTTGAACCAAAAGGACGACCAGACTGTGAGATTACGGCGCTCAAAGGACCATATTGGGTCTTTTTGCATAATAATGTTTTTCTAAACAAGACATATTTGTGCTCCCGTATTGTTTTGGTGTCACTAGGGGAAAATTGCATAATAACCATTCAGCACATTTTAATTTAACTTTTGCACCTCGTCTTGGATCTGTTTTCAGAATTTTGAAAATTTTTCCCATAAGAAGACACTTTGACCAATCGCAGGTCTTTTCAGAGATCTGTTGGCTATTCTACAAATGCAAATACACGTGGACGTTACTTCAGATGGTGGAAAGTCTGACTAAGTGGCGGAAAACCCTGCAGGGAAAGTTGCTCTTCCAGCAGTAGAGTAAACTGCAAATCAACACCACAAAGGAAAAACGGGCTCACAAGAAAGAGTCGATGGTAACGCAATTTAACAAAAACATGTACATGTAAACTTGACAAAACCTTTCAGAGACAGAGAGAACTTTGCAATCCCATCTGCCTCAAGCTGACTTTGAATTCCACACCTGCTAAGTCAGCTTCTGTCTTATCAAAGGCCTTTACAGGTCCACAAGTTTGTGCCATAAACTGCATTTGGTTCGTATATTAAACAGGATGACAGCTCTCAAAGAATGGCTGCTATGGAACCACACAAGGATCACGATCACAATGACTGAATGAATGACTAATAAGCCTACTAGTACACGTTACTGCACCGCATAATGTTACTAAGTTAGTGTTTCATGCACAGTTTATATGCTTATGTTTGTCTAGTTGGAAAGACTTTGGACGCAAAAGCTGCGAGACGAGGTGTGTTTTATTTTGCCTTTTCCACATTTCTGACCACTGCAGCTCTTATTATCATTTTTAAATGCATAGGATGTTGTTAATAATATTCAAATTAAATTGTTTTCTCATTCATAGGCAGACACTGACTTCATTTCATTATTGTTTTTAGGGGATCCACCACAATGGCAGTTTTGTGTGCTTGTAAGCTTTTTTTTTTACGACTGTAAAGCAGGAAAAAAGAAAAATATACAAGACAATTTAAATGCTACAGCATTGTTTCAATATCCTAAAATGTCCTTCATCTCTATGGAAACAGCGAAAGCACTTCTTTGAATATTTCTTTTACAAAAATTGATAAAAGTTAGAATCAACCTGTGCATGGTCTAAGTGCCTGCAGGTGTGATCGATTCTAAGAAAACAATTGTGGCTCTACATACTATAGACAATGAATTACTTCCATTTTAATTGTGTTTCCATACTTGTCTCCTCTGTACAAACACATCCTACAGTCAAACAGCCAAAAAATCCCTGAAGTGTTGGCACATGACTGTTGGTAGCAAATGAGTCATTAACGGCTTAATAGTTGTGCCAATTCGTTGTTTTTTACAGATTCTGATAAAGTTCATGTTTAGCCATTTCTAAGTGAGACATATAGAAGTGATTTTGACAAAATGTCATGATTTTAAGTTTAGATTTGATTCAGTTTCACGACTAAACATTTGATCACAGATGAGTAGTTCAAGGACTGTTAGAAATGTACAAAATCCAACAATTCTTTCTGTTTTGACAGTTTTTTGCTCTGGTCAATGGTGTAATTTTGGCAGTTCAGAGGGTTAAAGATGATAATATTGGCAAATTAATGGGTATGTATGTTTGGTGGAATATGTGGATATGAGGATGGATCTGTTTTAAAACACGCTAAAAGCAGAATTCCCAAGCCGAATGTTTTCTCACCTCAGTGTGGCGCTGGTGCAGAGCGTTGTACTCTTTCTTCATGTCTGATTCTCGCTCTTCCAACCGTGTGACTGTGAAACAGACAGACAAGAGCTGAGCAGCAAGAAACCAGGAGAGATTTCTTGAGAAGTAGGATAGTACATTCAAACAGCCCTGACTCTAATCCTTTCCGGTTGACCAGTTCACTTTATAATTTGCCACCAATTAAATTGACAAAAAGCTTCATTTCGTGATGACTAAACTGTCGAAGGGTGAAATAGGACAGTTCAAAGACGGGATTTTTAACTTATGTTAACTCTATGTTGTGTGATTATGACAGAAAAACAACATAAATGACATTCCGGGTTTATAGCTAAGAAAACAAAACTAATCAGCCAGTTGAAGATGTGTGCCGGTATTCAAAAGATGAAGACAAATGAACAAAAGCAAATCAATGTTTCAGTTCAGAAGCACCAACAATCTAAAAATACGCCCTCAGCGTGTCCACTTCCTTTTCCATCTTCCCCACAGAACTACAATGAAAACACATCCTCAAGCCTCCATGTTGTCTTTTCTGTTATTAGTGCATTAAAAAAAACTTCCAGAGGAGACACAAACGTTTCAATTTAAATCTAAATATAGCCTCAAAACACTTTCAGGGTTTTAGGTTCTGTGTACTTAGATCTGCTATCAACAGCCAGATGTGCAGTAAATATACAGTTTACAGACTTTGATACAGTAAACAATTCTGTCTACTCACTCTGGTCAGAGTAGTTCTTTGTCTTGAGCTCCAGCTGTTTTCCCTGCAGCTCCAGAAACTCCACTTGTATCTGCAGGTCCTTCTTCTCAGCTTCCAGCGCATCTTCAAATTCGATGAATTTCTGATGAAAAAAAAAAAAACAGACCTCAAAATCAGTTTGCTGTATTAATAATAGTGTATATGGATTAAATAGAAACAACAAAATATGGCTACTGTGCTTGTTTATGAAACAGGATTATCAAGACTTTAAAATCAGTTCTGGTTTCAGGACATTTCAGGTGTTCAGTGCACGTGTCAAAAAATAAGACTGCGTTCCGGTTACACACAGACCTCTATGGAATGCAATGCAGTTTTTAAAAACTCATCTAAAATATCCTTCAGCTTTATAAAATACCTCAATTTGCCTCTGAGTGTAGACATGAACCCAGTAACTGAGCAGCCATAACAGAGAAGCACAGAGCTGCCTACTTCTCCTTCACGTTGCCTGTTTTTTTTTTTTTCTTTATAAAGCTGCTCACAATGACGTCCTTTTTTCAATGCAGCACGTCCACAAAGTCTTAACACTGTAATCCTCTGACTGCAGGGAGACCTTGGAACCAGCAATATGCAGCAGATATACAGCACACAAAATAACAAATGCCACAACATGACGGCCGTCTGATGATGCTGGTATCTAAAGTCACTGTGGAGAACAGCAATGATCGTTTAAAGATCTGTTTTTAATGCGGAAAATGGATTTGAGGAGAAAATTCTGCACCTCTGAAGAAAAAAGAGCAAGGAAACTGTCACAGAAACTGCTTAGGAGGCTAATTTAACAAGTTTCATGAGCAAAACATTAACGAATAACAGAAAATGTGGTAAAAGGTAAGCACCAAACGGCCCTCTCCAGTGTTACACAACTTTTCAATCATAACATTTCACATATGCATGAGGAGCACCATGTTTTGTATTCTAGTGCTAAAAAATGTAATTCTCCCCACATTTAGCTGAAGCAATAACTCTTCTCTAAAAAGATAAAAGCAGAGATGTTCTCGGATCATATATAATGTCTTTGTTTTTGACTGAAAATGTAATATAGCCTTTATATTAGATAGCGGTTGTACTTTCCGAGCAGCCCGAGTCAAAGCTTCATAAAATACTATCCTTCAACCAATCCCCCCTCAGGCTGGGAGCACGTCCTTCAAATCCACACCTCTATCTGCTGCCTTTACCTGCATTAGACACCTTCAAATTCAAGATTTCAACATTAGAACGCAGCAGGAATGACATGCAGCGACAGTGAATGCATGACTAAAAATGCAAAAAAATAAGTGCTGCATTTTCAGAAATAACATTTAAATGCGTAAGGAATAATTGCACAGGTAATAGTGGCACAGTTTATGAATGAATTAGTGGCTTGGGGTATTTCGTTCATTGTGTCTAACATGAATAATTCAGGAAGTATCCTTGCGGTGACTGAGTGGAACTAACGGGCTTCCCTGACAAACCGGGGCTAAGTGTGTTTGACTGCATCGCGGTCACACTTTCAGCTGTTTATACTGCGTGAGGAGAAAATAAAGTGAGGGAAAATAATGGCACGTAGGCTAATATAGTAGCATAAGGTGTCCTTTTTTAAAAAATTGTTCCCAGAATTTAGATTGCCGGAGAGTAAAATCATTTGTTTTTGGTAATCTAATTGAAGCAAATCACATCAAAACAGAAGGTGGTCAGACAAAGCTGAGGCAGAGATGATCAATCATTTACTGTCATCGCACTATGAGGAGTGTGAAATCAGGACAGTTAGTGATGGGAACTGATTGGATCATCCCAGCAGGCGGCCTCATAATAAGACTGCAGCAACAAAGATGCTTTCAAAAAAAAAAAGGTTGAATTTGTGAACTGTAATAACTCTAATCACATACATCTCGGTGAAGGCTCCATGAGCAGAGCTGTTGGCTTTGTTTACCATCAGCTCGAGCCTAATAACCTTGTAATCTGAGCCGCTTTTTGCTCGTTGCTCGGCGTGTCTGGCCAGAGGGTGTGTTATTGTTTTCCTGAAGGCTCTGAGATCCTGCCTTTTCTTCTTGTTAGCCCTCGACTCCTTCCGATCTGCTCGTTTCTGCCGCAGCTCCAGACAACCTCAATCCATTTCTTTCTCTCTGCTGTCGCTCTCTCTCTCTCTCTCTCTGTTGCTGCTTCTCATAAACACAAATCAGGTTACAGTGCCAGGCTCCCTCAGTGTGCTCTGTGCACTATTGATCTGCTACGACTCCCAACCCTAACACTTGGTCCCATCCCCCATTGTGCCCTCAGACAAATCAGACAAAAAACTGTCTCTGTTTATTCGTTGCAGTCAAATGTGTCACCTAATTTGCACAAAGATGCACAGTTTCATGCAAAGTTCTGGGCAATTTGTTTATTTTGGCAATGAGAGAAGTAGTTTACAAACTTTAAAAATGACCAAATGTTAATGCGTCGTCCTGAATTTTAGTAGTCAACTGACGCATTTGAACCTGTGAGGCGTCATTAGAGGTCAGCTGACGACAGTTTAGAGCTGATAAATTCTCTGACTCCTCAGATCTTGTGGTAACACTCAACCACTGTGAGGTCTCTGGAGTTTTTAAAGATTTGAAAATGGGTCTAACTTACGCTTACAAAGCAAAGGAAACCTGTAAAAAGGCCCCGCTAAAGTGCTTTCACCTTGCAATTTTCACTGTCTGAAATACCGCTATGAAATGGTGATTAGGGGAAACTGCGGGAGTTAAGGCAACATCTGAGGATCAAGAAACCTTAAGGAAGATTTATCTGACACAAAAGTGCAGTGATGGTGCAAATACAGCTTCTACAAGGAAGAGCCAACAGAAGGGAACCTTATCTGCAGCCACATCCTAAAAGTCAACATCTCCAGTGTACAGAGCAACATCTGGACAAGGCACAGTCGTGTTGTGCTGTCACATGCTGTAGACAAATTAAGTTAAACTGATCTCTTTTCCACAATCACCAAAATCTTTGATAAAAATGGACATTTTACCAATTGTTAAGCATTTTCCATGAACTATTACAACAAACACAAGCTGAATCTGAATGACCCTTGCAGACCCAGTCATTGAGAATCTGCGGGTAGATCTTCAACATGCTGCGTCTGCAAGACATCCTAAAAATATCCCAGAAATTGACGTGATCTTCAAGCTGCTGAAAATTCCTTATTCAAGAATAGAAAGACTCTGATTTTAGCCTTTAAAAAAAAGCATTTCTAAGCCGTGAAATCTGCCAAAAGAATGGTTGCAAAGTACTGATGTAGTAAGGGATGCAAACTTTTTGCACCGTCTCCTACAACCAGCTTCAACACAAACAGTTTTGTGTTTGGATTCAGGCAAAAGAAAGACACAGAATATAATCCCAGAGTGAGTGTGTCACTGAACTGAAAATACCAGCAGCTGCACTGCATCAAACATGAGTGTAAAAAGTAAGTGTGCGATGAGGTGCTGAAGTCTAACTGTGGATATCTTAAAGTCAGAAACAGCCAAAATAAAGACGCAGATGATTAAATCGCAATTTCAAGCTTTTGCAGAAAGACGAAGTCGGCTTTTAAAGAGTGCTTCATTATTGAGAGTTTTGGCAGATTAAGCTACCCTGGTTTCGTCTTATTTACAAAAAAACAAGTGTTCTATCATCCCCGTGTCTAGTTCAGGTACCAGCTCTGATTTTTATCTGTGCTACCAATACTTTCTGCCTTAACTCTGGGTTTTTCCTACAAAGAGGATTTTTCACTACCTCCAAAGAGGTTTTATGCAGCATTAAAATGGGAAGAATTGCAAATTTAATATAGCTTGTTTTTTTTTTTAAAAACAAAAAAACATTTGCTTAATCTGGGTCTCATTTTCTCAAGCATATTGGACATTTTTGTTCATAAAATTGTCAGAAGTACCCCAAAACGCATAGATTTCTGTATGATGAGATAACACAGGTTAAATCTGATCCTGCTTACTGAGCCACAAAAAAGGTTTCCTACATCAATACACAGAACAGTGCAGGAAAAACCCAACTCCAAAGGGTATGTAAAGAGATGCACCGTCATTATTAGGCTACTTTCTCTTTCAGTTTCAGGATTGGTACCACTTTTATGAAAAAAAAAAGAATCTTGTCTGCATCTGGTGGCATCTATCACTTAAAACAATCACTCCTGTTGGTTTTTAAGTAAAATGCACCAAGAATATTTTCCGCCATTACATTAAAAGAAGCTTGAATGTTCCAACATTTAAATTCAGACCACCGAGTCCTTCCTCAATTAACAGCACAAAGTGAAAACTAACTGCCAGAGGGAGACACAGACTCAATGGGGAGAGCAGATGATGAAACAGCCTAAAAGCTGAGCTAAGCTGATACTAGCAGGGCTGCCACTGATATGCTGAGGCCTCTTTGGATGGGAGGAGGATTAAAGTCGCTTTATGATGCCTGCTGGATCTCACGGCTGCTGTGACACCGGTCAGGGGGAAAGCCCAGAGGAGGGGGGAAAAAAAACGCAGGAGGTGGAGTCTGACCTGTAATGTAATAGCTCCATATTGATGCACACTTTTGTTGTTTGTGTCCCTGTTCTTCCTCTGTTTAACGCCCACTGAGAGTCGTGCTTGCACTGTTCCATCTGCTCACTGTCCCCATATCACCGTGGACTGTATGTACTTTGCATTTGCATGTTGTGTGCTTATACATTTGCATGCACTTCTGCTGCAGGTTTAGGGAAAGAGCACTAAAAATAAACCAAATTTATGGCAACAGCAGAAAACCGTACGTTGGTTAGCAGAAGTACCTGCAATAGTCACACCTAGTAACAAAAACTAATGTATATTTCAGTCTCAGCAGACCTGGAGAAGTGTGAGCAGGTGTAACAGCAGCATCACTTATTTCAACTGGAATAAAAATGTGTCATCGATACACATGTGTGACATTATTTTAAATAGATTTTATATTTTAACTTAAACTTCAGACATTTACTCTGCAACAATCATTTCCTAAAGTAACATTCTGTATTCCTGAAACAGAAAGCGTGTGATTATACAAAACAGTACAACCTGACTGGTAGTGGACTTTTGACTTCAGGGCGACATAACAGCCAATATTGTTTAGATTTATACACTGTGTTATTCTTATATCCTAAACGCACTGAAAAGTGAAAATAATGGTGTCTTTGTTTAACTTTCTAGCAACATATTTCACAAATTAATGTGAAAGACACTGTTTGACTCCGCACCACTATCTGCTCAGCTACATGTGCTGCAGACATAATGTAAGTATTTTAAACAGCAACTTCCTGCTGTACTGAACTGACATGACCTGTATTGTGACAATGCACTGTATAATTTGCATGTAATATTAAATGGTAGACTATAATTAAAACATTTTTGGTTAGTACAGATATAAAATGTGGTGGTGTCTTTATTTAACTATCTAATAAAGTATTTCACAAACTAGAGTGCAAGACACCGTTTGACTCCGCACCACTGTAGGCTCAGCTTCATACTCTGCTACATGTGCTGCAAACGCTATGTAAGTACAAACTATGAGATGATCTTTAAATAACTCCAAGCATCTTTGTCTGTTGCATGTTCTGTAAAAGAAAAGTTTTCATGCGGGACAACATGTAGGATATCAGTCAGGCTCTACTCCACTGTACCATTAATTGTGAGTTATTCACATTCTGCAGGACACATAATTGCATTACTACATTACAAAATACCTCCATGGATGCCTAACCTGTTCTTATGTTTTGGCACCATAAGTTACCTGCAAAACTGCTAAAATATCCTAAATATGAAGCCTAACAGTTAATTGATGTAGTGAAAGTGTTGTTTCCACCGCATATAGTAAACAGTGTTGTTGTCAGTGCACTGAGACTATAAATAAGCTCAACAATCTCATGTCACAGGCCTGAACATGAGTCACATGTCTGATGAAACCTCTGGATGTGATGCTGCGGCTGAAGGCCCAGCAGTAGCCGGCCGGTGGCTCACCTCCTCCGCCTGTTTGCGCAGCGCCTTCTCCCGCTCGTACTGGGTGATGAGCTGCTCGTTGTCCTCCTTCAGCAGCTCCAGCTCCACTTCGTGCTCCTGGTTCTCGGTCAGCACCGCGTCCAGGTTCTCCAGGACGTTCACCACCAGCGGCATCAGCTCCTTCACCACCTCCTCATCGTAGCTGCGTATGAGCCGCTCGAACTCCCGGTAGATGGAGTTGGCCAGGCCCGACACCCGCTCCGACATGACAGAGCCGGAGCCGTAGTCGTCCTGGTAGACCACCTCGTCTATCTGCAGCTCCATCATCTTGGCAGCTGGAGCCGGCGTCACTTATCCAGATGAGGCTGCGCTCAACAGTTTTTTTTTTTTTAATTTTCAGGCCTGTATCGAGGCTGAGACAGTCACAGGGTTTGGATCCGCGGAGCGCACGGAGAGGGGCGCATTCAATCACTGTAGTTCCTCAAATAAAGACTTATGCCATTTTGCAGCAGCAGCGCAGATTTACTGCAGGAGGGCAGACTGTTGTTGTGTGCGCATAACCTTGAGCTGAGAATATTGTCTGTAATATTTTGATATGATGAAGGCCCCCTCCTCCTGCTCCTCTTCCTCCACCACCAGTTACCGTCTATCGGTCCCCTGAAGCGGCCCAGCTACAGCTCTCCTCCCGCAGCGAGCATCAGATCCGGGGAGCGGTGGGTGCGCAGTGGGCCAGCCTGTGGATCGGCCCTCGCTGAGTCCATGCCGAGCAGCGAAACGCCTTCGTCGATGATATTGCACCTGCCTCTCAGCAGCCGCAGCCGTGGACCCCAGCCATCACCGGCGGGGCGAATAAATAAATGAATAAATAGCTAAATAAATAATCTACGGCTCCCGATCCGCCGCCGACGCCCCGATCCGCCACTATAGCGCCGCTCGTGCCATGTCTGTCCCCGGTGCTGCTGGCCAGGCTCGGGCGGTGATGGTGATGTCTCCCTATGGGAGAGGCTCTCTGCTGCTCAGATGGAGGAGCCAGCTGACCGACTCTGGCTGACGTCACACCGTCTGCATTGAGGCGCTGCGTCAAGTCGCGCTGACGACACACGAATCCAGCTTCCGCATTTCAAAATAAAGGCCTGCAGTTAGTCTGCGCTCAATCTGATGACTAAAGAGTAACACAGTGCTTTGACATAGCATTAAGTGCAGAAAATGACAAAAAAAAAAAAAAAAACAACTACAACTGTGTTGTGGAGTATTTTCTGACTCCCACATTCACTGAATTATTCTGTTCTTGTTGCAAGAACTTTGTATAATCTCAGATTTATTCCAAAATAGTTAGAGTTGTCCACAGTGATGTAAAATCTGATAAACATGACTCCAAATGTTTCCAAAGTGATTCGAAATTCTTCAGAAATGATTAAAAAATTTTCCAAAGTGGCCAAAAAAAATCCTCAAAACAGTTAAGAAACTTCTCTCTTTGTCCAAAATGACTTAAAATTTGACAAAAATGACTCAAAACGTTTCCAAAATGATTCAACATTCTTCAAAATGCATCTATGTGCAATAACACACAACTTATTACACCATATATTACACTTTGTTTTCTTAGGAAAAGCACATTTTGAATCTCTGCTAATACGGTTTCTACTCATGTTTGTATTTTCAGGTCATATTTTTATTTTTTTGCCTTTTTATTATTTAGCAGTAGAGATAGACAGGAAAGGGTGAGAAGAACAGGGAGAGACCTGCAGCAAAGGGTTGTGAGCAGGACTCGAACCCACGACTGCTGCGTCAGGGAGCTAAAGCCCTTTTTATGGGTCACACACTCAACTAGGTGAGCTACAGGGGCACCTTTAGGTCATAATTTGTACTTACGTTTATCTACATATTATGAACTGTTCATATTTCTTGACTTTGAATGAAAAAAAACAACACAGGCTCTTTCTCCTCAGGGATCAATTAAGTATTTCTGATAATGATTTAATTTTAAAAGTACAAGTCAGGGCTGCAAAGAAAATCCCCAGCCTTGCATTCAGCACTTACACATGGTGAGGCAGCTCTTTGTGAATCTCTAATTTTGAGCCACTGTATCTGCTCGATATCACACACCTGTTAATATTTGCTGTCATCATCCACCTGCATCATGGGTACAAAGTGAAATAAATCTGCATTTACTGTAGATAGCTGTATCTACCCCTATCATCACAATCTGTTCAATATGCAGCAAACTTTGGTTCACTTTAAACGTGCTCTCTTACACAAATCTAAAGCTGCACGTTGGAGCTAAACACTCATTTTACTTCCTTTAACTTGTTGTTTAAAGTATGTTTCAGTGTAAGCACCTTGAGAGAGAGAGAGAAAAAAAAAAAGTTCTTGAATGCGTTCACATCATTGGCCAACAAAGCTGATTCTTATTCTACAACAGTTCTAATACCGTTGGGGGGAAAAGAAAATAAGCAGACTAAGAGATATTTGGTCCACCTGCAGGCTTTTTGTACACAGAGCAGAAATTGCAGGTCACACAAGTGTTTAAAATAACAGTTTTCCTGCACAGTGAATAACACAATATACAAAGCAAACAAGTTCAGCATTATTGTGCCTCCATACAAGCAGAGGCACTACATTTTTTGGGTTATCTGTCCATCTATCTGTCCTATTCTCAGAAATGTTATTGCCCTTAAACATCTTAAGGGAATATCTTTAAATTTGGCCAAAACCTGCAGTTGGGCTCAAAAAAAAAAAGAATTGATTTTTGTGAATGCCACAGAATTTTTTTTAATTTGCTAAAATTTGGACTTCAGGATAAACTGTTTTAGTGGTCATAACTCAGTATTTCATTTGACAGCAGTTCATTGTCCCATTTTGTGGGCTTTGGTTTCTTCAGAGGAATTTTATTTTGAAAGCTGAAGCCAGAAGTTGCTTTTTTCCCCCCATAATAGCTTGCTTGACTCAAATGCGCATCAGGACTAAGTGGTAGAATTTAATAAAAGTGACAATGCACTCTCCAAAAATTTAATAAAATGCTTCTCAATCTAGACAGAGAGAAATAAAAATGATGTACCTCACTACTGACTGATTTCCCACCTTTCAGAACAAAAGCATCTCACGTTAAAGGGACTTCAGGTGAATGGACTCCTGTGTCAGAACACTTAAAATTGTCTTCATCTTCTCATAAATTTTGATTTTAAGACACTTCATGTCTTGCCAAAAAATCCAAAAATATTATAGTTGCTATGCACATGTCCAACCCTTTATTTCTGAAAAAAAAAGATGTTGCTCAGTTTGGTCATAAAATGAAAACTGAGTTACCGACAGTAATTTTTCAGCCACCTGAAATGAACTAATAATACTTATCTGCAAGATATCCACAGACAATACACAACTAGTTTTAGGTGACGCTCACTTTTCCAAACCACTGTCTTGACATCTTGAAGCCAGTATTTAGTATTTTGCAGACGCAGCATGGTGGACGCTGCTCAGTTAAAATAAATTATAGCTCAGATAAACAGTGGCTTGAGTACACCAGCAACAAGTTTTTTTTCCCCCCATGACAGGTCCAGTGAGTGGGAAGAATTCAGCTTCATAAATTCATTCATCTTACAAGCCCAGTTCCTCAAAAAGCTTAATCAACATCAATTGTATCACCCTGATCCAGACTCTTCAAGATGAACAAATTTAAATAACTGGTGCTCTAAAGGGGACTACATCACAAAATACACCTACTAGTTATGTGAAGACCAGCAGGCAAGATAAAATAGTACAAACACCCCCCTTCTACTTTCAGCTAGACCCCTCATCTGACCCACAAACAATGGATTTATACATGTGAAATGTTTAAATGTCATTTTAATCATAACTAGGTTGAATGACAAATCGGTCAAAAAACAAAGAAGAGTTCTTCTCATTTGTGGAGGACCATCTTTTTGATGATTCTACCATTCTAATTACCATACAGTGATACATCACAGTTAAATATAAACACATTGATCTTGTTTGATGTTGACATAAATCTGAAGGATTCTTTGATGGTGATAAAATCTGCGACATTTTGTTGCACTGGAAGACTTACTAAGTAACTTAGTGTCTGCTCTACTTCATCACAGCTTCAACGTTGGTCAACAGTTAAACAAATCAGCTACAAAATATGCTGTATAACTGACCTTTTTAAAAAAAAATAAAAGTGATTGGTTTGTTGTTGTAATCCACCCAGATTCCAGCCTTCTGCTGCGATAATCCTGACAGGTATCCTGATCCTGCTGAAGGTTTCAAACTACATATACTTGAAGATTTGCTCTAGATCCAAACCAAGATAGGATTATGTGGTCTAATCTGATTTCAGAATCTGTTTTTCCCCATCACTAGCTGAGAGCCAGTCAAATTACTTGTGAACAAGCAAAAGATGATTACTGGCTTCATGATACATAGCTTATCACTAAATACCTGATTAAGATCTCTGTGTTAAAGAGGCTCATGTGCAGTCTGCATTCCTTGCCTTTAAAACAAGAAAAAGAGAAAACTGAAAATTAAGTCATTTACAAATCAACACTACAGGGAATACCTAAAAGAGAGGAAGTTTCAGCCTCACAGACCCCCCAGATACAACAGCCTGCCCTGGAGGAAATCACCTTCAGAGAATAACATTTTGAAAGGGGATGAAGTTGAGAGCGGACATCTTTGTCTTGCACTTTCTCTCAGTCAGACAAGTGTAGCTTGGGCTATTGTTCGCCGTGGAGAGGATCAACAATGGAGACAAAAACAAGCTAATGAAGCATAGAAACTGCCAAGTTAAAGGGTGAACAGCTTCTATGCCAAATGCATCTCAACTACCTCCATATTATGAAAACCTTTGCAGCAACCTATGCAACAACCAAAGAAAATGTTGAAAAAAAACAAACCCTCAAGACTTCAAAAAAAACATCATAAATGGGCTGTAAAATGCAAATGAAGTTCAGTTTACAGTGAGAATCTGAAGCAGATCCAAATGATCACATTTTACATTTAATATATAAAGAAATTGCCACTCAAAAAAAGAAATAATGCATCCAATAGCATTATTAAGGAGTCTACTGTATTAATAATTAAACTAATCCATCAGGAAAACATTGTCTTATGAAATGCATATTAACCTGCAGAAAGGAAATAAATCTACCACAATGCATACTGACTTCATGTCCTAATGTCAGTTTACATTTTTTTTATTATGAGTGTAAAGATTTAGTTGTTCTTTTGTAACACAGCAGGTGGCAGTGAAATACTACCAAAGTTTACGTTTCTCACCGTTGATCAGTTTTCCTCAGAAGCTCACAGCAGTAGATGTGTGGTCCTTCGAATAAGATGGAAGTTTAAGGTCTAGTTTTGGTGTGACTCCAAAAATAGTTGAAGAAACTGAAGCTTTAAAAAGTTTAGATGAACAAAGCACAAGCTTGAGTTCCATTCTTCATTATTTGTGGTCACCTGAGACATTGTCTGCTTGCTTTTATTTCACCCGAAGGTCCGCAGGAATCATGATTTAGCAGTTTATGTGGTTGCTCACAGCTTTACTCAAATCAAAAATTCAGGCTCCCCAAGAAACATGAGTTGTCTAAAACTGTGACTACTGACAAGCTGCATGTGGCTACTGAAGACTTTGGTCAACTCACTGTTCCATCAAGACCAAGACCTTTTTTTTGCCCACAATCAAGCACAAGAGGAAGCCAAGTACAAAAATAGTACTTGAACTTTCATCAATCGCTTGTAACCCGTGAACCAACTACGCAGCTTGTTTGAGTAACATAATTTTCAATAGTAAGCCTGTAAAATAAGAGGCCCCAATTCTGTGAGCGGACACAAAAAAGAACTCTTACTCAGCTCAGTATCTGTATTTACTCACAAACATTTTGTCTGCACCATTGCTTGAAGGGGAAAATGGAAAAACACCATGATGTAGATTCTAAAGTGTGGTTGAAAAGCTAAAACAAGATTTCCCCCAGGGCGGAAAATGGCCATTTAGTCTGAAAAAAGCCACTTGCACAGAGTGCTGCCTGAGGACAGAGCCAGACAAAAGCACCAGTGTCAGAGATTCAAGAATTACCTACAAATTTGGAGCAGACAAGACCTGGATTGTGCGTAAAAGTTACACTGAACCAGACAAACATTTAACAACATGTGCATGAGATTTCATCATTTGAAAAGTGAACTCACCCGTGATGTTTCTCTCCCTGCACCGCTTTCAATGAGTCATCACTGATTCTAAAATGTTCTCAGAGTGAATACTACTTCAGTGTTTTTTTGAGACATAAACACAATAAACAAACTCTAAATGCAAAACAACAGTTTTATTGCAATACACAGGATTTCTTCCTTCTGCTGCGCTCATTGCCTGCCAGGCACATCAACACAGAGGGGACAGGCCGGCACCAGAATACCATGAATGTGCGTCATGATGTGGGTGAAAACGTGATTAACGATGAGCCCACCTGGACTCAGATAGGCCACGCGCTTGTCCAGAGTTCACTTGTCTTCAGCCGTTTTAATTTAAAACATAAACAGAGGCCTACCCCAAGCAACAAAGAAAAAGGCATGTTCTCGGATAAAGCAAGCAAGCAATGAGGACAAAGCAGAAAAGTACCTGCACAATACATTCGCATAAAATCAAAATGGAATTTCTTTAAGGAGGCAGAAACTTTTGGGAGTAAACAGCATTCATCTTTGTTTTAGTTCTAGTCAATTTTTGGCATCTATTTATGATTTGATTGTGATCCGACAGCAGATCATTAATGTTCTACACATATTGCTTTGGGAATAATTAATGATTAGGCAAGAAAGATGGAATATGCTAAGCGGAAATAAGGCTTCTGATTATACAGTGACGCATTCTGCGATATTTTTCCTAAAGACATCCGATGAGGATCTGGCAGCGCTAAAAAACGTAGCACTAGTGGAACTCCCTGAAACATTTGACATCGGTGAGAAGATCTGTTCACCCTCCCCTCACTGAACGCGTTAAGGCTTAAAACAAGCACCCTGAAATTTCCGCACATGTCTGCCATGAATCTTTATGCATAGATTTTAGCTACACCAAATCATCAGAATTTAGGTCTGTTTAAAGCTAAAAGTTGTACATGTTCCAACGTCTAAACCATTCTAGAGATGCAAAAAAATGTTTTCAAAATCTGAAAATTGTGCCTTCAACCGACCTACATTTACACATGCTTCAAACACAAACAGTGAAAACAGGAACCGCAAAATAGAGATTGAAGAGTGGGACAGTTAAAGTGATTGGATAATAGCTAGCCAGTCGATTGACTTGTTGGTGATTGTATGACTGCAAGTTTCAGTGAAGAAGAATATAACGACAAAGAGCTGAGAGTCAGACAGAGCTGAAAGTGCAAGAAGCTGAGGACAAAATATCGAGACCAGGAATCTGGTGTGAACAACAAAAAATTCTGGTCTGTGTTCAGATGTACAGGTGGCATAACCATCAGGAGAGGGGAGTAGGAATGAGAGAAGATGGACAGGGGAGCAGACAAGGAGTGTATGGACACAAACTGGGCGTGTGCTCAGCTGATCAGTAGAATACCACACTAGACTTTCCTCCGGGGGGGTTGAGGACCCTGTTGTGAGAGCGAGGCCTGGGTCCAAGGTGAGGCTCGTGGTTCTTCAGCGAACCATCATCAGCGGTCTCGGTGGTGGTGGTGGTGGTGGGGGTAGAGGTGGAGGTGGGCTCAGGTGCTGGAGGGGCTGAGACAGGAGCAGGCTCTTCCTTGACTGGGGCAGGAGCTGGAGGGGCAGGTTCTTCCTTCACCTCAGGCAGGCTCACCTTGGGTTCAGGTGCTTTAGGAAGGAGGGGAAAAAAAAGATTTTACACAAGCGCCAGAGCAGAATAATAGCTTAAAAATCAATAATCAATGTGTAATGTATAATGGAAATTACATATTTTAGTCATATTTAATATGCGAGAAGAATTCATAAAGGTAAGAATTCAAAGCTAATGGATGCATCTCATATTTACAGCAGCCAGTTCAACACTATAAACAAGCGCTTAACTGATCCCGCTGCAGTCATTACAGTCTAAAATTATTCTTCAGTACTATAACGGCCCATATTATGCTTTTAGGGTGTTGTCTCTCCTGTTGTGTGACAGAGCTTTTTGTGCCTGTAAAAAGGTCTGCAAACTTGTTTTCTCCCACAGAAAATACTGCTCTTGACACCATAAATAAAATTAGGAATCTGTAACAGTGCACGCTATAGACACTTTACGTTGACACAACATGGGTCCTCTACAGCAACCATGTTTCTTTCTGTCACTTGTGAGGGATTAAGGGTCCTCCAGGCTTCATTACAAGGGTTAGGGTTACAACGCAGTTTCTGCATTTACATTTGTCCAGGTTTTCCTACCACAGTCTAAAGACATGTAGTTGGTGATGTTAAATGGGCTTTGGATGTTAGCGTGTATTGGAGTCTGTCTCTTTGAGCTAGCCTTGGCAAGCTGTCCAGGGTGTATCATGCCTAGGCCTGGCCTTTATTTTATTTTTTTTAAATGCTACCAAAAATGTCTTAATAATTATCTATAATCAGTGGAAATTAAACACGTTATCTTGACAGACATTTCAGTTACATTGCCGAGCCCTAACTCTGTCTCTCGCCCAATGCAAGCTGCGAGAGGCTCCAGCATCCCACAAGCGGGTATACATAATGGATGGGTGTTTTCTCTACTAACATGAGACACTCTTTGGTATGCAAGATGCTTTTGCTGGGAATAAAACCTGGTGCAAAACTCATGTTCCATTAACTGTATGATATTGATGAGAGCTAACTTGACCCAGACTGATCTATCTAAAGAGTGAGGACCTCAGAGATCAGAGATATTTTATTATCACAGGAGTAGGACAGTATATTTTACAAATGTCCAAATGAGTTTAACATTTGTCTTTATGGAAAGTACTCACCTGGTGATTCAGGTTCAGCTCCCACACTTAGATTGTCCTGTAAACAACAAAAGGTAAAAATGTCTCACTCAGATCAAAGCTCTGCTCAAAGCTAAAGTGGTTATTCAAATTCTGTACACAAAGCAAGCAAGTAAAGGCAAGTAAAGACATTTGACGTGAAATGGCTTTTTCAGATCATACCAGCAGCCTTGGATAACACCCCATCATATGTTTATCATAAGTACTGGTACTACTGGAAAGTTTCCATGTCTTCCAAAAATAAATACCTTTCCAAATAAATACAGCAACATAATGTGTAACCGCAAACCTTTTCCAAGAAATTCTACATGTTTTATTTTCCTGTACAGTGGTGAGTAGACAAATACACTTCTAATTTAGAGTCAACTAGTGCTTTAAAAGTTTATTAGCTGGTGTCGTTTTTTACCCCAATCATGAGTGACAAGTAAATTAGAAAAAAGGAAAATCAAAAACTAGTTTAAAACATAAGTAACATTACAGTCAAAGTGAAGAATAAATTCAAAACTTGGGTGTAAAAGTACCTTTGGCTTATTTGGGTGGCTTCGGCTCGGGCTTTGGACAGGTGCACTTTCTGCAGCCCCAAATATGTTGCTGGTGGGTCCACCTGGAGGTACGGGTCTCTGTGGTTGAGCTGGAGCTTCAGGTTCACCAAATATTCCACTACTCTTCCCGCCTACATAAAGTATTACCAAGATGTTTCAGTTTTGCAGCAGTGGCAGCATCATCATGACACCATCCTCTATAGTTACACATATTGGATTAAGAAACTTGACATGTGAATTGAGCTATTTCATCAAGTCACCCTTTCGAATCACACTTACTGCATGAGCAAATTTGTGTCATATACCGCTACAGTGGCAGCCATTCAGATAAAAACATTTGCAGATAAGGTAGTCAGAATGACCACACAGTCTCTTCCTAGAAACTCTCAGTAAACTGAACTCAGAACATACTTGGTTATACCAGATACTTCACAAAATCTGGAGGTGGACTACATGCAGCCGCAGAGAAAAGTGCAAGTGTTTATCCTGGAATTATGACATTATAGTAACAGTTTTCACACCCTGGGACATGATGCTTTGACTGCTCTGCCTCTGCACATCCATTAGCCCTGGCGGCTTGGTCTGACCTGGAGGGTTGGAGCGTTTCGGTACACTCTGGGGCTCTTCTGGTGGAGCAAAAACTTTAGAGGCCATCTTATTAGGTCTTCTCGTTGCTGCAGAATCATCCTCGTAGCCACCAAACAGGTTACTGGAGCCACCCCCAGGAGGCTGCAACACCCTACAGACAAAACAAAAAGAAATACAGCTTTTAAGGACCAGATCTCAGTTAAATCAGTTAACTTATACAAGTGTGACCTTGCAAAGACCTGCTTTACATTGATTTACACTGTTTTAATTGGAGTTCATCCTACTGAATCATAACGGACTGACGTTGTCACTACATTAAAAGGTTAAATACAGCCTTGGAATTATTTTTAGACCACAGTTTTCTGCCTCTTCCTCTGCGGCTCTTGGTGGAGCCACACTGCGTTTTCTTCTTACGGTTGTCATTGATAGCTGTTTTGCTGATTACAAGCAATTTAGCAATGGCTGGTTGATCGCTGTACCCCTCTTCGTTAAACACCAAGATGACCACCTCCCTGTCATCTCTCAATAATCTTTTAAAAGGCGTCGTTGAGCGACAATTAAGCTTGGATTATCTGTAGACTTTGTGCTCAGGCACAAAAATAATGCTGACTCATACAGTGCTTTCAGCAATCTATTGTGATTTTTTTCTCTGTTTCATTTAATCATTTTAAAACATCCTTTACGGCATGTATTGGCATACCATAAGGCTCATTTCAAGTATTTTAGAAGATGATGTAATTATTTATTCACTACTATAACATTCAAGCAAAGTTAGCAATTTTGAAGTCATTATGTGTAGATTTTGGAAAGAAAACAGCAGGTGATAGAACTATTTCCAAAGCTGCACATATCTGAGTTTCTGCTCGTCAGTACACATAGAAGTGGTTAAAGAGTTTCACTACTGGTTACGGCTAGAAACATGAGGTCATATCTTCGCACACAAAGAGGAGATTTAGAAAACTGTAGATGTAATCTGGCTATAAATATGTTGCAGTAGAGGCGACAGTTTGAGCCAACGCAGCCAAATAACAGGTTATTTGATTATAGACCCGGGAACGGCGCCATACGTCTAAAGAGCTGTTTGCTAGATGGTCGCTAAACTTTCTTACGTTGCTAAAAGTCGCAATGTGCGTGTATGTGTTGACCCAAAAAACTGATGCTTTCGAATAATTAAACAACTAAAACGGAACCGCTTGTAATTAGAACAATGTGGCCACACTGTCGTTGTTGGCGGATACAAAGAGGAGCAGCCTGGAGAGCATTTCACACTTCCGCAGGCGCAGCAGACAACGCCTGGTCAGCTAGCTTGAAAGCTATCTTGAAAGCTATCTTCACTCACAAGTTTGCTAACAGACGACAACTCCAGCTAGGGTAGCTCAAGTTAAACGACCACAGAGGAATTTAAGCTTACTCACTCACACCAGCACTACATGTTGGATTTAAAGACATAAGCAGAAAAAGTGATGATGTCAAAAAAGAAGACAACTAAGACGCTCTGTCACAATACGTTAACCTACATTCTGAGATACTAGCTCACCGAGCGGCTCCATATAACGCACTGCTTGGCCGTTTCTTTTACAGATAAACAAGCCACACTGACGTATTTTTTCACCTTGAGCTTGGTTTTGCGCCCGATTCCAACCCCTGAAACATGTTCGTCGAAGTCATAGTGGTTTTGTTTTGAGCCTTCAAGTTTCCGAAGACAACTTCGTCAGTTTGCCAACTGGACGACCAGCAAGTTCCCCCTGCCTGCGTGCGCGTGCCCAACCAGACTCCGTGATGAAGAATTTGAGTCCCGCCCAGCTGTGACACTCTGAGCACTGACTGGTCCGCTGCCAAGCTGGTGCGCTCGATTCATATCACCTGGAGTCCCTTTACGTTAAAACTAGACTATATAGTCTTCTGATACAAAGCTGTAAACCGGTCACTATGGCCCTATAAAATATTTCTTTGTTACATGTAAATTGCTATATCCAGATGCAAACTTTTAGGTACGTCTATTGAGAATGCCTAAGAACTCCGCCCTGCTCGTCTGACAAAGAATAATTAAACAATCGCACCCGTGCATCTCGCTCCATGTGGGGCGCTTGTTTTTCTCGCAGTGCTAAGCCTCGGCAAAAGCAATGTGGGCTGAGTCTGCGGTCACAACTATAATAAAGAGGACATGCTAGTGTATCCAAAATCCTTTCTGCCATATTTTCTATGTCTCTACACGCTACGTTACAAAAATAGTTGCTGTAATTATTTGTTCACTGCCTTCACAATCACATTCTACTACCACTTTGCCGGGTGATTTCTCAGCTAACGGCTGTGATAAATTCAAGCGCCTCCCCAGAGTTCTGCCTGTTGATTTGATCTTCAAAATGTCAATCATTTTCTGGGCGGAACTTATTTTTATAGCGCCAGCAGCCTTCGTTAAGGTGATATAAACTTGCTTAAGCATAGAGTAATTACTAAAACAAAACTGTTTGGATTACAGAAGGGTTAAAGTTACTTTAAATTTTTACAGTACTTATCGGAAAACTTGGAGGGCATGACAGGAAGAGAATGATAATTGGTCCTCCGTGGAACCTCTTTCATTAACTATTGACGGAGCGATCTGTCAATCAAATTCTAACGGCCGTCCTCGTGTATTTCTAACCAATCACAGGCTTTGTTTTCGAGTCGAAGTGGGCGTGCCTATGCGCGTGGACATTCGATCTGCAGGAACTGTCATCGGTAGCATCAAGCTGGAGGTCTGCCGTCAGCTAGCGATGCTAGCCCGTGACTCGGCTGGGAATACTACCAACAAGCTTCCACTTCAGGTAATTCCTAATGTCTGGTAGAGTTATCCATCTAATAAACCACTCGAGGCTCTACATAGAATAACCATTACGTCGCAAGCAGTTTTTATAGCGTTATCGCTTGTTTGACTGGGCATAGCGTTAACACTAGCTAGCCGACACAGCAGCCATGCTAGGTGCCGTGTTTGGCATGGAGGGGATTCTTGTCTTATTTTAATACAACTTTCTACAACAAGTTAACAACTAATGGGACACAACTTAAACTATTGAAAAAGTACACTTCTAAAGCAGTGTTAACTTTCTGGTATGACACAATACCCGTGGTGAGAGTATTAAAACTACCAGGCTGCTTGCACTTTAACATGGCAGAGGGAATCAGTCATGCAATGCTGTGGAAAAACGTTAGATCTAAATGTGCTGCCATAAGAATCTACATAAACCGAAACAATCTTCTGACACCGAATACATTAAAATTATACTTGCATCTTTCTGATGACATTAAAATAATTTTGAAGTTGTAAAATCCCAAAGAGCGCAAGTTGACATTAAACAGTTTAACTAGTAGTTTCAGGCTCTCACAACTAGTTATACTAGTTATTATAAATCAGATTGATTTTGCATGAGAATCGGCTTTTCGGTGGTAAAAATAAGGGATTTTGATTCAGTGTCGGAATTTAGAAATAGGGGAAATTCCTTTATGAGTTTTAGACTCAAGCTACTCATGTCTAATTAATCTTCCTTTGTGTAGCTTTCTGTTGCTGTCATCCCTCTGCACTGCCCTCCTCCTGATTATTCAGAAATAAATAAATCAAAGAATAACAGTAGAGAACATGCAGTGACATTAGTCTGATGGTGTAAATTCATTTTAACACAGTTTTTCAAATGTAATACCCCTTGTCTCGATGTCTACCGCGCACTTAAAGCCTGATCCTGATATTGACGCATTATTAATAATATTTACGAGGCCATATTGATGCTAAAAGATGGTAGAAGTGTTGTTAGAAAGCCTTATGACTGCAGGATATGCATGAAATAATTTCTTTTGCAGACATAATTTCTGCAGGCGATGGTGACGTAGTGTCAAGCGAAGTCCACTTGCACACAGGTTAATAAAACTATCTCTGCCTATCGATTCAAATGAGCTCAACCGACACAAGCTTCGGGAAATTATTCTGCATCGCATGCAGTAGATATGTCACATTATAGCATCGGCTTAACAATTTTATTCCTTGTTTCAAAGAAGCATTGAGTAATGTTGTTGCTGATAGAAAACAGTTGAACTGCGCAGAGAGTTCAGCTCAGTCGAAGCAGGAGCAAGGAGAGGGCAGAAAGCGGAGAGATCGGTCTCGGCTTTATTATGCTCAATTTGATCAGTAATTGCCAATATAACCGGTCGGACCCATGGTGAAGAGAAAGAAGACATCGCCTACTACCGAAGAGCACGAAAATGGGTAAAATTATATTTGAAATAAACACTTTATTTAGAGGTCGAACGCACCGAGGGGTTTTCGTTGTCGTTTCTGCAGGGCGCTAAACTGAAAAGCGCTCGCATTTGAATTTAGTTTAAATTATACCGTCAATATTGGCCGTTAGAGCCCAAAGACACTCGGTAAAACATCGTCGCCACTTGCTAAACTGTTTTAGTTGTTGAATGTAATTTATCCCAAGACGTTAAATGCATATATTTGGTGTTGTTTTGACGGGACTGGAGAGGGGATTTGAAACAAACAGCGGCGGCCATGTTGAGAGACAGTGAACGTCGTCTTTAGAAGTTAATTTTGCCCACCGCTTTGCTCCTAATGTGACAAATTTTGTGTGAATGTGCTTTGACAGCATGACACCGGGCTCCAGGGAGGGGATCGGTGTCGATGGGAGGAGGAATCCGTCCAGAAAGCCCGAAGGTTGCGACGAGGAGGAGAGCGGAGAGCAGGCGAGCGAGGAGCGCAGTACAAAGGGAGACGACGGAGTGGAAATTCTTAATCCATCAGCCGCGGGTCTCAGCCCCGGTTCAGCCCCGGTCCTCCCCGCGTCTCCGCCGAACCGAACCGGGCTAGGCTCGACCCAACAGCCCCACACCTCAGCGGAGCCCGCCCCTCCGTGTCACGACCAGCATCATTTTCTCCGATCCAGCGTTCGACCTCCGAGCAAACGGATACGGAAGGATTCAATCGGCTCGACCATCAATGGACATGGCGGGGCAAAATCGAAAGGTACCGTGGTTGACCGGCCCGGATAAGAGTGTGTGAAGGTGGAAATTAGCAGGGGGTCTACTCTCAGTTTTTACTGTGTCACTGTGTTTGTGATTCGTCATCTGTGGTGGCCAAACCGGTGCCGTTTTGTTGCTGTGTATCCCCCTGTGGGCCACTGGCTGGGTTGTAATTCTGGCTGCTCCAACCCAACTTATAACACCATCCTAGGAAGCACTTCTGAGGAAAGGAGGAGAGGCCAGAACTTACCTTTCAGTTAGGATCCCACTTGTCTATTTTCAATCACAGTTTTCTTTTTGGTAAACTTGCTCACAATGGCAGTAAAAATATAAAGCAGCAGTTATCAACTCAGTGTAGGAGAAATAAATCACAGGTTTAAAATGTCTACTAACAAGAAAGAAAAGCCACATTACTGTTAAGATTTTTGTGGGTTTTTTTCTTTGTCATAGGTAACAGAAACTAAAGAGATCAGTCTGCCTCTGCTGCCTTCAGCTAATTATTTAATTGATCCACTGATCCAACCTATTAACAGTTTGTGTTTCTGATTTTTTTTAACTTGTGAAAATTCTGTGTACCTTTATACATTAATCACAACAAACACTAAAATAATCTCAGTCTAGCGAACTCACACAGTTTATAATTCAATTTGCCAGAATGCTTATTATTAGTTGCGGTGGTTTGCTGGTTTGCTTTTGCAATTAATTTGCTGATGCTCTGCGCTGTGGTAACTTGCAGTGTGAGCAATATCTGCTGATGCCTACAGGAGCTCCCACCGGTGAACTGACATAGTAATATCGAGTGTCCGAGCAATGAACTGAAGCTAGAGATGACTTAAGGCTCGCAGGCTTTGCTGACTTTTAAACACACCAAAGGATTGCCTCGTGGATTACTAATCACGAATAATCTAACTAAGAGCCGGCTCGTGTCGGTGTATCCGTACGAATGAGGCATCACCTTCTCGGTGTCTGCGCCACAAATCCCGCAACGGGCAAAGAAAGATAGGAAATGTGGTGGCATTAGAGTTATTTTGTGGTATGTTGTACACTTACAGCGAAGTGGCTGTTCATTTGAGAGCCTGTCATTGAAGAGCTGCCTGTAAGAAATGTGTCTTCCTTCCTGAAGATTTTTATATTTGTCCACAGACTCAGATGAAATGATTCCCGGTTTGTTATCGCTGCTTTGCCTCTGCAATTTGTCAGTTTTTCTTCTCTTGAAAATATCTTTATCAATTCGTTAATCTTTGATCAGACAGAAGTAAACCTTTTCAGTTTACATCTTTGTGCTCTGACAGGCATGACTGGTGTAATTCTTGTGTTGCTTTTGGAAAAGCGACTGATTATTTCAAAAAATATATTTAGATTGCCCCAAGTTTTGACCACTTGACCAAGAAAGCCCTACTTATTTTGATGTGATGCTATATTGGTACGCATCTATTTTGAAGAGACACATCTAGGTTAGAGCTATGAGCCACACACACATTTGCATTTGTAAATGAACACCCATTTAGGCTGGAAATACTGTTTCCTTAACAGAGCACAGGGCTGCAACAGTAACTACCTAGGTGTTTGTGTTAATGCCTCCTGGCATTGTGCTCTCTGCCGCGGCAAACTTGGCCAGTGGAGCCCACCACGAGTTGGTTTTGGATCTGTGTACTGTGGACCTGGCCATAGGGACTGATTGCTTTTCCTGCCTCCTTGCCAGAGCTGAACCACAGAGGGGGAAGCTCTGCAGGTTGCGCACTGTAATGGCAGTAGGTGGCTTTGTGTGCATGTATTTTAACTTCTTCCAAGCCACACATGCCAGGACAACGGTTGTATTTTATTCCCATGTTATGCAAATCAGCCAGAGTGGTCAACCAAAATATTCGGCTGAATCCTTCCATTTCTACTCTGATATTTAAGTTCTTTTCTATGACTCCTTCATAACTGATGGAGTTGCGGGTTCCCTTTTTTATCGTGTAACACAGGGGCAGAGAATGGCTCTTCTTCCCAAGGGGCAGTGGGACAGTCGGGGCCGGTGGCAGGCTCCACTGGGGCAGTGTCCAAGGCCTCCAAGGGCCAAGGGTCTGCTGAGAAGGAGGAACAAGCTGGTAACCAGAAGAGAGCCCGTCGGCAGTGGGAGTCTTGGAGCGCAGAGGACAAAAACAGCTTTTTTGAGGGGCTCTACGAGGTAAAGAGTGCAACCAACTTAAACCAAGTTAAAATGTTTCCATGTGTATGTCTTTTGATGTTTTAAACTCACCTCTATTGCTCTTGCCTCCAGCATGGGAAGGATTTCGAGGCTATCCAGAACAACATTGCAATGAAGTACAAGAAAAGAGGCAAGCCGGCCAACATGGTGAAGAACAAGGAGCAGGTCCGCCACTTCTACTACCGCACCTGGCACAAGATCTCCAAACACATTGACTTTGCCAATGGTGAGTTGCCTTTTGTGTTTGTCATCCAAAACAGGTTGAATTTGGACTGTATAAATAACTAAATCTTTGAAATTTAGAGACCCACATATAACGTTTGTTCACAGTAATAATGTCAGACTTTTACTGTGTCATCACATCTGTCCTGTTGTGGTTATTGCAGTTGTGCAGTAGCACTGTGAAGGCTGTTTACGTGACAGTCATATGTGCCTTGGAATTGAAAGGGACCTTAGCTTTCATCAGTTTAACTGTCTTATTTTGTTAATTAATTGTTGTGCATGTGTTTTAATGATGCCTTGTATAACAGTTTTTGTCAAAGTGATGTAAAACAACCTGTTGAAATTACTCACAAAGGGAAACAAACACATATACCATTTTTTCACCAGATAGAGCCCTAATGTTTATGTAGCATGTTGTTATACGAGGAGATTCTCTCCCAAAACACATGTTAATGAAGTTCACCAGATAAGCTTGAGCCTCTTTCCTCTACAAATAGCCTTCAGTGTTATCTTTATGTAGCATACACAGGCCTCCTGAGTGGCTAGTGACACCAGTGTTGTGACTTGTGCTTCCTTTCCTTCTCAGCGTACTCCCGAGTGCTGAAGAAATCTTCTCAAGAGCTGTATGGTCTTATCTGCTATGCAGAGCTCCGCAAAAAAGTTGGAGGATGTAAGTGAAGGCTACACAATGTTTCAGAGCATGTCTTTATGAAAGCTGTTTGTACGTGAGCATTTTGCTGCTGTTGCTTTGGAACACAAGGGATGTGATTAAAGTCTGCATGATCCCCGTCATGGGGGACTGTTGCCCCTCAGGGACGATGTCACAAACGGCTTTCTGGATTTGTGTTTTGTGTTTGACAGTAATGGATGACAAGAACGTGGCAAAGCTGAACGAACTCATCCAGCAAGGGTAAGTAAATAGCAAAAGCATATTCTAGCTTCACAGTTTACTATTTTTGTGTTAAATAACCCAAAGGGTGTGTTTACATGCACAAATCTGGGATCGTACAGCACGAATGTCATGTACTGTATGATATCTGCTAAAACACAAAGAAGCTGTCACCCTCATTGAGAAAGACTAAACTAATCTGAGGTCATGATGACGTGTCAAATACAAGGAAAGTGCCTTAGCAGCTTGAACAAGCGATACTTCTTCAAAATATTATGTACTATTGTATAATATATGCTCAATATTGCATGGTATAATTTAGTGTATTAAGCGGCTGCTGTATTATGAAATATTTCAGGTGTTCAGCTAATTCTGTACAAATCTTCATTCATCTGAATGATTAGCTCACTTTCTCTGTAAAAAAACAGAGCGATGATGAAACTCCACCGATGGATGTAACATGATCAGAAAAAGTGAACCTTCAAAAACACTAAAGTTTTCCACTACTGCTTTGTCTGTTTGACCAGGGCCACCACTGTGCGCTCTAAAGGGAGGAACCTACGGATCAAAGCCCCCATGTGCCGTGCGCTGAAGAAACTGTGTGATCCAGATGGTGAGTCCGTGCACGCAGACACACAACACATACAAAGCAACGTAGACCAAGTAAACAAACATCAGTGCTCAAAATACAAACCACATTGATGCTGAGGCACGGGGCTTGTGGGGGTGGGGTTTTTGGCAAAAACAATGGCAGCGTGTGGGCTAGTGGCGTTTCCATGGTAACTCTGGGAATCAGAATGAGGAGGAGTAGCAGGAGGAAGATGCAGGAGATGACTGTTGTGACCAGCTGTCATCAACCCCTCTGTTCAGTAACATCCACAGTTAGTACAAACGTTTGCTTCAATCAAGTGCAGAACATCAGTCCCACATGCATCGCGCTCATTGTTGTGTCTACATCTTGGAAAAGGGCCTCATCCCGATCTGTTCTGTCTGCTCTCCAGTGCCGCTGAGTTTGATGACTCTCTTTCATTGTGTGTTAGTTCATTAAGCAAGGAAGTTTGCGACAGCGTATACTTAACTTCATAACAGCTACACTGACAGCTCTATTGTACTGTTCATGTAATGCTTTTGTAGCTTTTCCATTGCGTACTGTCACAAAACCCCTCTTGCTGGCCGTCTGCTATGCTCTTTAAAAACACCTGACCGAGTCTTTGAAGAGAGCTTTGTTAGCTGCTCTCATTCAGCAATGGTGTATCTTCATATTCCTGCAGGAGTGAGTGACGAAGAGGACCAGAAACCAGTGCGTCTACCCCTGAAGGTTGCAATGGAGCTCCAGCCACGCAGTAACCACTCCTGGGCCCGCGTTCAGAGCCTAGCCCACAACCCTCGCCTCAGGTCAGGCATCCCAGTCAACTAATTTCTGAGGCCTGCTAATTACTAAAGTACAATTTTCAAAAGCAAACCATGTCTTGGAATCACAGACATATAATTCCTGAAGATCCATAAACATTTTGTCCACTTTTGTGTTTTTCCAAGTCACAACATTGCCACAAGGAAAAATAGTTTTTTAAAACTTTATGTTGCCTCAGAATGCTTTTTTCAATTAGATATTTTGTAATATAAAAAGAGACAAATTCATATTGTGTTTTTTTGAAGTGTCAACAGCACAGCAGTAATGCAATACTTGGTACTTTTTAAAGATTTTCGGCATTGAAGCATTACCAAGCAGTTTTGAAAATGATGCCTGTTTGCAGCTGTTGTTTCACAAGGCTATAACACTGACTAAAAAATATGCTTTAGAAAATAGTCACCAATAATATTAAGTGTACATGCTCAGGTCAATAACTAAATATATGTTTACTCAGTCATTTGATAGGTGTTAAACCCAAAGGTACTGTTTATGTCAGGAATCTTATTAGTGTTCTGTAGCTTGTGAGTTTACAGTTATCACTCAACTTGTTTTTTTTTGTCCAACCCAGGATGGTGGTGGAGCTCCACAGGAAAGTCTCCAGCCTCATCGAGTATCTGAAACAGAAGTGGGCATACCACGACCAGCGGATTGTATCCTTGAAATCACATTGTGCGCACTTAACTTTAAAAAATGTTTTCCTGAGTGGGAGTGTTGGATGAAAGGTTGGCAGGTAACAGTAGATGTTATTCTGCCTCTGAGGAATATTGAGAACTGTTGCTATAAACACACTGTGATATGTTTCACAGTACCCCACAAGTTTTTCCCCCCTCTTTGGTATGTGGATTAGGGCAGCTGTATTGCACTTCAGCTGTTTTTTGGGGGATGTATCTGTTTCTGTCAGTTATGTTGCAGTTCTTAACACGGATGCTTCAGCTTAAGAGTCTCATGGAGAGGGAGGCGCTCGAGGGCAGCCAGTGCAGCACAGCCTCTCCCAGCAAACCTCGGCAAGAGGAGCTCTTTCTTTTTCCAGCTGAGAGCAGCACGTTGACCACGCTGCCTGGTGTGGCACGTGTAGTTCACTCCAAGGCCTCCTGCACTGTACACTGGTTAGAGAGTGGCAAGAACCGACCTAATGCCAAGGAACTGCCAGCTGCCCAGATCCTAGGCATTCACACAGCTCCGTTACCTCGAACTGGCAGCAAATCTGCACGCGGCAACACTGCTGTCACTGGTGCTTCAGCGGCTGTTTTGGGTGATACTCGTCGGACTGAACCCCCTAACCTTGAACAATCGCCAGATAGTTCTACAAAGGTAGAGGAGAAGAGACCTCAGTCTCTTTCTGTCTCTGTTTCCTCTCAGCAGACTGTAGCCCTCAGAGAGGAGGGAAATGGGACGGTATCTTCTGAGGCAAGCAAGACCTGTCCTGTCGTTGAGACCACTGTTGGCTTAGCAGCGACCAAAAACACGGACAAGTTGTGTGGTGGTGTAGAGAGCTCATCAGAGCAGTGCAAAGAAGAGCAAAACACCAGCACCTCTTCCCCAGAGGCAAACCAGACTCCTACAGCCAAACCTCTAGTGACTGGCTCAGAGGAGGGCGTGTTGCAAGGCTCTGCACCAGCAGCCAAAGAACGGACTGTTGAGCAGATCAGAGAGGAGGGCTGGAGTGCTCGTGACGCAGAGAATGTCACCCTGGCTGAGCTCTACCTAATGTTTGGGAAGCCAGGAAAGCTGCAGCTGGAATATGAGTGGCTGCCAGCTGCGGTTTCTCCCAGCAACCAAGAAAATGGACAAGCCTTAGTACAGCCAAAGCCCAACAAGACGAACCGAGTTCTGCGCTGCCTGCTCAAGCTGGTTGCAACTGAGGTCAATCCTAAACCTTTGGTAAGGATTCACTTCTGTTTTTCCCAGTGTTATTCCTTGTTGCCAGATACCCATTTTAACTTGGAAAACTAAATTTCTGTCAGGATTTTTTGTGCAGTCGTGTTTCAAATGAGAAGTTTTACACATGTTTAATGTTAGATTAAGGTTGAAAACCTGCCACTAATGCATCCCAGTTACAAGAATGCAACTTATATTCAATATCTTAGGGTATTCAATCATTTTTCTATAGCTGGACAGCAGTATGAAGGGCGTATATTCCTGTGTGTTCACAGAATTTTAATTTTCATTCCTCCACAGATGAGGTTTAGATTGGTTCACAGCATGTTGATTTCCACTGTGGGAAGTGGCTGTGAACCGTGTCCTCCTTGCTTTTAAACTGTAGTGAAAGCCTTATTTAGAAATGTACATAAAGAATGGATGCTATCATGTGCATTCTCCTTCAGGCTCCAGAGCTCTGCTCCACAGCCACATCACCACTTAAGACCCATCAAGAAGAGCAGAACCAGGCTGTCACACCTCCAGGGAAGGGTCCTGTAGCAGGTGTTCGCAGCCCCAGCTGTGGCCGGCAGCAGGCTTCTGTCCGAGTGGCCAGATTACACCTGCCAACTGTTGGAGCTTCAGGTATTTGTGGCTCTGTTTTGCATATTCTAAAGCTGCTACTCCAGCCACTGAATATGAGGTCATCTCCAATGTAGCTGTCTCTGTGTAAAAACTGACAACATTTAATTTGGGTTAGAACTCATTTAAAATCTTTTAGTTGTTAGGGACTAGTTAGAATACATACATGAAGAATCATAAATTATATCCCAAATAGCAATTTTACTGATATGATGGGATTTATTAGGTGTTCATACTGATGGCACTGTAGTTGTTGTTTGACAGTGAGAAATAATAATGCTGTGAAAATCCTTCCTGCTTTATAGGTGATTGTTGAATACTTTGTAGTATTTTCCCAGATGTGGTTACTCCCTTTAGTTCAGATAGCTGCCCTCTTCGCATGGCATCTTACCTGTTCTTCCCCTCCTCAGGTGGGCGCAACCTTCCCCGCTCTCTGTTGGGCTCAACTGCGGGCAGCGATGCAGAAGGCGGTGTGTTCGCAGTACCCACCACTCTGCCCCCCAACAGCTCGCGCCACAACAGAATGTTCTCCCCCAACAAGGAGGCTGAGCTTGCCTTCAGACAGCAGCTCGACTCCATCAGTGTAAGACATTGTTTTTACACCAAGACTAGACTGATGCATCGTCCACATAACTATGCACACGTTCATATGCTTTTTTTCCTTTACAGATGCAGTCAGATCTTTTCCTTTCTAGACAAAGAAAGCCTCGCAACAGACAGCTTCGGAAACCACTTGTAGTTCAGGTAAGAGAAGAACACAAGGTTGTTTTATTTCAGTCCACTAGGTGGGATTAAAGCGAGCACCATGTCCGTTGCTTTGTACAGATTTGGCTCATGTTGCTGGCAGCAATGGCCAAAAGACTGTTTTGAATTAACTGTGCATTTTGTTGAATTGCTTCTGTTTTGTTCACAGCGAACACTGCTACCCAGAACTACAGGAGACACTCCTCAGCATGTCTGCTCCTTCTCCATCCTCTCCAATTCCTCTGCCACAGGTACTCTTGACATTAGGACCAATCAATACATGTTATCACCTGAGGGAGCAAATGTTTAGTGAACAGAGTTCTGTTAAACTTTGGTTCTTGAAAGTTGCTCCTTGAAGCAACTTTCTTCACATTTATTTATGTGTTCGCTTTGGTAAACATGATTTCTCTTTATCAACAGGAACCCTGCTAATTTCTCACTCTTTCTCTTCCTGTTTTTTCCCTCAGGAACTGGATCTTTCCGGCCAATCCAGACTCGACTGGCTCCTTCCTCCCGCCCTCTTCTGTCCAAAACTTCCTCTGCAGCATCCAGCTCTGCAGTGACCAGCCAGCTCTCCAGTATGGACTGCTTCTATTAGAAAATATAGTTTTCTGTTTTCTTGAAATGCTGTTCAATTCTATATACTGAGTATATACTGCTCAAGCTTAATTAATTTTTAATTAACCTTTTCTTTATATCCTCCATTTATGTTACACAAAAGCAACATGCATGTAACATGTTTTTTAATATTTAGTTATATATATAAAGTTTGTTTTATGGTATTTCAAGTCTCATTTACTGTTCATGCTTATCAAGTGTCTGCATGCGCAGGTGTTACAAATCCCATGTGTCCCTAAACTGTTAATACTCTTTCAGGTGCCATTGACCTGGCAGCCAAGTCTGCAGGCATCATCCCCGGCAGTCCCTGCCGGGAGCTCGATTCTCCCAGTGTTGATAACAGCACTCTGCTCACCGCCACACCCATTGTTGATGCTGAACCAGACGCCCAACTCATCCAGGAAAATGTCCCAGAGGTCAGGAGCACACATACTTATATATATTAGATTTTACGATGTGGAGTTTGAGAAAAGGAGCAGACCTGTTGGCATAGGTAGAAAATTCAGCAAGATGGCTTTCACATTATAATTAATACCCCAAGTAATATAACGTAATACCCTTGGAATTGTAACAGTGATGTCCCTGATTCAAAATTTTAAATATAAAATAGATAAATGCATCACTTGCAGATTCTATAAAAACGAAAAATTCTGCACTTCTCATCACAAGTGAAAAGCCGTGACGGACTCAGCTGTGAACAGCAGCCTTGTAACAAAAAATTAAGTATGAAGACAAATTAAAAATGTAAATGGTAAAATATCTATATTATGTAGAGCCACAATTTTCCCCATATTGGTAATGCCTGTTGGGGCTTCAACTTGTATTTTTCTTTTTTTTTTTTTAAATAACAAAACAATTTATGGCTTCATAACTTTTTCATATTGCACAAAAGACATTTCTAAGTGCTCTTTTCTTGTAGCCGTGGTTTTGTTGTTTCCATAGAGGTGCAGGACTTTATATTGCAGTGAAAAATGGGCCTGACGTGATGAAAAATGTGACGGGAGCAAAAATGCCCATAAACTACATGAGGCTCAGAGGGTTGATTGTAAACTTTTTCTTTCTTTCTTTTTTTTTTTTTTTATCCAACACACAGCTCCCTGGTGTATTCACTCTCCTTTTGTATATTGTATATTTGTCTACATCTTATTGTTTTACACCAGCTGCTCCAAACAAATTGCCCCTTATGGGATTGCTAAAGTTGTTTGTGCTGCATTGAATCAAGTTGTTCTTTCCACAGAATGGTCTGCCTCCCCCGTCTCCTGGAGCGACTGGTGGTGGAGACTCACTCCTCGCTCCGCCCAGCGTTGTCTCGCTCCTTGACATCTCTCTCCCAGGCCCCCCTGAAGAGGCTCTTGCCCCCGGAGAACCTCAAACACACATCAGTGACTCCATCATCGAGCTTGCCATCAACTCTACCCACTATGGTATGTGTGTGTTTTTCACTCCCACATGCAGGAATTTAATGTTGGGTACAGAATTTATTTTTGTGAAGCTGCCAAATTGCTTAAAGGAAAACTTCATAAACAAAACAGAAGATGAGTGTCTTTCACTATAGTAAAATTATACGTCTGGAGCTGAGATTGTTTACTGAAATGAAGAATGACAACAGCGAGAAGTTTTCTAATCCCCAATGACCGAGTTTGGTTTTGTGGTCTTATGAGAGGTTTGAAAGAGAAGAGAAAATATGTTGAGATGCAACCAGCGAAACCTCAGAGGCGTATTTGAACATTGTGTATGCAGTTTCATTTGTTTCCTGCTCTGCTGCAGGTGAGGAGGCGGCTCTCTCTCCAGCCAAGCTAGGCAACAGTGACGGCTCCAAACTGTTGACCTCGTCTCCCTCCGTCAGCCCCTCCAGAGGCTGGATCCCATCGCCCAGCCATGACCCCCAGTGGTACCCCAGCGACTCATCGGACTCCACACTGGGATGCCTCCTTTGTAAGTGTTTTTGTCTCATAAACAGATGCAATTATAGATCTTTGTAGACTTTTTTTCATGTGTTTATTATTCATTGTAGCTCTAGTTAAGTCTACTGTGCATTTAATTTCCAGGAGTTGAGAGTAATTGAGCTTATTCATATAATTGTTTTTCACAATAGTACAACTTTTAATGCTGAAAGCAGACTGGTCTAATTGTACCTGTGCTGTTGGAAAATCAAAGCTTTGTCAATGTGACTGTAAAACGGTGCGCAGCAGCTTTGAATAAATTCAAACAAAAGACATTATTTATAGAAAACTCCCACTCGGAAGTCTTTGTGCCTTCAAATTCATTCCATTATTAATGCACAAATATACGAATACATCTTTCGACGTCCTGTTGCAGTGGTGGCTCATAAAGGCAGTGTGCTTTCCCTTCTATTCACTGTCTCTATTGCTTTTTTTCCCTTCCAGCCAGCATGGTGTCTCCTGATAAGGGCAGGCGGACCACCCTAACCCCCTCTGGCCCCTCCAGCGGCACAGCTTTGCTTGGTCCAAGCCTCCTGGACTGCAATTCTCACGATTCCTTTCAATCCCGTGGCCTTCCTGACGTGGCAGAAGTGAGTTTAAGAAATATGAAAGTTAAAATACATCTTGCATCTTGTCATCTACTAATTCGTAATTTTAGTTGCCTATGTGGGCGGTCTTAAAAATGGCGAAATTGCTGACAGATGTTGGTGCAGTAAACATGAACATCACCTGGTTAGCTTAGCGCAAACACTGAGCATAGAGGGGAACGGTTAACCTGGCTCTGTTCCAAGGTAACTGAAGTCTACCCACTGACACCTCTAAAGCCTCATCTTTGTTTAATGTGCACAAAAACTGAACTGTACAATTATCAGTTCCCATTTTATAAACCCCCATGTTTATGTTCAGACCTGGCTGCGAGATAGAGTCCGCTGTATCCCCCTGTATGTGTCTTAACCTAAGCTAACTTGCTGTAGCCTTATATATGATGGACAAACATGAGAGTGGTATGACTCCTCTTAATCTTGCTCTTTTGATCAAAAATCTAATGAATATATTTCCCAAAATATCAAACTGTTCCTGTGAAGAAAGTGTCATCTTTGTTTTTTGTCTTTACTGCTGTTCTGGCTGTTGTCACATAAAAAGCTCTTTGGTTGTGCTTGCAGATGGACTCTCAGCTTGCGTGTATGATGAGCGAGAGCAGCGTGGACTACATCGCTCGCTTCAATGACCTGGCTCAGGAGCTGGCTGTGACCGAGCCCTCCATCCCGCCTCCCTGAGGAAGAGAGCAACTGGCTCCACCAAGCCGCCGCCATCTGGAGGACAAGAGTCGTCGAGTGAGCGGAGATATGAGAGCTTTCTCCTCTTTGTCTTTCCGTCTACCTTGGAGGGAAGACGACTGCGGGGGATGACCCTCAAAGCCATCCCTGCCCCGTTTGTAAAAGTGCAATAATAACAGTGAACCTTGACCATCGTTCAAAGCGGGTTTGAAACGCGATGGTTTCACTGAACTGAACTGAACTGAACTAAGGTAAAATGCCCTTTAAAAACAAACACTTTAGATAAAGAAATGCGTTTACAAAACACAACCTCATGTACAGGAAAATACTATGCCATATCTGAACAAAATATTTTCACCAATCTTTTATGTCTGTTCCTGCTCTTTGTGTGTATGAGTGTGTGTGAGTGAGTGTGGGTGTGGGTGTGTGTGTCTTCTACGCTCTCAGATTGACCCCCAAAATGTGTAAATCCACCAAAATGTGCAGTTCAGATCCCTGCTGGAGTGTGATTTTGAAAGTAATGGCAGTGAGAAAGAGGCTGAATATGGTGAGAATATTTGCCATAGTTATGTTGCAAAAGTGGAGCACAACACAGTAGGGCAGGTAGAAAATACAATCTTTCCTGCTGCCCTCCATTTCATGTGCTCTTTCTCTCTTATCAGTTCAGGTTTTATTGGTTGTATTTTAGCCATGCGTGTTTGGAATCATTTCTTACAGCCACATGCATAATGGCAGCTCAATGGTTGACTCCACTTGGCAGTAATTCTACAGATGTGATTCTCTGCAGTTACTACTTTTTGAATTTTGTGCTGAAATCACATGGGATTTTGCCAGTTGTGTGAAATTTTCACCACTTTTAAGGGATGGTAGCAAGTGAGATGGCCTTGTAAGCTGGTATTTATGTATTTTTCAGTTGCTGATTCTTAACTTTAGGTTGATGGTACACCCAAACATGATGATTTTTAGTCTAATCTTGAATAACCCTGTCACAGCAGGTGGCAGCTCTTTGACTGTTTTTTCCACTTACAGTGAAAAATGATGACATTGCTCTTTTACCTTAGCGCTCTTGCTTTTATCTTGCAGTCCTTAAAGAGTTCAAATAAAGGAGCTGGGTTTTCTTTTTTTTTTAATGACAGACTGAAAATGTTTTGGGGTACCTTTTAACGTTACCAGTAGTGTTACACTCCATTTAAACTCTGTAAGAACGAACAGTCAGATGTGTGTAATTAAATCAAACACTAAAGCCATAGTTGACTTATTTTTTAAGTGTTGCGTTGATTCTTTAATCACATCCCAAAACATTATTTGACTGGTACTGGATACTAACAAAACACTATGGCTAATGTCAGCATGACTGGCTCTAAATACCCTTTAACACCAGCTCACTCTTTGTGTTGCGGTCAAAAGGTGAACAGAAGCGTTTTTGCCTACTATATCCATGCAGCTTCACCTTTTAACGTACTGTTATTAACAGGGATTACACACATGTGAAGTCCAGACTGAATTGCGTTCAGATTCATTTTTATTAACCAGCATCATCAATATGCAGTATTGTGAACATCTTCTCATCAACATGTTTGATTGGATCTCTGAGTGTAAATTGTAGGAGAGCTCTTGTCATTCCACAGATCTGAAACATTGGTTTTCTTCGAGCACCTTGGGGGGGGCTTTGACTTTAAAACGACAAGCTCTTGTGATGTTTATTCGTTTGTGAAGGACATCTGGAAAATCTTCATGTTGTCACCCTAGATGATTCTTAACATGGAATAAACGGCAGGTTTTGTTTTTTAATCTGGCAAGTTTGTTTTTGCTGTTGAAGGATTTTGTTTGTACAAATGGCAATTCCAGTATTCACTGCGCTTTTGTAACATAATGTAAATTGTTGTTTGGACTATTTATTGTTAACATTTCTGAGAAAAAAAATGTTTTCTGTTTAACTTAATATTAAGGTGGCATCTAAAAAGGAAAAAAACCTGTTTTAAGTTTTCAGTTTGTAAAAGGTGTTTTTATTCTGTGTTTAAAGATAGTTATAAAAACTGCTTGTTTCTTGTATTTATTGCGTGTACTTTGTGGTAAAGCCAGTTCAAATGCAAACTTTTAAAAGGTTAGTGTGTGGCCTGAGGGTTACTGCTAACAGCTTCAGGTTTGCCTGCTTTTCCAGAGATGGATTAGTGGTTTATGTGCAGACTGAATCCCTCACTGTTCCCATTACAGAAACTAAATTCACAGCTCTCAAAGCAACACAACTTATCAAAGTAAGTCAGCAGGAATATACAGGACACAAATATCATCGGGGAGTTGTAACGTTGCTCATCTGGACTGAAAGTGAGAAAAAATGGTTTGAATTACTCAAATGGGAAACTCAACTCGACTATGCAGTGTTTTCCCTACACTCATTAAAATGACCTGAGAATCATTTCAGTGGTGTGTTCTGAGAACCACGTGGAAGAAATGACCCAGAAACATGTCAGGTGCTGTTCCATGATTCTAAGAGAGATTGTTGTTAAAGTGGAACTCTTCAACCACAGAACATGCTTTACAGCAGAGAAACTGCAACTGCTGCAGGTTAATCATCTGATGAAACACTGTACAGCAAAGCTTTACCAAAGTCCTGCATTTAGGTTCTTCTCATATATGTGACTTTTGGCATAACAGTGTGTGTATGTATATATATATATATATATATACACACACACAGGTTAAATCCCCCACAAACACCAATCTCCCAGACAATTTTAACATGTGCATTGGAAATTAAATGAGAGCTGCTTCAAACCAACATTCTTCAAGAGTCAAGTTAAACAACACAACATCTTCGTCGTTGAGCAGTGATTCTGATGACTTCTAGTTAAACTAGAAATAGCTCACTGACTAAGCATTGCTGCTCAGCCCCAGATATTGCTCACAACAGTAAACCACAAACCACAGGTCCTGTCACACCACACCGTCTACAGGTTTTCAGCACAGTAAAAGCTCCGTCTGTCGTCGTCCGTTCAGTCTTTGGTCCACGTGACCACAACATCCGTCTCCTCACCTGCTGCTTCGTCACTCGTCTTTCAGTTTCTGCTCCTTGCGAGCGCGAGAGGACATGAGTTTGAAGAAAAGCGCAGGCCACAGCGTGCGGAGGTAGATGGCCAGGTTGGGCACCAGTCCGGCCAAAACGACATCTTTGCTCCTCTGACGGACAGCCTTCAGAACCGACCGAGCCACATCTGCGGGGTCCCGACCCATAGCTGTGGTTTTATCCACAACTGAAATCAGAGTTGCACAGACAAGAAACGTATTGCATCAGTGACACCAGGGAGTCAGGATTTTCAGCAGAAAACTGCTCCATGACTGGGATTGTATTGCGTATGTCTTGTTTTATTCTGTGTGAGCTATTTCCATCGAATACTTATATTGTTTTTTGAATATATCGCCCTCATAAGCATCATAGCAATGTTTAAGGGGGAATGGTGGTTTTGTTATGTAAAACACTTGATTAATCGATTTAAATTCATCATATTTTGTCTTTATGCGCTATACAAATGTACTTGTGCTGCCTGGGAGCCCATCTTGATCCAGTCTTTTTTAAAACCTGACAAGTATTACTCCTGTCACTATGTAGGAGAACGTAAAAGGTAGAGCAAGACATTCTAATTTAATACACTTTCTGCCAAATTCAGTAACCATCTCACTGCCGTCCAGTAGCTGTCCGTTGTGTATGTGCACTGAAAAAAACATGCATTTATACACAGCCCTGACTCCACACACTACTCCTGCCAACCAATAACATTTGTGCTGCTTCACATAACAGCTCTATGAATCCCTGCACATTCTGTGGACGACAGCGTAAATTCACAGGATTTTTAAATCTCTGCTCCCCCTTATTTTTTTTTGCAGTGGATGGTTGTTGTGCTGTAGCAGCTTGTAGAGAAGGTGTGAGAGACGGCGTTGCTGTTCACATAGTTTCTGAGGGGAAATATGAAGCAACAAGCCATTTTCAGCACCACCGAGCTCTGCCACAGACTCCCATCCTACTCTGGGCTCGTCTGCACAGCAACCACAGGTCACTGGCTCGGACTCCACCGGGGAATGGATGCTGTCTGCAGCCAGGAGTGGTTCTACTGGTCAGTAAAGACAATTTAATCAACTAACTCTGACCAGTTGTGTTTTATTTGGCATTCATGTGCTTGCATGTCGCTCATTTTATTTCAGAATCTTTGTTTTGCTTCAGCTTTGAGGAAAAAGACATCCACTTGCACGCCAATAAGGCTGGGACATTTCTTTTTCGGTCAAATAACCGAGCTGTTAGAGTTGTTGCCAGAGCAATGTGGGTTCATTAATTTGACAGATTAGTTTTCTGAGGAAATGTTGACAGGTAAGGTGTTCAAACATCAACAAATTTTCACAGTAATGTCTTTCTCCACCTTAAATGTGGGCAAATAGATGCTAATTGCACAAACGCACTCATGCTAACACCAGAACTGCTCTGTTACTCCAGATTTTGTTGAAAATTAAAACTAAAACTTTGCACATGAGAAAGTAAAAGGCAATGCATCCTGCACAAGTTGGGTCTATGAACTGTTAGAACTTACTTTATCTGTAATGTTGAAGAGAAAGTAACTTTTCCTAAAATGAAAACATCAAAACCCAGTCAGACAGAAAACCCAGCAGGACACATTATTGGCAAAGCCCCATCCACACACATTCACCAAGTAATCAATGTGTCAACTTCTAAAATGAGCACTTTTTTTGCTGACTTCCTCTACAATTGCACCAAATCTCTTATTGTTAGTTCAAACACAGTCACACACACTTCTTTTTTTTTTTTTTACTGCCTCACCTCCGTACTTGGAGCCGTCTCCTGTGACAGCGTTGACCGACAGGTTGGTCCGGATGTACCCAGGACTGATCACCGTCACTGGGATCTGATAGCGCTCGACCTCTGCCCGTAAGCAGTCAAAGTAGGCCTGGGTGGCATGCTTCGAGGCTGCATCTGACCACAGGGTGGACAAACCAGAGTCACGTTTCGGTGGAAAAACCTTTTGTCTTGTTTGTTTAAAGAAATAAGTAAAGACAACTTACAGGCTGATCTGTAAGGAATGGCTATCTTTCCCTGGACGCTGCTAATGACGACAATGTGGCCGCTGCGCCGGCGAACCATGGAGGGCAGGAGAGCTGTGAAGGGAGGAGAGAAAGAAAGAAGAGTAACGTAAAATATTACCCTCCTAATAAATCTGCATGAAGGACCTGTGATCCGTATGGTTTACGGTTTTCCAGTTGGAATACATCAGAATTTCATGTTTTTATACCAACAGTGTGGACGATCCAGCGTTACACTTGTTGTCTTAATTATTTTTTATTTTCTGAATGATTGAAAAAAAAAAAAACCTTCTGAGGAATGTAGAAAATGATCACCATGATGAAAAAGTCTTGCATGAAACTGCATCATGTTGCTCTAATCGTATTTCTGACTTAAGTAATCATTGATTCTCTGCAGTACAGTTGGGAGATTGAGTTGAATTCATCATCTGTGAATTTAAATTTGAGTGAGTGTGACGGAGCTGCTGTATTGTGTCGCGCCACTAAACTCTAGATCTGTAATGTTTAAACCTCGACCCCTTTTGCATCTTTATCAGAGAAACCAAGCAACATGCCTGTCCTGTGAGAAGTGATGCTATCAATAGGCCCAGGCCCATGACAATGACTCCCTGCTCATTTTGGGACTCTTTATTTTTGGAGACAACACAAAATAAATAAAAATCAACATGCTCCATCACTAACCTTGAGTGAGAGCAATGGGCCCAAAGTAATTTGTTTCCATAACATCCCGTTGAACCGATACGTGGGTTTCCAGTATGTTGCCGCGGTAGCTGATTCCAGCGTTATTAATGAGGACGTCCACTTGTCCATAACATCGCAGGATCTCCTCTGCAGCTCTGTCCACTGTGTCAACGTCAGCCAGGTCGAAGAGAACAGTGCTGGGAGTGTGAGTCTGGTGAATGAGCAACGCAGAACAGTTATGTTCTGTCACTAATATACAAGATGTTTCAAAGTCAGGAACTCTTAGCGGCTAAATGATGGTTGATAAGCAGAGCTGAGAAAAGGACTGATAATGATGAGGCTTGTAAAAAGAAATATGCGTAAAAAAAAAAATGCTAAAGCACTACAAGAAATCAGAGTATGTCACTGTGGTGTAGATACCTGCTGCTGTGCGCCTGTCGAGCCTGCTGTGAGCTCCTGGACCACCTGCTGCAGGCGAGATGCGTCTCGTCCACACAGCACCAGCCGTGCACCTGCAGCGTGGAAGACCCGTGCACACTCTGCAACACAAGAAGCACACCCCCTGTAATTTGTGAATATCAAAGAACGCCATGCAAGCACCTGCATCTCGGCACCGAACCACGAGGCTGCAGTTTATCTCACAACTCCAATAAAGCAATATATCTCAGAGTGACGCGGTCTTAAATGCAGAGAATGTGTTATTTTTTTTAAAAAGAAAAAGTACTTTCTATTCGAGGCAGCATTATGAATGCAGACACTTAAACCTGCTGGGATCTTCCTTCCAGGTGACTTCCTTCCTCATCCCAGTCGACCTGTTTAAAGCATGCTAACACTGACTCTCAAAAGTAACAACTAGAATACATTCCTCTCTTAGCCTTGGCTTCTTCACTTCAGCTTTCAAAGACTTCAATTGTAAAATCTCTCCTGATCTACATTTACAGACCTATTCATAATCTACCGTTCCTTGGTAAACCTTTGAAGGAAAATGCTTTTAATCAACTACTTGTTCATCAAACAGCATTTATAGAAGCTCCAATCAAGTCATTGAACAGGCCAAAGCAATGGACAGACCTACTGAAACTTAACAATCTGAGGATTATTGAGGAGACAAACAACGTGGCAGTCCTTGTTTCACAGTCGACAATGAGGTTTCAGTTGGCAGACTTGAGAAATAAGTGGGTCTCTATGGCGATGTTTTCGCAGTTTTATTTAACTGGCAGACAGTTTTTTTTCAGCCCGGATGCTCATGAATCAGACACTCACTAAACATTAAGTTCCTCAAGGAAGCACTCGGGGGACAATTTTGTTTCCATGATAAATGTGTCCAATTAGAAATATTAGTAGTCATCACCATGCAAATATCATTTTTACGCTGATGATACACAATTGTATATTTCTGCATTGCCAAATAATACTGATATTGACAATTGTATGAGTAAGAACTTTTTGAAACTAAATGAGGACTCGAAGTGGCAGGAGAAAAACTGCAACAAACTGATGAAAACATAGACCACACACTTGAGAGTGATTTCAGACTTATTACATTTGAATTCTCAATTTAACACATAAATTAAAACTTCCTTTAGTCATCTTACATATATTGCAAAAGTTTGGTCAATGAATTTGAAGTGATTTGTAGAGAACATCTCCATGTAAGCTGCAGTGAGAAAGAGATGACTAAGCGTCTTCTGACCTTTGCCGAGTCCAGAGCTGGCCCCTGTGATGACCACGACAGCTCCTTGTACAGAAGTTCCTCTTCTGAGGCGGACAAGTATCCGGTACAGCATCAAAACACCAACACTCGTTAAAACCACTGGAAGCATTCCTCCTCCCATGACGCGCTCCATGGCTGACGGTCAGTCGCTCTGCTCCACACCAGATAACCTGCAGTCACAAGGACAGACGAAATCAGCGAGGAGAAAAAGTTTTCCCATCTGTAACTGTTGCAGCTTTGGAGTATTACAACATTCAAACCCATTGCTCTTGCACAGAGCAGTGAACCAACTAAGGCCTGCTTAAAATATGCATCTTACCCTAGTGAGCCTCCACTGCTAACATGCAACAGACTTTCTTATTTTGATATCAAACTGTGGGTGACTCTTGCGCTCCATCGATAAGAAAACAAAATTAAATTCAATTAAATAATAACATCAAAAATAGCAAACTCAAAGGGTATAGTTTACTTTTTTGTAGAATGACTCCCCTCTGTGCAAAGAGACAAGACCTCTGAGGAATTTGCACATTAAACTTGATTTTAAATCTTTTTTTTTTTTTTTTTTAACATTCAACCTTAATTTGCACTGTGAGAGTTTTTATCTTATCCTATTCTAAATCAATTTTCATTGTTGTGTTTTATTTTTAAATGTTTTTTCTTGTATATATTTTTTTAATTATACTTTTTAAGTGTGTTTTGAGGGATGCTGCTGCAACACTGCAATTGCTCTCAGCTGATTGATAGAGTACACTATTGAAGAGTATATATAATGTAAATAACTGTTGCTCTTAAGTCGATGACTGGTTTTGGGATAAAATAGCATATTTGCCTATAAATGTAAAAAGAAAATGCACAGAAAAGCTCTGTCAACAGGCTACAAGGTGACTTTGACCTTTTCTGTAAGCTCTTAAACCCCAACACTGATGGGACTGTGGATGTTTTAATGTCTGTATCATTGAGTTAAGCCCCTTCCACTTGTCCCGTATCCAAAACACAACACAAACAGCCAGCATAGCAACAGTGTCAAATACATAAGGGATCAGGCTAATGCTTTGGCTCTGATGCAGCCGCCTCTCTCTATCTGTAGTCACCACGCTCTAGTATTGAGCAACATTCCGCCCACATTACTGTCTGATTGGTTAACACTGAAGGGGAAAATGATGAAAACTTCATGTTTATTTGAACATATCCATCCATTATCTACACCGCTTAATCCTCACTAGGGTCGCGGGGGGGCTGGAGTCTATCCCAGCCGACTTAGGGTGAAGGCAGGGGACACCCTGGACAGGTCGCCAGTCCATCGCAGAGCCACACTTAGAGACAGACAACCAAGCACACTCACATTCACACCTACGGACAATTAATAATTACAAATTAACCTCAACATGTTTTTGGACTGTGTGGGAGGAAGCCGGAGAACCCGGCGAGACCCCACGCTGCACGGGGAAAACATGCAAACTCCACGCAGAAAGATCCTGGTGCCCCCGCCGGGACGCGAACCGGCAACCTTCTTGCTGTGAGGCAGCAGTGCTACCAACTGCACCACCTTGCAGCCCTTATTTGAATACATGTCAATCGTAAAAAACAGATGCAATTCAATTAAGTTTTGTGTTGTTATCAGTGTAATTGATCAATAATTATTGTATTGGTATCAGCCCTTTAAAAAAAAAAAAAAAAAAAAAACCTTGCATATTGCCTGACGAGGTGTCCAATATCAGGTATTATGCCATGGACTGGGAGAATGCTTGATTCTGATTGACTGGACAGTCTCCATAAATTACTGATAAATTACACGTACTAAGCAGTTCAACCAGACCATGGCTTAAGCTTCCCAAACTCCACATGTCCACAAGTCAAGTCAGTCAGAGAAGACAGCAATATTCAGAAAAGATCAGGATTTTTGCTTAAAAAAGAAATTCAGAGAGAAACAAGAGTGCATAGAAAATATTACATACTTTATGTCTGTATTTTGAGCATCTTCAGTGTCTTTTTATTGCCAACACATCTCTGCCAACAGTGCACCACATGACAAACAATTAAACAAAAGGGGTTTGTGGTGTACCACACCAATAATGGCAAGGGTTTTGCATTTTCTTGTGATTTGTTTATTGTGTAGTGTCAGGAACAAAGGCATTATCAAGTGTGTGGCAACCACGTGTTAACTGTATTTGCTGCTGATTAGTTCTTGAATAAACCTCAAACAACAGGATGCATAATTTTTTTTTTCTTTTTGTGAGCCTCAATGCTTTCAGTTCTTCAGTGTCTGTTTTAGCAGATGAACACGCTTATAATTATAAGGACAGTAACTCAAATATTCTCCATGACTTAAACATTATAGTGCAAATATTTTTTTGAAAACTTTGCTACATAAATCTCTGTATTCATGAGTTAAAACCACGTGTTATTTGAAGCCATTTTGAATAGCTTTGCTAATTAAAGGCATCAATTATCCTATGCAGTGATGCAAACCATGTTTATGCTAATAAGGGAGAAATTCACACTGACAACATATACAATTAGTTAAGCTAAACCCCTAAATACAGAAGTACACAGTGAGTTCAGCATTGCTTTCTCTGCACAGACAGGCTAACTGTGTAAAACTACAACCTTAGCTGTTGAAGCTAACGTTAGCTAACATCCACAGTCTAATAAACCTCTAACTGAAACACAACTGCAGGTTTACAGTTCACTTACAGGTTTATATTTTACTTACAGACCTCACCTGGTTTGTGCTGCTATGTGGAGCTGCAGTGTGTGTCCGTGTTTCAAGAACGTCCGTGTTCTCCTATAAGGCAGCGGACCAATTACCTCACTTCCGCTGTGAAAGCTGCTCGGAATTATGGGAGATGAAGTTCCGGTGATTTGATCATTTACACCCGTGTGTTTCGTGTCATATGTTATTTGTTTCCAGTAGTGGTGGACAGAAACGAACTATATTAATTTAATTACTATACTTTAGTACATTTTAAGATGCCTTTACTTCATTTTTTAGTATTTGCAGTTTAAGCTACTTTAGCTTCAGTTACACTACATTGCAGAAGTAAATTGTGTAGCTTCTTTCTGCTCCATTGGTTTTATTTGACAGTTTTAGGAACTGTTAGGATTGAGATTTTACACAATGTGTTCTAATAAAACAAGCTTTTGAATACACATTCTAAAATATTAAACCAGTTTCTGACCATTTTGGCTTCTTATAAAAGCAATGTACAGCCCCATTTTAGATGTAAACACATTTATATTTCAGAACTTTGTTTTCTTCTTATTTCCTCTCACATTCACATTCTGACAACTCCTAAGATTTATCTGATGTAGATAATGTAGTTCACAGCAGCTACAACTTGCTGCTGACACACTGATGCCACAGTATTAATGTTCTAAAGATGGTATGTATAATAACATATCAGTTATAGTTATTACTTTAACTAATAAAGTAATAATTAATTAATGTGGTGTGGAAATTTCCCCCAATGAGGGATCAATAAAGTATTCTCTTCATTCTATTCGAACTCCTTTTTATTGCTAGTGCTTATGTACTTTCAGTAGGATTTTTCATGCATGATTTCCACGTGTGATAGAGAACTTTAACTTAAGTAAAACATCTAGATACAAATACCGTTGGCTGCCAGAACATCTCATTTATATCAGAACTGGCTAGCCTAAATATATAACTAAATACAGAGCTTAAAATAAGACAAGATAGCTGCTTTGCATACACTTTACTCTCCTCTGCAGCTTCACAACAGCGCATGATGGAGCTTGTTCCAACAGCCTTGAAGGAGCCCCACATATGCTGAGCATTGGCTGATTTTCTTCACTCGGCTGATCCTGAACGATCTCAGCTGGTTTTGGGTCAAGTAAATCGCTCTGCTGCTTGGTGAAAAAGTCCTTGAAGAACCTGGAGGTGTGTTTTAACTCATTGTTGTGTTGAAATCAAAACGATGGTTCCATTATGCAGAATGTTGTGGTAGTCATGCTGGTTAAGAGTACTTGCAACTCAGTTTCAATGGATTATTGCACTTCTTTGTAGTAGTGGTGTAAGTGTATCCTGCTTTTAATAGATTTTGCCAGCAGAGGTCGCTTAAACTCTATTGTGAATGAAAGGCCAGTGAGCTGTCATTTGTGCCATACAGCTTGTACGTCAGCCAGACACCAAAACAGCTCAACAGGGGAGGAGGTAAACAGGATTCACTAGTTTTAGATCCATTTGTGTCATTCCTTGAGCAGACAGGTTGAGAAAAGGTTACTGTTTCATATTTATGTAAGATTAAAGAAGCATAAATAAACAGCATAAGCGACAGTCATCGATATCCAGATATTCTGTGTGTACCGCCAGACCAAGCAGTGTCTCCCTAAATTGGTTGACAAACAGCCCAACCTGTGTGAAAGACCACTAGTTTCAGCAGGTCAGCTGACAAATAATTCCCTCGTCTGGCCACAAATCAGCAGAGTAACAAGGTTGTCTCTGGCCATTCCTCCGAGCCTCGTCCCCTTGCTTCAGAGCCGCTATCTCCCCACTTCAGTTCTACTTATCCAGTAAGATATAAATATATGTGTGTATGGTGAGAATAAATAGCATTAGGAGGATTTGCAATCAGTGTGCATCATTGCATTTTATTTATTTTTTTCCAATTTCAAAATGACTGAGCAGGAAATGCAAGAGCTGCATGCCTGTGGTTTTCCACATACAGCAGCCAATACACACCGAGGCCGAGGCTGCAAAGTCAATGTTTGACTGTGAACAAAATAGCAGTTTGCAAATGGAATCTTCTCCCGGTTAAAGCCAACAGCCGGGGTCTCAGTTGTCTGATGAGGTGCTTTCATACACTGTGCACAATTAAGAAACTATACATTTTACCTATGAAAGCACCACATATATATTTTTTTAAAAAAAACAAAAACAAAAGCAACTTGTATTGAATTGTAGGACAATTATCAACGTCAACAGCTGAACATTTTCATGAAAAACTGAACTCTTTGTAACTGCGCTGCAGTTAGAGTCGGTGGAAAATGCTTTACAGACTCCTGTTTGAAACAAATCAGTGGAATTTATTTCACATACATTTACATGTATTTCAACAATCTGCTGTTCTGCTTGTAATGGAGATTAAAATTAGTTACTTTTAAATTAGTGTCTGCAATGTGATCACTGTCACTGAGTATTCTACCATAATTCAAACAACAAAATTCCACTTCATCATCCAGTTTCTCCAAATCTCCTTTTTCCATCATCCCTCACCTCATTTATACTTGTTTTTCATCTCATAATCAGTATTGCTGCCTCTGGGGATAAACACAGTATATAGAAGGATGTAGGAACGTAGAATTTGCTGAGTAATAACTGTGCTGTCAAACAGTCGCTATATTGGGTTTGGTTTGATCTTCATGTACTATACATTAGTAGAAGTTGGTAGTTTTTTTCAAAAGAGGACATTGAGCCACATCTTTGTCTCACAAGATCTTCCTTGCATTTGTTTAAACCAGAAAATCTACATGAACAAGACACAATCTCAAATACGTTTGAGCCATCTGCTCTTTTATGACATCATGTAGAATGCATTTAATGAAAAAAGTAAAGTACAGAAAAGTGAGTTTGAAATATCCTAATGTTTAATGAAGGGTGATGTACTGATCAGCAAGAAAGGGGTACAGTAAAACTACGAGGGAAAAGGGAAAGAGTTTGGTACACAAAACATGTCTGTCCACGGCACTCCAATACAATTCAGTCCGCAGGAACTGCTGCCATACCCTTGTGAACTAGCTTCTTGCGTGTCAAGGATGCAGGTGGAGAGCGCAGGGGAGGAGGCGCAAGGGTACTACAGAGATAAGTGTGCTGTTGTTGTCACATAGAAGTAAAGGAAATGTAAGGGAAAAAAACAATTCCTTCTAGTTTTAACTATATCCCTCTGATCAAAGTTCAAAATGGAAGCACCCACCACATGTGGCGCTAACTGCTGGGCCTGATCGTGACTTCCACTTTTCTTACATCTGGGGGTGGGTAGGTTCTGTTTTTTTGTTTGTTTTTTCCTTTTTCTGTTGGTTCTTAAATCCTCTTCAGAGTGCACTCATACCGCATAGAGTTCATAGATCTTCTTGGCGCAATACGCCAGGGCCGCCAGTGCTATCGTATTATGGAGTCTCTTTCTGTGGATGTCATCCCTGCGTACCAATACCACGGGCGTCGAGGAGGTCAGTGTATGCAGGGGCAGCCGCGAGAGTTTTTGGCTGTCATATTCCACCTGGTACTTGCAGCAGGGGTCAAACTGCCACGAAATCCCGTAGAGGGCAGCGCAGGCCACGCTGAGGGCGCCCGCGGGCAACGCCACGTAGCGCGAGTATTCAACGGGCAGTGAAAGTGGTGTCAGGAGGCAAGCGGCGCCTGACAACACAGCCGTCTTGTGCAGGCAGTTGCCCACGGTAATCCACCGGGCCGTCTCATCTCCGATCCGCGTGGGCTCGATAACAATGTATTTATACTGGGCCTCCAGTGCCTGCTCCAGCTCATACTCAAACTGGTCCTGCGCATTCTCCCCATTGTAGATCTCGTGCACGATGTAGCAGTCTGACGCCGCCATCACTCCCCTGTGCAGAAACAAAACAGCAGGCAGGTAACAGTAAGAGAAAGAACAGAGTTTAGAATGAAAAGACTCAATAATCTAAGATTGTGTTCCCTAATTATCTGCTTATGTTGAGACATATCAGTTGGGATTTAATGTTAATTTGTTGATGTTCAGTCAATGCTTTAGCATACTAATACCAACAACTTATTGACATTTGGTTACAATGATACTTGTGAGATGTGTGAATATACGAACACAAGTTCAATCTAAATTCTTAATGGTGTTCTACATTACATGTAACCACAAATTATTTATTAACATTGTTGTTTTCAATGTGTATACTTGGGTCGCATAAGCGATTTTGCTGTGGTTTGCTTCACATTAGAGATTGATCGACTGCTGTTGATTATCTGATCCAATATTCAGAAATTTTCTAATTGTTGGTGTTGTTTTGAACTGACGTCTGGCTAAAAAAAATAAGTTAGTTTGAAAACACCCTACTTTGATTCTGATGCAGTCACCTCCATCTATAGCAATGTTGATCAATGTCCTGCTCACTGCACTGTCCGATTGCTTACATGTCATGAATAACAGACTGTAAACACTGAAGAATAAATGTTGAAAACTTCTCTATTAATTAAGTATATATATCGAAAAGCTTTGTGTTTTTATACCTGTTTCTATATTGTTACTGCAAATGTAAAAATCAGTTGTAAATATTAGTTTCCTTCATTAATAATATTCGGTGTTGATATCAGCCCTGGAAAAAACACGTGTTAATTCCTATTTTACATCAGGTCATAATTAACAAAAGTCAAAATGCAGAGAGCACGTCTGCATTTCTCTAGGTAATTATAAGAGTATTATTTAAGGACAAAAACATTTATACAAACTGATATTTTCCCGCAAATTCCGTTTAAATACAACAGAGACGTGTGTGGATCAGTGTCAACACTCCGAGGCCTTTAAGTGCACCTTGAGTAAATGGCAAACAAACTTCAACGACTGAACAGATAAGAAGCGGCTCCAAAGACTGCGGAGTATTAGCCAAGATAAAATTTAAAATAATTTAGATTCAAGTGAAAGTCTTCTTAGAGTCCCGATGCAGGGGACACACTGTACCTGAGCGTCGGTTCGGTACATTAGCTAACTCGCTTACATGGTAGAAAGTTGGAGGACTGGCCAGCTAAGTTGAGAACCGTTTTACTTCCAGAACAGGTCGACAAACACAGCGGACAACACTCTAAGCTGAGCCGCAGTCGTGCAGCGTGCAAGCCGCATAATATCGCTCCGGTTTTCGCTTTGACACACGGTAAAATCTAACTTTTCACGCAGTTAATCGGCCGCTGCGGAATAACCAAAACATCACATGAGCTGCTAGTTTGTTTCCTTGCTAACGTTAGCTAGCCGTACACGTTAGCCAGCTAACGTTAGCTTACCATGGGCTAAAATTCCGACTTCTCGTGTTGGCGTTTAACTTTGAGTCCCGAACGGTGTGCATGTTCGGGATCAGGTGAACGGTGACATCGACAAAAACATGCAACGTGGTAAAATATTTTCGTTTAATGGCCAAGATGTGGAGTAACTGACCTCTCCCTGCTTACTGGGACACCGCGCCTCCTTCCCAGCGACGCCATGTTGGAGATACAACTGTGATTGCAGTTGACGTTTACCATGACTCAGCATTCTGGGTAATGTAGTGTATTAGGATTATTGGCACCTCAGATGGAGTGGACAACGGACTACAATTCCCATAATGCTATGAAGGCAGAGTGCCTGCCTTGACGTATTTTGTAATGGCACACAGAAGTTTGAGAGGTCAGACCACAATCTAAATAAATTTAGCAGAAATGAATGAAGGTATGTTTGTTTATACTCTAATAATCAGTTAAATAACTACACGAAATTAAACTGCAAATAAACACAGGAGCCATTAGGTATTTAAATGTACTATTGCATGCATTGTTAAATCCGTAGCAACACACTATATGTAATACAATACACAGTATAACACGTTGTCTATCTGTGTAGTTTTGCCGTGAAATGCGTGCGTGTCGACTCCTCACCCATATTGTGTCCTCGCGTGCTCAGTGTGGGTCCGCGCGCTGGTCTGAGCTGCGTGTTCGCGTGCTGTAACCTGACTATAATAATGGCTGCGGTCAGAAGATCAGCTGGAACCAAACACTGTGACAGAAACAACAACTGTAGCAGCTTCAAATGACGTGTTGATGACGTATTAATACACAATCAATCAATCAATCAATCAATTACACATATCGGCAAATGTGCATGACTTTTAAATGATATTTAACCCTGGGGCTGTGACTCAACCAGGACTTAGAATATTCAGGGGGAGTCACAACAGGTGAATAGATATCACCATGAAACTTCCCCAGTTGATTACTGGCAATAGGACGATTATGTTTTGCATTACAAGTTTGATGATATTTTATTTTTAAATAGAATAGAAAAGAAAATAATTCCTCCATTGTCATTTCACAGTTCACAAGGAAATAAAGCAGCAATCCTGTCAGTGCATTCACACAGTCAGATATACAACAGAAACATCTAGTAGAAAACAAAATAGCTTGTGCAAGTGTATCTATGAAAGCAGCTTATTCTTTTAAAGATAGTAAATTGGAGTCACACATTGCTGAACATGTACAAAAAAGTAATGGCTTAAGTAGTGCAAAGTGCAGTTGTGTGAATGTATAAACATATGCAAACATGTTTAGTTTCAGTAAATAAATATGCAAAGGAGGCGTGTATCTGTCTAAATATGTGCCACTTTACGTACATTTCCACTACAGAAGTCTAAATGTTGCATAAAGTCAACTTCAAAGTTCTTGTTTCAGATTAGAGTCAAAGGTTTTTACACAAGGTTTTTGTTATCTTTTTGTCCTTCTATTAATAAATCTATTTTTTGGCTATGTTTTTTTTTAGGAATAAAATGTTCTATAATGCCACAAGAGATCTTTTCTGCTGTAAAACTCCTCCACCTTCTGCAGGAAGATCAGCTGAAACATCTTAACACTGAACAATAATATAACTGCAGTATTACTTTCTCAATAGTATGTTCAATATCAATATCAGTGTAATATGTGAAATAGCTTTATAATTTCAGTGAAACTGGAAAGTTTGGTGTATGTGCTGCTGAAGTGTATTAATAAATGAATGCCATAATCATTAATTAAAAATAAACCAATTAATTATGAATGATAGAAGAAGTTGCACACATGATTTTATTATTCCTATACTGAGACGATGAGTCCAAGTCATAGCAACTGGCTGTTTATTCTGGATTTTCTTCAAAAAAAAATTCAACATAAGCTAAAGGCCATTTTACTCCCATCCAGACAACTATAAATAAATGATTATATTATAAATACATCCATGGTATATCATTTAAAGTTTCAATGAATGCCTGATAAGATTCTTGGGCTTATTTACTTGTTCTTTGATCAGGATAAAAAAAAATTATTTATACACAGGGTCACATTTACGCAAGCAGGCTGAGAAATTTCAAATTAAAAGAGTCAGAAATATGTTTATATTTCCAAGCAAGGGACTGTAACAGCACCAGTATCCCAGTGTAGACTTTTAGGGGGTTTGTAGTAGTCAAACTTAGGTATATCTATCAATCCTAAACATGGTGGAGTTTGCTTGTAAAATAATTACCATGTGTAGGTTATTAATTGTAAATCATAAATACCCCTCAGATTGTTCATCCGCACAGATTCCCAGAACAAAATCAGAGGACACGACCTCCATGTTCTCAGTGGCAGCTACAGACTGACTCTGTTTTAACCCTAAGCTGCTGTCTGTGACACTGACATTTGTAGAGGACCTTGGACATGGCTGCCTGGTTAAATGTGGTGACTGAGGGGACATGCAGTACTGCAGCACCGCGGGCAGCTGCGTCACTCACTTTATGTTGCACTATATGTTCCAGGTTCCTCAGTAACCAGGAGATATTTTGCAGATGATTTACATTCAAGACTTTAAGGAGTCTGAACCCAATTGCTGATTATTTTTCACCTATTTGTGGAGCAAGTGCCTCTGTGTTGTTAGCAGCGCACAATAGTGTGACACAACCTCAGTCTGTCTGTTTTTGTGTTGCTGGTGGTGTATCATGCCAGGCCACACTATCAAAGATTTATCAGGTACTTATGTGCATGTTTGACTCACAAAAAGTGGAATGACTTACATGCACGCTATGTAGAATTCAGTCATTCAATGCAAGTTCCCAAAAAACATTTTATATCAAGATTCACAGACCTGATGCAATTAGGAACACATCTAGATTTTACTAGTTATGTCTTTTTAAGCATCATAAGACGGTATCTGGTAACATGAGAGCAACAGAGGAATCATGAAGCGCTCATCCTTATGTGAACTTTCTTTCTGCTGTTTCACATGGATCATCTCTACCTGGGTAGGATATGAACAGACACAGCTGCCCAAAAGACACAGAACTTTCCTGCAGGTCATAGGTGTGTGTAGATCAGCCTCGCAGACGGCCTGTAGCCAAAGCCAGGACAACCAGAACCCAGAGTGTAAAGCAACAGATCACACCACCAGAGCTTCAAAGAGAACTATCAGATAAGAGACACTCAAGGAGAGCCTGACTAACCAAATGGGTGATCTTTATTGCTCTACCCCTCCTCCTCTCTCTGCTCTGGACTTAAAGGAATGCGATCAACAGACAATGGGAAAAAGCACCAGAGGATCTTAATGGGACGCTAATATCTGATATTAGTTTAAGTGTTGTTAAATGCTATTCTGATAAATACCCCAAAGCTTAATTACAGTTGGATAAGTCCTTCTTTAATTTATCAGCTTGTTATATAACCATATCCTAAGCATTGTGTTATTTCTGTAATCGTACAAGATAGCTAACTCATGTTTAGACTCCCCGTGAAGCTATACATGCGACACATTCATTTCCAACAAACTTAGCTTTGTATCAGTACAAGTACATATAGTTCTGAAGGAACATTGTTACTTTCAGAGCAAAACTCTGACCACCTCATGACCTCCCTGTAATACAAGGGTGTCATATCTAACAGCTTCTCTGGGAACGGAGCTCGCTGTGATTGGTCAGTAGTTTTACTATTAAAAGGCATTTCACCCGAAAGACTGCGGATTTTCTGAAGGCCATAGAATCTCCCACTTTGGTCCAATGTTAGCAACTTCAACTGCCACACCCTGACCCAACTCAAGCTGAAGGCCTTGTCTTCCAGATGCTGCTGCACCCGGGAAACTGCAAGTATCAAGCTTCTGTCTCTAAACGGGTGTTTCATGATTACAATTGGCCTTTCGACCAATATTCCAAATTTAACAGATTATCTGCTGCTTCAGGTGAAAGGACTTTTAAGTCTCCAAGCCATCACTCTGTTCCACATTTGGTTTTTCACACTCATATTCTCAACCAGTATTTCCATCATTGTTTGTATTTTATATTTAGGGTCCGAGCACACCAGTGCAAGGACCCTATTGTAACCCTTGTGATTATTATTATTATTTATTATTATTTTACCGACTTTTGAAACGCGATTTTGAGGGCCTTAACTTGCACGAAAACTCACCGAAATCACCACATACACCAGGACTGGCGAAAAATTTGATATTTTAAGGGACTTGGACATGTCACTGCCAAAATGGCTCCACAGCACGTATGACCTACAGCTACGCAATTTGGTAGGCATGTAGAGCTCGTCGGCACAAATAAAAACGTCTCTCCGCTCCAAGGTCTAAAATGCAACACGGCTCAACTGCGCCCCCTACAATATTTCAACATAGTCCCATCGCGGCTACGTTCCACCTACAACTACGACATTTGCCACACATGTGTAACAACTTGTGACGCACAAAAAAGTCCATTAGCATGTTTCTGTAAACTCAACAGGAAATCCACCATGTTGGAAAAACAGCAACCATGCCAGGACATTTTTGCTTTTTGCCATTTTTGCCACTAAACAGGAAGTGACTCGTAACTAGGCCACACTTGCTCCGATCTGCCCCAAACTCCACATGCCGGATCACAGTCCCGCCCGGAACAGGTTTGCGCCACACCCCACCATGCGCGAAGGCCGACAAGCGTAGGGCGAGGACCCGCCCATCGCCGCTTGCGGCTTTAATTTATATTTGTTGTTGTTATTTGTTTGTTTTAGTTAGTAATAAATGTTGTGTGTGTATACAGTTGTTTCCTGTGTTTTCTATAGCTTACTTTCAGTCACTTTACGCATCCGATCTTTAGCTACCTGAGCTCTAAGTTAATTCCCTTAACTTTATAAAACACTCTTGACTGATCACCAAGAGTAAACAGTTTATTAGAATTATTATGCTGACTCTGAGATTATATCGCTGGACGAATAATTCAAAGGTTGGTTTAATAATTTTAATTAATGCTATCACTTGCTTTGGTGTGGAAATGAGTATATCTTATTTTCTACCCTACACCTGCTTAGTCAATTAATTTATAATGGCCTGTCTTCGTTTTGCCACCTGATGGCGCCAACGTAGAGCCTTTTAGGACCTACACAGAGTAGCTTTAAATGTCCCTCATCGTGAACCAACAAAACATAAATTAACAACAAACTTAAATTGCCTGCTGTGATTTCATTTGATATGCACTCATAGTTTAAAGTAGTCTGTTCTTAAGTAACTCATGCATTGCTGCACATGTAGTAATTATTTCAGTGTCTATCTGACCATGTAGAAGTGTTTTGAGGTGGACAGTGTGTGATAAACTACTCTTGTGCCTCAATATTGAAATGTGTGTACTGTGTGAATACGAGAAAAACAAATACTCTAAGCCCACACCCTTAAAAATACCGAAACACAAACAGCTGAGTTGAAGCATTAAGAGACCTTCCCTGCAGACAGAAACTAGTCAAAGCAGTAAAACATGAACTGTCATTGTAAACACATAAGTTATCAGCATGTGATCATTGTAACAGTGTCAAATACTCTCCTAAGAAATTGCCATATACGTATGTGCACATTCTTCCGTTTTGTGAGCAACACATACCATGAATAATATGATGTGTATTAGATTCATTTCTTTATTGACAACAAGTACGGAGAAATAAAAAGTGTCTCAAGCACAAAACAATGTAACAAGGATTGCAACATCATGATGCATTTCTTAGAGACAACAGCTTGAAACTTAAGTGGGGCATTTGTTTCCTTCCAAAGAAGCACACAAATATAAAAGAAAAATGAAATATTAAGCTCGAGTGCCTTGACCTATGACTAGACGAGTGCCACCAAAGGAAAGTTCTACAAAGAGATATTGGTTTCCTGCAGGTGGTTTTCTAAGTTATTAAAGGAGACAGACTCTGCACTGTCCTGCCAAGGCGTGTTGAGTAACCTGAGGTATTTTTCTTCTCAACACTTAAGATTGTCAACAGCAAAACCACCTGAAGAGCCAAAAAAGGTTGTTTTTTTTTCTCTCCAAAATATTGTTTTTTTGTGATTAATTTTATCATTTGACATCAGATGAGTACAGTAGTCTTTAATGGGGAAAAAAACGATAAAATGACAGGAAAAGGCTAAGCTTCAGCCACCCAATGTCATTTTCCTGAATGACAGAACAAAGGAGTGTCTGACACCATAGAAATAAATGCCCTGAATATAACAGTGTTGTTTTTGTTGCTGGTTTGAGCAGAGATATTCATCTATATCCACGCTGAAGTGTTGCGCCGTACAGTGACAGACTTAAAAAGCAGTTCATCACAAGGGTGCATCTCACATTTAACATGTACATTAAAGAAAATGAGCTTGTCTTGAGGCTTAGTTAGGATTGCACTTTCAATTTCAGTTTGGATTCTGTGGCTTACGCATCCCACCACTTTTTTATTTATGACTCCAATAATGAGCATTTCATTTCTGTAAGTGGGAAGTAGTTTGGAGGAAAATTTGAACTAAACTGAGGGTTTGGGAAAATACACATCTTAAAAATACAGCTTTTATTTTTTAAAAACAATTCATTACCCACCAAATGTGCCTATGCCTCTTTGCAATCACCTAAAAAAATATGTAGAGTAGCTTGATGTGTTGAAGATGCATTCAAACACACAATCTTCTATCTAACACTTTAGCCCTAAGAAACACAATTTCTAAAAGTGGGAAAAACTGGAAAAGAATAATAATAATAAAACATCATAAAGGAGTTAAAAACTAAACGTCTCAATCATTTTGAGTGTCAGTGGAGTCATAATTGCTTTTCATCCAAACCGTCCCAGAGAAAGACGCCAGGGTCGGTCGTCTGGGGGCGCTGCTCACAACCAGTGAGTCCAAGAAAGGACAGAAGTTTGCAACACACTTTAACGTTTGACTCACATCTGCTTGCAATACATGCCTAACATTTGCTTCAAGTCAGTGCTGAGTATAGATCCTGGAAGTTTCTGCCTGAGGTAACATGCTTAACCTTTGGTTGCTTTGTTTTTACAAGTCGTGACTGGCTGATTCCCCTCCTGCCTGTGTAGAGCGTGAATCCCCCTGGTATGGACTTAACTGACCGGTCGATCCAACGTTCACCTCACAGGCGTCTTTGGTGTGAGATCAGTTGTCTCTGGATTCACCCGCTGTCATGTTTAACAAGGCCTGGAAGGTCCTTTGTTGTGTATCATCCTGTAACTCCAAAGCATGCTGCCACACAGTATTTCTCTCCTGGGAGTCTCTTTCTCCAGCTCTTCTCTGTTTTGGAGCCATGTAGAGTCATTGATAAATATGTTCAAAGTACTGTGGCTGAGGATTCTCTTTGACATATTTCTGAATGTACCAGCAGGTCAGGTGTGCTTTCAGGTCCTCTTCCACCACAAAATCCATGGCTGCCTGCCGTCACACAATGCATAAAATCACAACTGAACTGTTCAGGCAAGTCTTCAGAACACATTTTATACTGAAACATAAACATTCAATTTTCTCAAGTGTGCCTTAATACATTTGCCACGTCAAAGTGGTAAAAACTGTAAAGCAATCACTGAAATACGATACCTTTTCTTTTTTCAAAATAAACTACATAAGGTTTTCCTGTTATATAGGTTTGAAAAAAATAAGAAAATATAAATATTTAAGAATCTAGAATAAGAAAATTTAGACTTTTCCTCTCAATAAATTACTCAGACCGACTAGTTGATTATGAAAACAGGAAGTTATTAATTTGACAACTAATCGATTGTGAAAATTTGGATTCATATGCACACACATACACTTGAGTGCCATTCACTCAAATGTATGAGGTTTAAATTAAAGCTTAAACTAGTGATCATTTTCATAATTGATCAATATGTCAAGCATCAGAAAAGTCCAGCCTATAGCAAAAGCCAATGCCATGAAATGTTTTTTTGTGTGTGTGACAAACAGTCCAAAACACAAACATAATGACAATTTACTGTAAGACCACAAAAAGCAGAAAAAATAATCCACATAATTGTTAATCAATTAATCAACCAATAGTTTACTTTGAATGTCCCTTTAAAGCACGATTCTAAAACCTATTTGTGGTTCAAGTGTAGACGAAAATGGGTGGCCAAAGCAACACGACTCAAAAAAAAATCTTTATTTTTATTATTATCTGTTCATATCAACACAACTTGCTGGTGTTAAATGTACTTAATTTTATGCATATGACCACATTAAGCCTTTAAAATATGAATTCAAATGCCTGAATCAGAAAGGTTTTACTGCCAAGTAGGTTTTCATACACAAGGAATGTGACTTGGTGTTTTAGTGCATAGCAGTGAACAGCAGCATATTGATCAAAAAGTTGTCTTGTTTCAAACTAAACTCTAAGAGTCAGCTTTACCTTGGCCAGATGTTTGGCAATTCCTCTCCCTCTGTAAGCATCTGGAACTTCGGTGTGTTGCAGGTCCACAGTCTTCTTCCCAACATATTCATACAGAAGAACTGCACGATCGTGAGACCCTGAGGGCAGACAGAAGTTGTAGCTCATGTTGGTGTTAAACTAGCCTCCACCCCATCCAGTTTTTTGTGTTTTTTTTTTTTTTCCAAACAGCAGCTTGACCCCACCTTGCAAGAGCATGCAGGGAAAAAATGAGAGGCAGCAAACACACACAAAACTTGTAGCATGTGCTTACAACATTTTAACATTTACAGCTATATGTAAGCCAAGGGTTTATTTATCAATCAAGGTGTAATAGCAGATCCACATATGATACTGCAAAATGGCTGCTTAGAAAGACCAGTGAAAATGGGATAATGTTGCTAAGTGAAGAGAGGCAGAGACTGATAAAGATCTTGGTTCTGATAACAATGGCTTCCAACATTTTGCTGTAAACACATCCCACACAGCTATGAAAACATTAAAGTAAAAGACACATGCAACAGAAATGGTCAAGTTTGTCATAGACTAAAACATTCAAAGCAAAAATGAATGGCAGTTAGTTTAAAAACTTGAAAAAGTATAAATCACTGAGTACATACTTTGGTTTTGAACTAAAAAAAGAAGAAGTGCCACAACCCATAAATAGGTGTGGGTAATAAAATGCAGAGAATGCCAAATCAGGAAAGTTGAAACGACTCATGTTTTAGGGATTAATTAAGGCTGGAGAAAGAAACTGGGTTGTTATAAGAAACCTTTACATATAAAGCTAAGGGATGTCCATTTGTGGCATGTTTGTCTTCAGGAATGCAACAAGGAAAATTTTTTTCATCGTGCCCACAAGAAGCTGATGAAGTTACAAGTCAGGGAAGTCAGTAGCTTTCATCTGGTTTTATTGTCTTGGCCTCGTTCCTGACAATAAAACAATGCCAAAATAGCCACAATGTGAACTGAATAATGCCTGTTGTGTATGAAATGGCAGCCGGAGTTATCAATAAGGGAACGCCGACGATGTTAGCATCAGAGGAAGCTAATGTTCCACCAACCTTTCTCAGCTAGCAGTAGCCAGCTAACTAGCACGCTAACGTTTGCATGGTGAACTTACCATTTAGCCTTATAACAAACTGTCGGCGCTTTTTGTCGTGTTCCACCTGAATCTGAGTGTTGTTTGCGTCAAATGCATTAGCCTGTGCTGCCTGGGCCATAGTAGCGCTGCTAAAGCTGGCAAATGACGGCTATGCTACCCTACAGCTATGCTAACCAGAAATGGCTACATGGAATGATGAGCTAAAAGCAAAACAGTTCATCCAACAAAATCAGCTGTGAGGTCACGTGGCCGGCAGCCAATCAGCGGCCGAGTTCTCAGAGCTGAGAAAACACAGCATCTTTAAGATTACAGAGACAAACATAGACAAATAAATCAGTCAGACATTCAAATAACACTTTGTTATACAAATGAAGTGCTTTACAGGTGAAAGGAATAAAAATGCAGTGAAACAATAATTGAGGAACTAAGGGAAAGCGATCCTAAATAACACAGGCGGAAACCCAAGATGAGATCAAATAAAATAAATTACAAAATAAATAAATAAAATAAAATATCTAATATCAAATTGTAGATACAGTAGATGCATAGGTGAAAAAACAAAATGCAATATAACTTTTGTGTACCACAAAATGTGTGCAATTACTTTCTCAGGGTATCTATTTTTTAACACTTTTATACAAAGTACTTTAAAAAAAAAAAAAAAAAAAAGGGTATTTATTTTATTTTTAAAATATATATTTGTATTATTTTATTGCTGCTGCTCTTCTTCTTTATTTTATTTGAATTTATTTTAATTATTGTTATTTTCCTATATAAAAAGCTGACCCAAGAAAATGCACAAACAATTCAAGTGTACCTGTACTGTAATGTAGGTGTGGCAATCAAACTCTATTCTATTCTATTCTATTCTATTCTATTCTATTCTATTCTATTCTATGAATGATGAAACCAAAACTTTGAGACAAATGTTTTCACACTGCATTCCCTTCGATATTATTATTATTATTATTATTATTATTGTTGTTGTTGTTGTTGTTGTTGTTATTGTTATTATTATTGTTATTGTTATATTTATATTTTTTAATCATCTTTTTTTTAATTTTTAAATTTAAATTAAAATTGTAAAACAATTTTTGAACTTATTTATCCAGTTATTCCTAACTGTCTGTCTTTCTTCAAGTCATATGAGGAAACTGACTCAGTGTTAAAGTTTATGTTATCTAATATAATGAGTCAGAGTTGCATTATGGCATAAGATTAAACTTCAGAAAAGTTGTAATTTCTAAGAAAAAAAAACCTCACTCACCCAATTATCAAACAATTACCACTTCATTTTGCTTTTTCTTCTGACATTATGTACTTCTAATAATTTTACATCTCTCAGCTATTATCTACTGCTTTACATTTACTGTCTTGGCAACACACAGCTAAATGACTTATTAGTTTTGGCACTTTGGCTCTAATTTCATGATGTGAAAGCCCTCTTTTATTCTCATCGTATCAGTGGGGCTTTTACTCAGACAAGTGTTGTATCTAAGTAATTGTTCTCGATAGTTCAGGTCAGGCCATGGCTCACTGATTCACGGGGACAGTTGTGTCGCTGTGTGTCCTCAGCAGAGCAAACACACACTCAGCAGCCAATATCCTGAGACCTGAGTGTGTTTTTCATTCCACAGCTGTTTTCTCCTGATGTGAGACTTGATATTAACTTGATAGATATTAGCAGTATATGGACACCGTAGGCTGGAATGTCAAGTTCACTAAAATTACAGTGTAGTAATCCTGTTAATCTGCCGGCCTAATCCTGTGAAACTCTAATGGAGTTGGTCGACTCACGTGGGATTATGTTTGTTTCTTTGGGACGCTGTTGTACAGACGTGTTTGTTCACTTGAGGCTCTTTTTGCAGATGGGCAACAATATCAGCCAGAAGTTGTCACATTTCTAAAATAGTCGCAATCAGGGTGTTTTGTCTTATTGTGCTGCTGAATATGACGTCCAAGAAGCAGAGGTAGGTCAATTTTTATTTCTTTAGTGTCTGTGTAAAATAGATTAATTTAGTTAATGTAACAAAGATATACCTGAAATGTACACAACACAATATTGTGTAGATCGGTGCCTCAGTTACTAGGCTGTTTGTCTTCCAGAGATGTGCAGTTAAAATTAAGAATAAATTAATAAATGGTTGTGACTGACAACTTTCCAACAGAAAAAGATATTAAACTATAGAGTAGACAGCTTACATATTGAGTACATAAATGCCTGTCTTTCAATTCAATTTGTCTGAACACTTCTCATCTGCTACATGAGTTATTGAGTTGATGAGAAAAATAGCCACACAGGTTCAGGGTCACATTCAAGTTAGGTTACATCCACTAAGCATTCACTGGCTGCTTTAGAAATGAACATAATATCTATGATTTCTTTTCAAATTAAGGCCATAAATTGGACTTATCTGTTGTGAATGTGTTGTTATAGAACATAAATTAAATTATCCCCACAGGAACATAACAACATTATTAAATAAGTGTTTCGTGGAAGTGCAGGGTGCATCGATGATTTATGTTGTCTTCATCTCATTCATAGCAGTTGGCACGAGACCCTGGTCAACACTAAGACCAGCAAACCTGCACAGAAGAAAGGAGGAAAGGTGAGTGCTCGTCTAGAAATTCAGAATGCTGCAGAGTTAGTGATGCTTCTGGGAATATAAATGCAGTCGAAACAAGGATTTGCTCGGTGACACCTCTCGCTGTTTTATTGCCCCGATTAGAAAACATTCAGCAATAAAAAATATATATTTAGGGGTAAAGTATTACAATTTGGCACATTTGAATGCCACAAAATCAGGTAACATGACATAAAATATGCATTTTTTGTTGCTCTGTTTTGGTGGAATACACACATTGTACATATAGAACATATTTCATCACAACAAGAGTAAGTTAGGACGAGATACCTGCCAGTAGGAGATATTCCAAATTATTCAGACCTTTTTTAATTTTCCTGTTCCAGTCGATTGTTTTCAACGCAGCAGTTTTGTTGAAAATGTGAAACTGATTCATCATTTTCTACTCCTCCCAATAAGTGGCATCCAAAAACCAGAACCATTCTCACGCATGAGCACATCGAACAGACCTATTTTACATTTTTGCATGTTGTTGTTTCATTTTGGGGGAAGAAGACACAAATTGTGCTGAATGTGCATCCTGTGTTTCTCTGTTTAAACAGCTTCCCCTCCTCGAGCAGTGTAACTAAAACTAACTGTATATGTGAAGGTGTTTAACTCCACCAGCTGTGTTGTCCATTTAGCGTGGACACAGTTTCCTGTTTTTCGCGAGATGTGCGTACACTTGATTTATGAAGCCATTAGTGGCTGGAGATCAAGTCAGCGCAGTTAAAACCTGCACGAATCGCAAAGTCAGGACTCCTCAAGCTTCTTCTAATTGATTTCTCTGTCGCGTGCTGCAGCCACAGATTCATTGCCTCTGCAGTTGGTGAGGTTGCATCTACTCGGACTGAAATAGACTGCTTTTATCTGACGTGCTCTCCAAAGTGTGATTAAGTCTAAAGCGCGTGTTTGTGTGCGTGCATAATCGCAGCGTCGGTCAGATGGTACTTAAGTAAATTAAGAGCTCTTGTCAGGATTAAAAGTCTCTCCAGTGGTGATCGGATTGCATGAGTCAAAGGGTCCAAGTCGGGACTCGAGGTTAAGGAGGTGTGATGTTTGACATACAAATATCATCATCAACATGCAGAATTTGACCTTTTTGTGACCTCAGCTCTCTCTCTCTCTGCGCTGTTCAAAGGATCCAGCAGCACCTGTAAGCAGTGGACTGAAACAGGCCGTCAGCAGTAAAACCAGCGTTAGTGGTGGAAGGAGCAACAGCCTCAGCAGCAGAGGCGGCGACTCGACTGGCAATAAAGTCGGTGGCAGTTTGAAAAGAGGCAGCCTCGGCCACCAGACAGCCGGATCAGCTCTCCGCCTCAGCAGCAGCCGGAGCTTCTCGTCCCTCCAAACCAGCTCCCTCACTGCTGCTCCGTTCATAAGAAGCAGCCGCTCGCTCAGCAGACTGGACCAAAGAGCCTCTGGAAATGGTAATACTACTCATGGTTAATCTGTGTGTCTGTATTTGTAGTTTGTATGTAGATGTACAGATATTTATCAGAATTTATTCTTTAATACTTGTATTAATCTACATGTTGTGCCAATTTTTTTTTATTATGCCATCTAAATTTTTGCTCACTTTAATAGTAAATAATGATAATTGTGCACTTAAGAATCTCCTCAAATTCATATTCAGCTGTTTCTTTACATTATTTCTTCAACAGATCCAAACCACATAGCTGCAAGTTCACAAGTAAAGAAATCACAACCCACAGGAAAGAAAATCTTTAACTCTGGCCAACGTTCGTCCTCTGTGGAGCAAATGAGGTTTGTTTTCAAGATTTTTTTAAATTTACATTTTGGTTATTGCGCTCTGAAATGTCATTCTTTTGCAACGATTGGGGTTGTGTTAATCTATTTTATTTATATTTTCATTAAAGAAGTAAAAACGACCAGTGCCGCGGCGATAATGCTGAGAAAATGAAACCCAGCAGCTCCCCTCAGCCGCCGGAGTCGTCCTCTTTGGTTCCCACTGCTGCATGTCTCCATCACTGCAACAAAGGAAAGAAACAGGTACTTATAATAATACTGTTTTCTAATTAAACGTTAACACACTGATGCTGCTGTAAATGTTTAAAGGCCACAGAGGTCATGGTCTGTCAGCATGATCAGCATATTACATACAATGACTATAATCTTGTCCCTCCACATAAACGTGAGAGCTACATTAACTTAATTATACAATTATAGAAGTGGTCTATTCTGGATTTTTACTGGGTGCTAAAGGTGGGATCCATCACGGGCTTTTATTATTTATCGAAGCAATATAATTCTTCCTGTGCATAATCATTAAACTGTGTTGCTGATTCTGTGGAACTTGGTCACTCTGTTATTGCACTGCAAGATCATTTAGTATTTACTTTAAACTGAGTTAATGCAAATAAAACAAAATCCAACACACACAGCGAGTATGAGTAGCTTTTGTGTTGACATGTTAAATGTTTAGAAGTGTATAACAAAAAAATTAGGAAACAGCTAAGGGAAAGTATGTAAAATAACTCAACTATGTCAAGCTGTGCATTGTTCTTTTTAAAGATGTGTGCAGTGAATGGATCTCAATGTCGTCAAATTCAATCCAGTTCTTACTATTCTAATTCTAAAACTGAGGTATTATTGTCAAACATAGTTTCTTGTGATTTCCTTTCAAAACTAACTCCTCATTTTATCTCTCTACTTACCTGAAGTTACCTGTTGTATTGACCTTTAATTCAGCAATTTTTCTTCTGTACCGTGTTTTTTTAATGAAAATTTTCTAGTACAAATCTGTTATCTCTCACAATTCTGCACTTGTAGTTTTTGTTACATCCCACTTGATGAAAACAGCTTAAAACGCATCAGTACTTGCTATAAATATTCTTTTACAGACCATTTTAAAAGCTTGTTTAAAAAGTGCTGTTTTTTTTTTTTATTAGCAAGAATCAAGCTGCTTGAGGGTAAATCGAAGAAATCTAACAGTTAAGATAAACAGTGTTGGCAATGAATACAACTGGTTAACAGTTTTTATAGTCAGCACATCCACTACATTTCCCTAAAAGATGTGGCAATAAATCACATTTCTGTTTCCACAGACAAAAGATGGCGTGTACACACTGTGTGCAATGACTGCCGGGATGAGAAGCAACTGGGTCCAAGCAGTGTTGAAGAACGTGCGGCCCAGTCCTACACATGACGCTGCGAGGTAGACTTTATTTTATTTCTTCAAGTGCTGCATCATTGGTGTCAAACTTGTAGATAAAATACTGTTTACTCCATTATTAACAGATCTCCAGGGATCTGCCAGTAGGTCTGACTTACTGAGGGTTTATGTCATTAAGTACGCATGTACAGGAACATTCAGTCAGGCAGAATGTGTTGCTGTATTCAAACATGAAGACAACATGCAACTTTGCCCATATAATGACAACACATAGACCCGTGTGCACACCAGACTTCCTACAAATGAGTCCACATCACCACTTTAACATGTCAAAATAGCAACAACAAAAAAAAAAAAGTGGAGCCTTTGCTTATAATACTTGCAACAGATCAAGTTCTTCTGATGTTAGAGGCTTTAACGTTGGTGAAATGTCATGAAAAATGGATACTTGTGCTTTCTTCTATTTTCAAGTGCCAATAAAGAAAAAAAAGTGGCATCTGCAGAAGTCATACATTTGCTGGAAACAGTTCTGTCTTCACCAACTTTCATGGCTATTAGCGTTGTATTTGTGGAACTATTAAAACCTTAAAATAGCTCTCCAGACAAGACATTTTTTGAGGGTGCAATCAAAAAATTCCCAGGTCTGAAAACTGATAAAATTCTCAATATTCAGCAAAAATATTTTGCAGAAGTTCATTTTGGGTTCTTAATTGCAAAGAAGTAAACACTGTACAAAATCTGAGATGCTGCAGCAGCATATTTCTTGAATTCTGTCCTGAATTGACACAGCAGGCTGATCAGGATGGTTGTGGATTTAACTCAACAAATTTGCCTTTGTGTAATAAAGTTTCTGCTTTTGTTCACAGCTCCCTTTCAGAGCAGGAGACAGAGCTGCTCCAAGAGCTCAGAGCTGGTGACCGAACGGAGGATTCACCTGGACAGCAGGAAGAACAGGAGCCCAAACTGCAGCTGGAAACTGCACAGAGCTCAACTGATGGGAACTCTTTACCTTCTCCTCTCCCTGCTTCGCCCTCGGCCTCCTCTGAATCATCTCCTACCAGTCCTCCACATCAGGCGGAGGAGGGCGAAGGTGCTCATCAATGCCTTGTTGAAACCACACAAACTGGTGAGCCATTAAACTAACTGAGATAAATGTTGTTTTTTTTATTAGCTGGTTTGAGAATGAAAGCTCCAAATGTAAAATTGATGTAGATTCCTTCTGTATATATTAGATTTTCATTTATGATATAGAAATACTTTAATTAAATTACATTCAGTGAGTCAGTTCTTGATATAATCCTAATTGAAATCCAGAAAAGTTTAAGTTGCGGGTGTGAAATGCAGCTTTGCATGAATACTGAAATATGAGAAATACATGGCAACATATTGTTTTGTCACAGATCACACTGAACAAAATGGACTTCTGTGTTTTTTCTGTGCGCCAGGTGTGACGGAGGCCTCATCGTGTGTTGAAGGATCCCAAAGCTCTGATTCCACAGATGTGCTCCAAAATGGCGAGCGTTTTGACGAACATTCAAACAAGAGTTCGACTGGGCATGTTACAACCACACCCCAGAGGGAAGATGAACAGGTATCAACAAACACTGCCTGCAACTGCACAAAAGGCAAAGAAACGCTTCAGTGCGAGCAGAAAACTGGGCAACTTGTCAAAGAGGTGAGATCACATTTGTAATTTCACCACATAACAATGCCAACCTTCACGCTGAAGTGATACCGACCTGGAAATAACAAGCAACTAAATCTAGTGAGACATTCAGTGAGATGTACAAAAAAAATGATGCATTTTGTATTTGCTAAAATCTCTCTACAGCTGGAACAAACTCAGAGGGAACTGTCTCGACTCCAGCAACTGAACAAGAATCTGCAGGATGAGCTGCAACAGGAGCGGGAGAGCCATTTGAGGTTTTGTCCACAGGTACAATGCAGAAAAGACTCAAAAACATATGCATTTGAATTTATATGAGCAGCACTTTTAATAAGTTGCATATATATTATGATTAAAGGTGGTGTAAGCAGTTCCATTCAGTGCTCCTTCAGAGGCCTCGCCCCCCAAAATCATTGATGTGCATTGTTAGGGCTCCAACATTTCAGCCTTACGCTGCCTAAAAGATGATCTTTCTTCCTTGTGGTTGATGCAAATCAAAGATTATAATATAAAACTTAACCAAATTAGCGACATGTAACACAAACAGAGCATTCGAAATAAGTAAAAATAAGTAAATGTTAGCTGTTTGGATTGTTTTACCATACCATGAATAACCATAGATCCAGCATCATCCTTTTTCTGGTGGAGCTGGAGTGGATTCCTGTTGCTGCGTTTGAGCCCAGTGACATTTTGGAGGCTTGTTTTTTGTCCATGAGCAAAGGTACAGAGCTGAAACTGGCTTCTTGCTCAGTGTTTTCCCTTTAAAACTTTAAAAGTCTTCTAAAAATCACCCTGTACTCCAGAAAATACAGTCTATTGTAAAACAACACTGATGTGCCCATGTGTATAGCTGAAACATTATTGGTGTGATAGTTACCACTGTCCATGCTGGACAAAAAAGGTTCCTTCTTAAATGATTTTTAATGTCTGTGATGTGTAACAAAATCCACCGTCCTCATTTCCTCTGAAGTTCAGCTGACAAGCAAGTGTCTATCATCCAGGTTACATTTCTCTGTCACACCAAATTCTTTCTTGAAAATGCAAACTTGTCTTTTAAAATGTCAGGAAGTAAAATGTTATATATGTAAAAAGCAGTGTTTTGTTGTCTTGTAGAATGGCACAAGTTCATCTTCAGAGCAAGCTTTGGCTTTACAGCAGCTGCAGAAGACGAATCACAACCTCCGCCTTGAGATGGAGGCACAAAAGAGGAGTCATGAGGAAGCCAGAGAAGCTGAGCTACGACGAAGAGTCGACCTCTTAGCCCAACAAGCTCAGCTGCTGGTTACAGGAGATGCCACGGCACTCGCACAAGCTCATCTAGAGCAGGATCGCCGGCGGTTCCAGGAGCAGCAGGAGGAGTGGGAGCAACGTGTGGCCTCCCTGAAGTCCCAGCTGAGCATCAGTGAGGAGAAGAGGAGGGAGACCGAGTCCCGCTTGGCACAGCTGCAGCAGGAGTTACAGAGCTACCAAAGTCTCCAGCAGGAGGCTGAGCAGCTGAGGAATAATCTCCAAGAAGTGTCCGCTCAGCTTCAGGCTCACGAGGATGCTCAGGCTCAGAAAGAGGTTCGACTGCAGAAGCACCTGGCGCTCCTTCAAGCGAGTCAGGAGAGAGAGCGGAGGAGCCTGGCTACCAGTCTGGCCCAGGCCGAGCGACACTCGCAAGACCTTCAAGAGAAACTGGACAGAGCCGAGCAGCAGGTGGAGAGCCTTAATAAGAGCCAGACATGGACGAGGGAAATCGAGGAGGCGCAACGGCAGCTTCAAGAGGAGCTGACATGTACTGTATCTGCCGTGCAGCAGCTCCAAGAAGAACGAGGACAGGCCGACCACCGCTGCCAAGAGCTGCAGAACCAGTTATCAGAGGCGGACCGGGAGGTGAGCAGGCTGCAGGGCCGCTTGAAAACAGATGAAACTCACTACTACAACCTGGAGCACTCGTACGAGAGAGCTTGTGAGGAACTGCAGGTGGCATTGGGGAAGGTGCAGCAAAGGGAGTCGGAAACACAGGAGATACGAGAAGGCTATGAGAGGCTCCTGGACAGGAAGGAGCAGGAGCTGAGTGAAGTCTTGCTCAAGATGGAAGTCTTGGGTAACAGCTTGGAGGAGACGGAAGTGAAACTAAATGAGGTGATGAAAGTTTGCACCTGTGGCTCTTCTCAGCAGAAAGATGAGACTTTAGAGCAGCTTAATGAGAGACAACAGCAAACAACTGAGCCAAATGAAAGCAGAATAAAGATAATAGAGAGCTGCCAGTTGTCCAACAGCTCAAATCCTGCAGATGTCCTTCAGGGAAACAGCGACAGCTCACATAAACATTCAAGAAGCCGATCTCGATCAGTCGATGCATCGTACCAGTACATCGTCACTGCAGGAGACGACCCGGAAAGGTTCATGTCTGTGATCCAGCTGCTTGAAACCAAGCTTTACGTAACAGAGGAGAAACTGAGAGATATTACGCAAAGACTAGAGGAGCACCAGAGTCACATCAGCTGCCAGGACCCCCACCTCTGCTCCCAGCTGACCCAGAGCCGAGCGACCGCCCAGCACCTCAGCCTGCTGCTGCACAGCCAGGCCAAGCAGAACCAGCGCTTCGCCCAGGAGACAGAGAACCGCTGCAGGATGTTGGTCGGCAGGTTCCAGGTGGCTCTGAATATCATACAGGCCTGCAGGGAGAGGCTTCAGGCTCCCACCATTAATATTCCAGACTTTGAGAGGCAGCTTGCCACCGTTGTTGCGTGTCTTCAGCAGGGAGAGAAAGATGCAGAGAAACAACAGCATGAATCTTATAATGCCAGCAGAGGAGAAGGCAAGATCCTTAGTGACGAGAAACTAGCTGGAGCTGAGAGTGCAAACAGTAATACACAATCATCAGCGGATGACATGGGAAGTGTTAGGAAGTGTTTAAAGAGGGAATTATTTGTTGTAGAAAAAATGATGTCGGTGCTTCAGAGTCAACGTGGTGTTCTCCAGCTGTCGTCAGTATTTAAAGGGAATGAGGGGGATGTGGCACAAAGGTACAAAACCATAATATCCCAAAGAATAGCAATAAAAAGAGAAGAAAAGATGCAGTCTGGGAGAACAGACTGTGTCAGTGACGAAACTTTACAGAGCGCCATCAGCAGAGTCTGTGCTGAAGCGGAGCTCATATACGCTGCCTTAAAATTCCATGAAAGCGTGACTCAAGTGAATAATCAAGAAGTGCAGCTTCAAAGGGCAGGTTTGGCAGACATCAGTCCACCAGAGTTGGCTCCTTATGAGGAGCAGGTGAATGCCAGAGGGTTGAAAGAAGCTGCAAAACCAGTTGAATCCGATGACAAAAAGGTCAACGCAGAGAAGGAACCGGACTGGTTAGAGAGGCTCATATCCCGGCTGCAGAGGAGAGCTAAATTCTTAAGTCAAGTCTGCCAAGAGATGCCGGATGATAAAAGACCAGTCAGTGAGTGTAGTCCGAACCACGGTGTGGAAAATGCTTCTGCACTCGAGTTAAATTATATGCAGGAGCAGGCGAGGTTAATTTACTTGTCAGACAGGCTCTACCTGGATTTAGAGCAGGAGATTCAGCAAAGTGAGGTGCTACGGAGCAAACTGCAAACTCTGTGCAAAGAGCAGGACATGAGCTTAATGGATGAGCAGGAGGCTTTTAATCAAACCTTATGTCAGCTTCAGGAGGACAACAGCGTCCTGAGAGAAGAACTAGAGCAGGCCGAGCAAAAGATAATATCCGTAGAGAGCGGGAACCAGAGACTGCTGGAAGACATACAGAAGATTGAGGATGTTCATGAGGAACGGATGCAAAAACTGGAAACAGACTTCCAAGAGAGGATAAGGGAGCTGCAGCAGATCCATGAGGAGGAGATGAAACACTTGCACGGCTGTTACATCAAGTCTTGTGTTTCCAAAGAGAAACAGACGTGTTTCACTGAAGGCGCATGTCCTCTACCCGACCAAACTGGGATCCTGAAGGTGGCGGGTGATGCAGCAGCCATGAGAGAGGCTCACCAGGAAGATCTAGAAAAACTTCAGGTGACAAGCACTAATCATAGATTTTAAAGTATGTATTATTATTATTATTGTTATTATTATTGTTATTATTATTTTAACATTTATGAGCTTTCAGAAAACTGTCTCAATGAGTGAGAAATACAGATGGGATTTTCTACTCCTTTAGATGTTATGTCTACTTTCTTTGCTTTTACGTTACTAATTTAGATTCTCAAAATCAGCTGTTTCCTTCAGTTTGACCTGTTTAGGATCATTACAGTGACCTTAGTTTGCTTGTCTTTGCTGCTCACATTTTTAAAACTTACTGCTAATTGATTATCCGCTAACTCATCAAAATCATTAAATAGCACACATTAGCACCACATAATAGTACATATAACCTCTTTCCTTGTGTACATATATCAATCACAAACTATTTCTAAATGTCACAATAGGCATCCTGTGATGAGGGCTTCGCTGCTATGGAGGAAACACACCGGAAGCTGATCAGAGATTTAAATCAGCAGCATCAGAAGGAGGTGGCCGAACTTCAGAGGGATAAAGACCAGCTCCTGCAGGAGGAGACGGCTGCCACAATGGCAGGTAAATGACTGTCAGCAAGAAACCATACAAATATAAAAGTGCTGTGGTCAAAAGAAACTGAAATGTATCAACAGTATATGATTTATTTTTTAATGGAAAAGTTAAATGTGGCATCAGACTGTAAACACCTCTAATAAAATTAAGGGAAAAAAAGGCCCTGATTAGTGGAATTGCATGATTTGTTTGAATGTTCCCTTTGTTTTTTTTGCAAATTTGAAGATTGATTTAACAAGGAAAAGGAATAAATTAAGACTTTACTCATCTTAAAAAGTTGGTTGAATGTATGTTTTCCTTTTGTACAGCCATCGTAGCGATGCGTAGAGCTCATAAACAGGAGCTGGAGAGAAGCCGACAGTCTCAGCACATCAGGGAGAGTTTAGACTTCACACAACTCCACATCGAATACGAGTGAGTCACTAATGGTCTTTCGAAAATACTTTTTTGTCCACTGAAGCTTCTTAAACGTGTATATCTACTAATTTACTGCAAGGCTATTGTATTGTATTGTGTTTTTATATGTGCTCCATACAGCAAATTGGTAACTCAGTGTTTATGGTGTGCAATTGTTCAGTTTTCTTAAACTTATTATTTTTATTATTATTTTTTAATTTGAGACAGCTCAGATTTGAAACACATCAGTTATATTCCTTAAGAAGAAGAGTCACATCTTGTCACTTAAAAAGTAAAATAAATAAGAAAAGGCTGGTAAAAAAACAAAACAAAAAACAAAACAAAACAAAAGGGGGAATAAGAGAAATGTACAGTTGACCTCATTGTCATGCAAAAATTCTTAATTCTGGCATTAAATTGAGAATAAAATCTTTATATTTCTGGAGCATAATTACTTCACTGCCCAGGTTTCTGACTTTTCATGCATCAGTTATGATTAATCAAGTCAGAATCAAGAGTTACTGTAAGTTAAATTTGCTCAGACAAAGCACTTCCTGCATAATCTCTGTCATAAACCAGACCCTTATCTCAATCTGAGGACAAACTAATGAGCCTTGAATTAGCAGCAGGTTGTTATTTCTGGCTGTGTTTTAACTGCTCACATGCAGAAAGCAACAGGGACACAGATGTGCGTCTATGAGAGCAAATTATGAATCAGAGCAATCTAATAAATGAAATAAATTGACAATTAAATGACAAAGTTTGTATTTTTTCCACACAGACATCGAACATGTACCTGCTCTAATAGAATTGCTGCTCGCATGTTTTCCTCTCAAATCTTTATTGGCAATATGTTTACAAAAACACACTATCATGTAGAAAAAAGTCACCCATTTCAATCATTCAGTGCAATGAGACAAACATTTTCCCACATTGCACTGCAGTTATTCTTCTTCTAGCTTTTGTATTTGTGTCAAATTTCCTACTAAAAAAAGAATGAATCCACAATTTATTTCCTTTGATAAGGGCTGGTTTTCCATAATCTCTTATAATAACTTTGTTGCTTTCAATTAATATTCTATTAGTGAACTATTCTTTAGCTGGATTGGGTGCATACTATGTGCAGTGAGTCAGTTCCAGCTTGAATCCTGGTCAACTTGGACCTTTACGACATGTTATTTCCCTGTTCTCGCCCCCCATATTTGGTCAAAAATGCCAAAGAAATACCTTTAATGAATAGTGTATTGTCCATTCTTCAAAAACTTCTGTGCACCTCTGTGTTCCTGCTTCGTCACATCCCAGGAAGGAAATCCAGTTATTGCAGAAGGAGCTGGAGGTGCTGTCGGTTCAGCACACCGAGAAATGCCTGGAAAACTCACAGCTGAGTCAAGAGCTGCAGGACGAGAGGAAATCATCAATGCAGTACCAAAAAGAAAACCAAGAGCTCAAAAAGAAACAGGTACAAACGTATTGTTCTCAATGAGCTCATGTGCACGTCTCAATATGCAATGATTTCCTTTATTTATTGTTTCTTTAAGAGAGACACACATGAAATGTCTCAGCTGCATTTCTCTCCGAACGGGAAACAATCACATGTTGCTCCTCAAGTAAACAGCTCATATGAGACAGAGGTAAGTGTAAAATCTCCTAAAAGTCTCACATTCAGGTTAAGGCTGCTTTATTACACTGATGCTGATGTATTTTAATAATGCTGCAGGTGATTCTGCGGGCGAGAGAGGCAGAGATGCAGTTTCTCAGACAAGAAGCTCGTTCTCTCAGAGAGGAGCTGAAGATCGCTCGAATGGTACTGAACTGTTTTATCAAACTTCTGAGAATCCTGCTGAGTTCTGACACGCAATCGCACATTTTTTATTCTTCTTTTTGTATTGAAGAAACTTAAGAATGAATTCAAATGAACCACAAAAGCAAGTATGTTATATTAGCACTGTTCTGGTTAATATTTAACTAAAAACTCTGTCTGCGTGTTTTACAGGACAAAATATACGCACAGAATAAGCTCAAGGCTCTTTATACAAACAGCCAGACTGAACCTCATCAACACGGTGAAGATTTCAAGTTTGGCTCATGGTCTCCAAACGAAGACGCTTCAGGACCGAGCCTCGGTGAGACACTTTAACTTTGTCTATAAAATGTAATGATTATCACAAGTGCTGCCTTTTTTAATGTGTCATTTATCAGCACATTGTTGACTAAACGCAGGTTCAGATAGTTTTATTTTCCCTTTGATCTCTTCCCCTTCTCCTGTTTTTTATAGAAGATGCTGCGATAAACTCACACAGCGCTGCTTTTCTGAAGAAAACTGAGAAATCATCCCTCCTGCGGCAAATAAGAGGAGTCAGATCGAAGGTAAAATCTGCTGCAGCGTCAACATGACAATCATCAGTTTTCATTTTTCACCTGTTACAGTCTGTAAAAGTGTCCACATCGAAAGGCTTTGCAAAGCATTTATGTTTCTTTGAATTTTCAGAACGTATTTTTTGTCTTTTGATCAGTTTTTACCACTTTAAACCCATTCTAAACCTTTCACATGTACTAACTTCCATTCTTCCCTTTATCTCTTTTTTTTTTTTTTGCATGTTTTTCCTCCAGAGTTTAAAAGAAGGCCTTTCAGTCCAAGAAAGAATGAAGTTATTTGAGTCATTCTGAGAAGAGGAGCATCTGCTGTTTAAATACATTTCTGCCTATTAAGTGTTACTCCTGTTGTTACACAGTGCACATTTTAATATTTAAATCCTTTTACTGTGTAAAAAGCAGCAGAACTCCACCAGAGGGAGCAACAAGCACAGGATTTTTTTTCAACACACATTTAAAACACAACAAACTAATCACAGTGAAATTATATTAACATTTTGCTTTACAGTTCAGTACATCAGACAGTGATTTTGTAACTTAGAGGCTCGTGTTTTTATTAAAACTCAGTGTATTGCATCAATATTTGTATCAAAATGGTTGTTTTGTACCACTAGAGGTTGCATAAACCAACATTTACTCTCCCTGCAGAGGCAACTTGTGAAACCTGTGTCAATTTCTAAACATTTAAATGTGTGACATTGAGACATGAAGCTGTTGTCATGACAAGAGTGGAAAATTTAACGTAGCTGATAAAACAATGATGCTTTGTACTTGGACTTCTTTCACAGCCAATAAAGTATTTGTATAAGATGAGATGAGAATTTTGCTTCTTAATTAAAGCACTTGAGTTCAGTAATTAGTAACATCCAGGTTCATGCACTTGGAATAATTCTGCCCCATAAACTTCATCAGCACTGCTTCATTTTATTTAGTCTCGAGGTGCAAACAGACACAACTTGCTTTTCACTTTCTGGATAAAGCGGAGACTTTAAAATGCACACTCTTCTGAAGAACAGGTAAAAATGTGGAAAAAATGAAACCAAGTCAAGTCCATTTAGTTTGTTATCATCCTTAGAAAAAAATAAAGTACGAAACATGAAGTTTATATCTGTCTCCTTGTCTGATCATATCTGACAGAGATTCTCTGAATAAGCACCTCTGTGTCTGAAAACTACTGTAACGCCCAGCAGAACCGGTTGTGACGGGCACAATAATACAATTTATTATATTTTTTTCATGTCTGTTTGAATTCACTGTGAAGGGCAGCTAAACTACGACTAAGGTTTGTCATTGCTATCAGTGAAATCAGTGAATTGTTTGATCGATAAACTATTGGAAAACACTATATCATGACCCTAAGTGGATCAATTAAAAAAGTTCTTGTGTCCCCTGGTAAAGATTTACAGGATGGAGCCATACTATTTTAGACATTTTACATAATTATTAAATAATTTAAAATACGATTGAAAAAATATCAATTATCAATCTATTGATTATTTGACTAGTTTCCAGCACATCTATTTCCAAGTCTTGATTCATATTTGACTGACAGAAAACAATCCGAGATGTCACTTCTCAGCTTGTAAAATATATAAGTTAAATGATTTCACAAGATAGTAATATTGTCCCTTGTAGAGAAATTAGAAGAAAAGAAAAGAAAAAAACACTAAAGAACAAAACACAGTTCAACAAGTTTGGGCCACATAGCATTGAGGTTATTATCAGGATCCTGTATTTTGAACAAAACCAAACACATATCATGCCTCTTTCTGAAGTGGCCCATCTTCATGCTGCAGATCCTCACAGTGCATTTCAGGTACAGATCTTTCTCAGCTGTCGGGGAAATGGCATGAAGATATCTGGTCACCAAAAACATGAACCCAAACCTCCTGCTGTGGAGCTCAGAGTGACGCTGTGTGTAGTTTCACAGCAAACAGATCCCAAAACATTTTACAATTCTGAATGACCGTCTTATTAAAAGACGCACTGCTTCATGCTTTCTTCTTTTATGTTACAACTGGCCTCAGGCAACCCTTAACCTGAATAGATGCAAGCCTTTAAATATACAGACTATCACAAAGAAAGCTTTTAAGAGTTTACGAGTCTTTTCAACTTTATTTCATGAAAACCCAGATCCATATCTCCAGAGATCTGATTTCTTAGCATCGTATAAATCACAGTTCTTGGTGCCGTTGCAGAAGACCTAATCTAGATGCTGCTCTACTCCTCGGAGTCACATTCCTAAAGAAGAACATCACACCTCATTAAAACCCAACACTCATCTTTCCTTTCCTGTGACTCCTGCGTGTGAAGCTGCAGTCATGTGAGCTGACACTTTGAAAGTGCAAACTCGATTTTTTTATGTTATCCAAATGGATTTAATTCTACACCTGCGAGCTGTTCTGGTGTATTTTTGTGCATGACAACCGGAACACTATTTCTGCACTTGTTCGCTTGTGTTTTTTGCGTCACATAGGTAAGATTGTCTATCCTCACATGACTCATAGATAAGAGCTCTGCGAACTAACAAGCATTCAGCATCACTAAAAGACTAAAAGCCTGCTATAGACACAATAAAACAATTGTGTGCATGACAGATTATTTACGGTCTTGTAAATAGTTGTGGCAAGGAAAAAATAGTTGGACAATAACATGAGGTTGAAAACTGTGGAAAAGCTATTTACTGGACTAGAAAAAAGTAGTCGATGAATAAATCACAAGTTAAGCTGAATATTAATCAACAATTTATTAAAGGTTTGCTTCTTTTATTTGTTTTATATTGTAAAAAAGAAACATCTTTTGGTTTTTGACAGTTTTTCAGACAATATCTGGGCTCTGAGGCACTATGATGACACGTTTTTAATATTTTCTTACAAATTATAAACAAACAATTAATTAATTATAACACACTTATGAGGAAATTAATCATCAGCCCCAAAGACGGCCCTTAACTGAAATGATTTTGTCCAGTATCATGTTAGACATGGTTTATTCGGTGCATTCTAAGTTACAGTGTCTCTGTATACATATACCAATGCTCATTTTAACCTTTTTCTTTACCAAAGTTTAATAAAAATGTATTAACTTCTGAGCATGATTGGAATTTCATGGGTCCAGCTGAAAAATGAAGCCAGTAGAAAGCATCGAAAACTGCAGTTCCTTGAATGACCACTAGAGGCTGACTCCAAAAGTGAGTAAATCCCCATAGACCTCAATGTTAAAATGTCCAACTTTACACTAGAAATAAACACAATTACAGCCTGGTACAAAAAAAATACTTATGGTCTGTATAGCCAAACTTCTTACTCATGATAACTGTTCATGTAGTGAATTTGTATTGAACTCACCTGTTGAAATTATATTACAGCATAAAGCTTTGCATAATTAAGGTTGTGGCTGCTACAGACAAAGGGCAGTTCAAAAACCTCTATGAAAAGAAAAACACCAAGGAAAGAGACGTCGCCCGGTATGGCGCAGCCGGGGCCCCACCCTGGAGCCAGGCCTGGGGTTGGGGCTCGAACGCAAGCGCCTGGTGGTCGGGCCTCTGCCCACGGGGCCCGGCCGGGCACAGCCC